CTTGCCACAATTTTGATACCATTTTTGCATGGACGAGTTACAATTTTTTCCACTTCGCCAAACTGAGCCATCGCTGATTTGATCCTGAAATCATCAGTCTTGGGATGAAGACCGTAAATTTCAACTGATCTATCCTGTTCTGTGATGCGTTGGTCCTGATCGACTCTGGTGAAGATAGGCTGCTCCGAAGATGTTCCGTTTTCTTCGTCTTCTTTATGGTGAGTGAGTTCCAGCAGGTTCTCTAGGTCACCCAGCGTTTCAACGGCGACGCGAAAAACTTTTTGTCCGTCCTTATTCTTGATACGGGTTGGTCCCTCCGTGCAGTGGATGCCTTGGTGAATGAGGATCTGCTGGAGTTCATCTCTTTTCATAGCGTAGGTGTCGCCATAGATCAGATCCACAGGAGCCGTGGCCACGAAAAACCTTTCCTTAGTTCTCTGAACTTCGATCCACTCTGTTTCGTCATCCATTTCTTCGTCGTCTTCGTCAATTGCTGTCTCGGTAGCAGCGCGCTCTTGATCAACTTGCATTTGTTTTAGTCCCTTTTTGGGATTATAAGAACAGCGTTGAGTGGAATTCATTGCAATTGGGGTGGTGGCCCCAATACTTTGGCTTGGTTTTTGCGCGTCTTGGCCGTCAAGGGGAAGTTTTTGTTTTTTGAAATTGTTCATTCTGCTTGTTTCTCCATCATCTTGTCGATGATGGAGTTGAATTTTTTCAGCCCCAGACATCTTGGGTTGATAAATACTTTTGCACTCTTGTGCGCTAACGTAGGGTGTGTAAGGGGTGTTAAGAGAGGGGCAGTGTTAATGTAGCGTCCGACTTGATGGATCGGAGAAGAGTTTTATAAATGGTCCTATGACAGTCGGGTCGAATATGGATCAGTCAATTAAGAGAAGTTAAATCGGACTATATATTAGATATTATATGAGCCTCTTCTGTCGTAAATGACGCCTATTCATTTACCTAAATATGTATTTCCTTTCAATTTATTTATTTCCTATCATCCTATTTTCTACCATTTTTAAATAGTATTTAAGTAGCTTTTTCCTTCACTGCAAAAACGGCATCTCTCTTCTTATTATCGATGCCCTTTTGCAGGTGAGTTTATCTTCATTATTCTCATTATGAATTCTCAGAAAATTAGCAGTTATTAAAGATCTCTCTTCTTATTATCGATGCCCTTTTGCAGCATCCTCAAAATCATTCAAAGCATTACTTAGGATCACTATCGTATCCCAAAACCACGAGGCTCTTGCCCAATCCTTCATTTTTCATCATTACCTACTAGTTTCCAGAGATCACTAGTAGATGCTCTACGACACTTCCACGAAATCGAGGAATCTGATTCGTTAACAGCCTCAATGGCACAGTGGTTAGCGCACTTGTCTTGTAAACAAGAGGTCCCTGGTTCAAATCCGGGTTGAGGCAAAATCTTTTGATGTTCTTTTAGATGCCTTTTGTGGTTAGGATGAAGTTATTTGCAGTCTTTGTTTCATCCACAAGCGGCGACGTGTATCCTACAGACTACATGATTCTAGCTTTTTATTTAATTTAAGGAAATATGCGAAGGTGAGTCTAGAGTAGAGGGGAGTCTGGAATTATTACTGTTAGAAGTTGCAGCGCCGTGGGAGCTGCGATACTCATCGTGCTCTGTTGCATATTTCACAATATGCATTATTATGATGGCCTAGCTAGAGTAAAAACACTAATGCGCTAAAACGATTAGCAGTAGAAATTAGTGGCAATAACGTGCCACACACAGACGCGATAAATCTTTGATATGAAGTTTTTAGAACGAACCGATGTCATCCTACAGATATATACGTAGTTACCTGGTGCAAGTCCCTCTACCAGAAAATGAATAAATACTCGGATTAATCTATTTGACAGCCCATACCAAATATAGTAATTTTTGCCATTATTTGGCAGCCTATTTTTTGGGGCTGCCACCTAACTTCATACACTTAGATGGTAGCTGGGCTGCCAAATAATGTTTTGCAAAACTAATTTGAATAAGCTGCGCTTCGATCCCTGGTAGCGGCTTCGGATGGAGTGACGACAATTGGACTTGAAATGAGTGACTTTGCTTACAGCTCCAAGGTATCAACATGTCCATAAAGAAACACTCCGTTATATATTTTTTTATTTATTTCCACGGGAGGAGCAGTGTGTACGGGATCGTGCAAATACTTTTTTTATGAGGGTGCTATTTGGCAGCTGGGCTGCCAAAGAGAGTTTTCAAACTGATCATATTTGGTAATGGGCGCTGCTAAATAATATTTGGCAGCTAGGTTGCCAAATAGATTAATCCTAAATACTCTATGGATGTGATGTGTGGGCCCATATCTTATTCTCACTTACTTTTCTACTACTTACTATCTATCTACAAAATATTTTTCCGCTCTACAGTCACCCGAAAGAAAGTTTGGTCAAAGTGGGTTATTTACTATTTTTATTTTGAATCTCTGACAAACAGCTCATTTGCGACATACAAAAATACTTCACCAACCAAGATGGAAATTTACGCTTTTATTAACGAGACCAATGTAGATAATCACTGAAGTTTTTGGGCAGTACATCCTGAGGGAAAACGGCAAGAAATAGGATTGAGGACAGTGCTTCACTTCATAACCAGTTCAAAATTTTATTTTTTTGACCAAACTTTCTTTAAGGTGATTGTACAATATAAAGCTAGTCCCTAGACGCAGTGAGCATCTACATGTGCTGCTGAGTATGTGGCACTGCCTGCTAAAGACGACCCAAGGCAGGTTCTGGCTATTATTGGTGAAAAATCAGCCCTGATTGAACATGATAACAAACTTGGAATGTAATGAGGCAAAAATAGGGATCTTTATCAACGTAACAGAAAAGAGTATTTATGCCTCTTTACTATCACTAAAAGTCACGGTTATGCTATTAAAGGTAATTGTGGCACGGTCGGCTTTGAGTACGAACTGTCACCAGCTATCAAAATATAAATAATCTCTCGAGATACAAACGGGCAAGAGGATAGACATTCCACAATATAATCTGAGGTCTGCCCATTGTATTTTGTAATTTGGTGAATTTGATAAACAAAATTTAGTACCGAGGGTACTTGAGCTCTTAATAAGGAAGACAGAGATAAAGACATAGAAGAAAGAGAAAAGAAAGAGAGTAGTAACACGACACGTTATGTATCGTAGCAATGAGTATGATCGTTTATATATCTACCGAAACAAACCACACATTAGAGGTCCCTAATTACTGAGCTCATCGTTATGTGCTTAATAGCGTACGGGGACACTAGAGATGTATGCACGCGCTAAATGAAAGAAAGCATCAGGGAACCATCCACAACCTATAACAATACAACCAACAAAAGTGCAAAGTAAAGCGGCATAGTATATCTCAATTATAGATAAATCATTTGTAATTCTTTATTTAGTCCCAGAATCGCATAAAGAATATCAACATCTATTCTGGGCTACGTACGACCTAGATAAGATAAGTATTCTGGTCAATATTAGATGCTTGGGTATCGAGCTTGTGTCGTGGAAGGCTTCCTGGTAGTGGTATTTACGACTGAAATAAAGACCCCGTACAAATAAAAAAAGCCCCCCGTGCAAATAATTTTTTTTTATTTGTACGGGGGAGCACGGGGCCGTGCAAATAAGAGGTGTACGGGCCCGTGCAAATATCATTTTCCATAATCCTACTAGGCCGTTTGAATTACAAACCTTCCATTATAGATTGTCATCTTTTTTAAAAGAAGCTTGTTGGGACTGATCCAAACTTAACATGATAGGAAAAGTGGTTTAATCAATCTTGCTTCTGAGAAAAGAAAATTGCCGAGGGCCATGCGCAATTTCATTCCCCTTCCTCTTCAAATAAAACCCTGGTTATTATTTTCGGTTTCATTTCAAGTGATGCTGGTCAACCTGTTGTCCCTGACATAAAGTGTAGATGAAGTCTCATATTTCTCTAGCAAAGGAGCCAAAAAGCTACATAATATAGCATATCAGAACAGAGGAGGAATAAGCAAGGTTTTCTGATCGGAAGACTCCGATTGAAAAGGAGATGTCTATAGTCCTTTTTTCCTTCCTTTCTCCTTCCTCCTTTCAGTTCTCCTTCCATTCCTTCCTCCCCTCTCCTTTTCCTCCCTTTCTTCCTTGTTTTTCTTTTCTTTTGTTAAGACGCGTCCTGGCTTCGAACTGTAGCCAAGCCTAAAATAATAAAGGCGGTGTACAGGATATGAATCAGATGACGATGTCATGAATTTACTTTGTTTTGTCATCGTATGTGCAGTGGGCTTTGATTTTTCTTACAAGTACATCCAAAGATGTATGCAAAAAAAGATAGCATTAAGTCTTTCCGGACGGCTGTGCCTGTCTCTTTCTCTGCCCTGCCCTGTCTACCAAGCTCTGGAAATATCTTGATGAAATAGTTGCATGAAATGCTAGATCCTTTCGTTCTTGTGATGCCCAGTTGTTCACTTCAGAGGGTAAAGAAGTTTTGTTCCTGACTGAAAGCGTCAAATGGCCGTGCTAGCGCGATGGCTTCCATCCATCGTGTTATTATTTTTATCTTTTTTTTTTTTTTTTTTTTTTTTTTTTTCAGCACAATCAGTGGGCGTAATACCAATATGTATTGTTTTAGGAATCAATGTGGCTGCGAACAAGAGACGCCTTTTTACTTATCGATCATCCTAAATCTAAATCGTCAGCATGGCATGTAATTTTTACACGACATGAACCTGCTGTTTCTGAATGCTTTTTCCCGGTAACTGGAACTTCTTTTTTCGAGCCCAGGAGACATCTTCCCTTTATAAATACTCCTCAAATTCCACACGCTCCTTTATTTATTTGGACCTTTTTCATCCTCCCATTCTTCCATCCTTCCATTCTTCTTCTCCTACTACCTACTAATATTGACACTACTAGTTTATCAACAAGGATTACTACTATACTTCCCTATTCTCTCTCACACTTCTTCCTCACCAATATTTTATCATGAAGTCATCTTCACTTTCACTCTTGCTGTTCGCACTCGCAATCGTCCATGCACAGACATCATCCCCATATCCACCACCAGACCAAGTCCCTCCAATTGATTCACCCCAAGTCCAAGCATGGCTTAAGGTACAACACGCACATGTTTTACTTATTATCGTATTATCGGATGCGTTCATATAGAAAAAAAGTGCTGTTTTGAATGCATATTCATTTGCTCCTCATTCACAATTGGGAAATGAATAGGAAATTGACTTGACTGGCGCTCCAGATATTCCCTTGCGCCCGGGCAATCCTCCAGGGTGTGTTAGTAACCCAGTTCCTGATGAGTATGTAGAAACGCGTTTTTCTTTTCTTCTTGGCATGCCATAAACCTTATTAGAAAATATTGGCGTCGCGCCTCATGTTTTTTTTTTTTATTTTTTTATTTTTTTTTTTTATTTAGATGCAACTGGACATGTCAGAAGTGCCCTGCTGATGATCTTATCGATTGCAGTGTACCCAACACATGGGGAATAACTTTTGATGATGGCCCCTCAACTGTCACACCCTCATTGTTAGACTATCTGAAAGCCAGCAACGTCCCTGCAACTTTCTTCTTGATGGGAAGCAATGCAGCTAAGTATCCCGAGACTCTCAAGCGTCAAGTGGCCGATGGTCACCATCTGGCCTCGCACACTTGGTCACACCATGCTCTGACATCTTTGAGTAACGAGCAGATTGTGGCCGAGATGAAATGGACAGAGAAGGTCGTGCTTGATCATACGGGTATGCGAATGAAATTTATGCGTCCTCCTTATGGTGAAATCAATAATCGTGTCAGATTTGTCCTCAAGAAGCTCGGTTATGTCGTCGTGGACTGGACTGGAGATGAGTTTGATTCTAATGATTGGAAGATGCCCCAAGTCAGCGAAGATCAGCTTGTTAGCTCTTTCTCAACATCTTTAACTACTTATGTATCCGGTAGCAAAACTAGGGGGTTCATCAGCCTTGAGCATGATTTGATACCTCAGTCTGTGGAACTGGCAAAAAAGATTATCCCTTTGGGCCACACACATAAAATCACATTTGCGTCCGTCGCTGGCTGTCATAATGTTGCTCCTTATCAGAACAGTAACGCTACTGTCGCCCCAACTCCTGCAAAAGCGGCACCGCCGGCAGCCACTACATTAGCGCCTCCCACTGAGGTAGCTAAGAAATCTCCAAAAAGCTCGGCGTCGCGTCTTGGACGCTTCGGGTTTGGCTCAATCGCCACAGTCATGATTGTTGGCCTACTTTTGGCGTAAAAAAAGGAGGGGCGTTTCTACCTGTTTACACTAAATAATTACATACATCTAATAATAAAATTTTATACACACCACGCGAGTCGAAGCACGCCTGAATGAATGTTTCTATGTTTATTAAGCAAAGTCAAATCGACCGTAAAGGTCTTTTAAAACTTGAGACGGTATGCCCTAGGACCAATGGTCGATCGCCACTGTTTTGCGTTTTCAAATCCGTTTTTGAACTCTCTATAGTCTTCTAGTGTTTGTTTAACTTCCTCTTTCGAGTTCAGAACAAACAATCGATCTTGTACAACAGGTTCTTTGAGTGGTCGACCTGCCAAAACCACGAAATGCGTGCTTTCGTCTTTGATTTGGATATGCAACGTGCTGTTGTTGCTGCTGTCTATCTTAATATTGCTATCGTCGTCATCGTTATTGCTTTTTGACAGAATTAATGCACAATGTGGGCGGCCTTCAAATGGTTTGGATGGATCTGTATTTTCCTCAATATAGCTCCTACTTTCGCCGTTCCCACTTGCTTTGCTGCTTGCTTGAATAGAAGTGGTCACTATATTGGCCGCAGAACCCCTGTCCCCGAAATATGCTCTTCCAGACAACATATAAATGAAGCCATTGTAATCTCTGGGGATGTTTACGTCCACACTCTTGTTCTTCTTCATCTGGTAGTCCAAGTACATAGTAGGGGTCCTGGTATAGACTCTGCTTTGGACCCCGTGAGCCTCCCCTGCAATAATCTTGACCTCGACTCCTTCACTTGGCCTTGCTCTTGGGATCTGGCTATCCCGCAAACCTTGATAAGCTGGTTCGCATAATTTGTCCGCGTGTGAGAGGTTGACCCATAATTGGAGACCATGAATCATATCCTCTTCTTCCTCCTCCTTTTCAATCTTTTTGGTCTCGATGAACTCCTTTTGCTCCAACTCTTGATTCCCCTTTTTCGCTTGGTCCTTGATAGGCATTTCGCAATGTACAATTCCTCGACCAGCGGTCATCCATTGAAGATCTCCAGGTCCAATGGTTCCTTTATGTCCAGAAAAGTCTTCATGCTGCATCTGTCCCCTTAACATGTAGGTGACAGTTTCGAATCCTCGGTGAGGATGATCTGGGAAGCCACTCTTTTCGGGATTTAAGTAAAACTCGTCTAACAGCAAGAATGGATCGTGGTGTCGCATTTCACGTGTCCCAAGGCTCCTACGAACAATAGCGCCCATACCTTCGGGCCGCTCTGCTGCATAGATAGATTTGGTGATGTATCTAGCACTACTGGTACCGCTGGCTTTAGGAAGAACCGAGAATACAGAGAATTGAGAGATTCTTGAGGCAAACATATTTTTTGTCTTCTTTTGTTGCTGTTCTTGATCTTGGTTACGGAAGTAAATCCTTAAGCCTATATATGCAGAGCTGGGGCTGAGGCAAATGAAATAGAGAGCAGGCAAAAGAAAGAAGAAAAAAAAAATTGCGCCTCCTCTCTTTTATTCTCTCTTATTCAACGACCGCATGGGCTAGTTGAAGCGTAGAAGGGGAGTGAGAAAGACAAAAAAAAAGCCACATTACGATGATATACACGTGACTGAGAGCGGCATCACGCGTCCTCACTTGTCATTCAACTCAACAACCTTATCCTTTCAATTACCCATAACCATGGAATCCAAGAACGACGACATTCCTTTTTACGAATCATCAGAGTGGGCGGACGTCGTACCTATACCTCAGGACGATGGGCCCAATCCTTTGGTGCCAATTGCTTACACTAAAGAATGTAAAGTGTCTATTGAGAACATTACGGACATAGTAGTATATATTAAATATGTTATGGTAACTAATACTAATATTGCAAAAAAAAAGATTCTACTACCATGGGTTATTTTAGAGCTATTTGTCAGCGTCAAGAGCAGAGTGAGCGTGCATTAGAGCTCACAAAGATTGTTATCGAACTTAGTCCTTCTCATTACACTGTCTGGTAAAGTTTTTACTGAAAGCGTGTCAAAGGGCAATTAGGCCTTTTTTTTTTCTTTCCCACTCACATATTCATTTGATATGCGTCTCCGCTTTATTTTTTTTATATTTTTTATATTTTTATATCCTAATGTGATTATGGTAGGCACTATCGTCAACGGTTGCTCAAGGCATTAAACAAGGATTTGACAGAAGAACTTGAATGGGTCGAATGGATGAGCAACGAAAACCCAAAATCTTATCAGATCTGGCATCATCGTCAGGTGATTATTGAACATAGTGCGGCTTCGCTCTTCCCGACCTCACCTTCCTCTCCCTCCGCTACCCCCACATCGGGTTCAGGAATAGCAACTACAGCATCTTCGTTAACGACAACACCAACGATACCATACCATGATCTATCTGAATCTCAAAAAGCGACCGTGCTGGAGATTGTTCATCGAGAGCTCACTTGCATTGCTTCTGCTTTTCAAACAGACTCCAAAAACTACCACGCCTGGTCATACCGTCAATGGGTCTTGACACATTTTGGACCTGGTCCTTGGTGGGATGAAGAGTTGACTTATATTGATGAGCTGTTGACAGATGACGTTCGGAACAACTCTGCTTGGAATCAGCGGTATTTTGTAGTTGCATTCGGCCCTAAGGAATTGAGTAATGAAATCGTTCAGCGTGAAGTGGAGTAAGTAGTTTCTATCTTCTTGAAAGTTGAGCAATTGAAGCTTTTTATTATTATTATTATGAACGTAGATTTCTTCATATCTATATTATTCGATAGATATGCAAAGTCAAAGATTGAGCGAACTCCTAACAACGAGAGTCCATGGACCTATCTTACAGGGTAAGCATCGCGTTTTATTATTATTATTATTATTATTATTATTATTATTATTATTATTATTATTATTATTATTATTATTATTATTATTATTATTGTTTTTGTTATTATCGCTATTAATATTATTATCTTCCTTCTTTCAAATGCTTTTCCCAGAGTCTTGAAAAAGGCCCAGCGTCCATTATCCGACATCAAGGATTTCTGTGAACGCTTGCATACGATCCCTCGTGCTAAATTTTCATCTCCATTCTTGCATTCGACCTTGATGGACATTTATGAACAAGAGGCTAAGGAAAATAGATCTGCTACGAGCTTGATCAAGGCCAAGGAAGCTGCAGACCTTTTGGCCGAGAAGATCGATACAATCAGGAGCAAGTACTGGAACTGGAGAAAGACTCAACTCCAAACTATTCCTGTCGATGTATAAAAAAAGTACAGCTTTGACAGGAATAGTATAAAAAGAGTGATAGTGATGAATATTAATTGATATAAGATGAAATTTCCCTTATATTAAGAAAAAGAGCCGGAGTATTTCGTGCCTCTCCTTCTATACCTCACCCTTTTTGTTCTTGGTCCGCTCTTTCGCCATGTCAGTACTGGGTAGCGTTAAAATCAACATCAAATTCGCTGAATAAATCACCTAAATTTCCTACCGAGCAAATCTCTGAGAGCTTAACCTTTAAGACATAGGCGAGAGATAGACATAGCGAAGAGCCTAAAGGGAAAGGGGATAAGGAATTTTTGGTACTGGTATTGGCGATAACTTGCGAATGAGAATGCTGGCTTGATGCCTGATTGAGGTGAGAGATATAGAGCTACTTGTAAAACTGATAGTTGAACGACTGCTGTGGCTCCTAAAATCGAACCTAGGGTGGTGATTGGTATATGAATGATAGATCGACAATTGGGAATGAATAATAAAATATATAGATGAAATATACTACGCTAAGTGCCGCCGGCACATGCTTTGCTGAAAGAGTGGGAAGACTGGTGGTGTAATCGGACTGTTCGTGGTCAGATTATCGTTGCCCGTGGCTGGCGCGATCTTAGTATTGGTGGGAAAAGATTTCTTTTCTTTTAGGAGAGGTAGTGATCTGTTGAATAGATCTGCCACTTGATGTTTAATAATAATTTTGCTCATAAAAGTGAAGCGATCTTCTTTTTTCTGAAGTAATATTGCCAATGGCAGCTGTAGGGAGTTCAACCTCGTGCGCGCGTAATTGCTGCCTAGGGCTAGAATAAACGCGTGTCGTATTGAATGAATATTCTATGCAGGGATTTGAGTTTTAATGCTTTTTTTTTGTGTCACCGCCCGAAATGAAAAAAAAAAAAAAAAAAAAAAAAAAAAAGAAGCCCAGGAGGTGGGTAAACGTGTTTGGAAGGAGGAATGGGTCTAAAGTAAGAAGGAGAAGTAAGCTAGAAGGAAAGATGGGCTAATGAGAAGGAAGAAGTTTATGAGATAAGGAAATAAAAAGACAAATAGAGATACAAGATTCCGGCGATACGATGATGTAGCAACCTTATTTACATTCACTTAGGTCTGCACGCAGTAACAACATATCAATAGCAAGAGAAGAGAGGGGACCACTCCTTGAAGCGTACGTGTCTGGTTTGACATGTGAGTTATGACAAATACTACAATAATACATTACTGGTCAAAGCCACCACACAGGAGCCCTCATTCTTCGTCATCAAATCCAGGAACGAAAAGTATCCCTGAATATTTAATGCTTTATCCAACATTAAACTTATATTCCAGCTTGCGTTACTTGTGCTATTATTATACCATAACTATTACGGTCGCCTTTTCTATATTGCTAAACTGCAGGTCGAAGGCAACATCAACTTGAGTCGGTATACCATTGAACCTCTCTTCCCGGGGATGCCTTAATTGGATTGAATCCCATCAATGACGCTCATATATGCCATGGGGAAATGAATAGATAGCTTGGCCTTCTATAAAAAATTAAATATATAAAAAAGTTCAAAAGGAAAGTTCAATAAGCGTCAAGATAAGCTATAAAAAAAAATCGAGGACTTGCGACGCGTTTTTTTTACTTTTTTATTTTTTTCTCCACCCATCATGTGGCACAATATTTTCTTCATCGCACCCTACTTCACCTCGTGTTCTCTTTTTTCAGCTATTGCAACTTGGATTGGGCTATAAGCGTTGTCATAATCACTAAGGCGACTGTCCGGGCGCAATATGAAACCGTATAAAACATCTAAACTCTACCACATGCTATTGGCTACTCTGCGCTTCTTGAGCAATACTCTTAACATATTCTTGCACTTTCCTAAGGGATGTATCGGTCCTTTGACAAATGTGTATCCTTTGATGACTATGTCACAATCCTTGGATCGAGAGAGTGCTAGGAATATGTGAAAAGTGGGACAATATGTGTCTTTACTGATAACTGGCGTAGCTTTAAAAAGCTTAGCTCAAGGAATAAATTCTGCATATTCCAGTACAAATAAGAGAATATCTATTCTGCGTCTCAGTAGCTACCATAATTCTATTGAAGTGTCTTAGGGCGTTATTTTGTATGACATTTTGAGAGTTGGCCGACTACTAGTCAAATTTATTGTTTTGAATAATACAGTGAACTTCAGCGATTCTAACTGCTCCCCTAGATGGCGGTCATTCAAGAGAAATCAAACAATTCTGTTAATTACTGCTAAGTCCAGGCAGATATGGAAATACAACAGGCATCGAGCAGTCGCCTATGGTTGTTGGATGATACGATTAGTATATTTATATATATATTATATTTGTATTATACATATATTATTGTTGTTTTTTTCTTTCAAGAGCGTGTACATGTTTGTTGCACACATGCATGCAGTTCAACTCTAAATAAAATTTCCGCCCACTTCCCATTCCTTGTGATATCAGGTTGCATTGCATGGCATGTTTATATCCGATGTGTTTCTTTTTTTTATTTCCGTAATAAGTTCAATCTTATGAAACAGCTTGTTGGCTTTACACCAAGTCTACAGAGCCCTTCTATTGTATATGTACCTACCTGTAATGTATATATATATACATGTACCTCATCGAAACCAAAGAACTGGATTGAAAAAAAAAGCCGTCTAAAGATGTGTCAGAGCCTTTATTAGAGTTAAGGTATTGAAAAAAAAAAAAATCAGAGAAAATGAAAAGGCAGGCACATGGTCTGGATTAAAGCTATATACCAATAATTTTTTTTTAAAAAAATAAGGGAAAAACGGGAGAAAAAAGAAGCGTACAGATAGAAGAACACTGTCTAGTATGGAAGGAGACATTAAAAAAGGGAGTATAGTATGGGAACATGAGGACATGAAAAAAGGAAGTATAGTATGGGAACATGAGAACATGAAAAAAGAAAAATATAGTACATCTAGAGAGTTGTGATATGTCATTAATTAATTAGCTGATTGATTGATCGGCTTTTTTCCCTTGTTAGTGGGACAAAGAACGGTAGAAATTAAATAAGATATTCATGGACGCTTTCCCGCCTACAGTAATCCAGAACTGCGGAGATTCAAACGCTGCACGATGGCATTCACAGCTACAACAATGACACGCATCTGTTTTGTATCCTACAAGACAGCAAATATTGAGAAAATAGACGCGTGTGAGTGTGACAGGCTACTTCTATTTTTTTTTTTTACCTTGCCAGGATACAATTAGATCCATGGTAACACAAGCATGGTATCAAAAGATACATAGTTCTGCCGACTTGCCGACCTGCATGCATGCATGCATGGAAGGGTAATAAAGAACAATAGGGATAATAATAATAAAACAAACTTACTGTAGCATGGGTGAAATGAGTATAGACCTGCTTTTGAAGATCTTTACACTGCTGCAGGAAGCGGTATTGGAAAAAGACAGTGGTGCTGAAGTAATCGTTAGGACCACGATATTCTGGGAAGTACTTGCTGACTAACGATCCAGCATCGAGTTTCCGCTGAAAAATATCAATTTTGTTCAAGAACAAAATCATGGAAGTTAGTTGGAACAGTTTGTGGTTCGCAATCTCGTTAAATAGTACTAGACACTCTTGAAGTCGGTTCAACTTTGGATCTTCTTCACATGGCTGATCATATGCAGACAATGCCGCCATGAATATGATGGCATTCACATCATCGAAGTAAGGCCTAAAAAACATTACAAAGATACAGAAAAACAAAAGAGGTTGAGTATATAATCAATATTGAAAAGTGCTTACTTAACCAACATGAGAGCCTATTAAGAAAAAATGAGTTCAAATTGTTTCCCGTTCCGAACCATTTTAAAAGGGCGAAAAAAAAAAAAAAAAAAAAAAAAAAAAGACGTGTATAGCCAATGATCACGATAAGATCAATCAGCCTTGATGAAGCAGATTGGAAGACAACTGTTCTGAGAAAGACAGACAAAGAGAATAATGGCCATGGGAAACGAAAGGAAAATACGAAAAAGGCCCTTGACTTACGCCCAATATTTCCGTAGTGATTTTTGACCACCCACGTCGTATATCCTATTTCAGCGCGGAGACCAAAAAGCTGGTTATGAATTGAAATCTTACGTCCTGTATCATGAACATTCGGCCATCTTTTTTTTTTGTGGACTGTAACTGGTATACCTGTAGGCCACATTATCAATATCAAAAACGTGTTCTGATACTGCCAAGGTCCTGACTCTGGCCTGTAGAATGTCATCATCCGTGGGGATATACTGTGCATGCGCCACTCGGTCAATAGCATCAAGAAAGCTAATGGGATTTTAGTTTAACGTCAAGGCATTTCTCAATCAATCGACAAGTAAGCTCTTTTTTTTTTTTTTTTTTTTTTTTTTTTTGAAATACTTACTACTTCGCAGAGTCTTGAATGTTAAGTTGTGTTATGTTATAATACGTGTGCTGGATACCTGAATCGGCCCAAAGCGCCTTAATGGATGGAACTAATTCCAAAAACATGTCTGTTTCTGCCTTTGCGTCTGTGATTTTGCGTGGAACAGCAGGATTTGAATATGCAATAGATGAGATGGAGTATCGCTTGACTGTTGGCTCTAATCGGGACATGATTGCTAGATGTTCAGCGTTTTGAGGATCTCCTAATGGAATGCTATGTTGCTGAAGGCCATCCACTAATGCCTGCATGGCTTTCATGATGTTCAAATGAACTACCCGACGATATGTCTGGCGCTCCGGATCCAATCCCTTTTGACCATAAAGGAGTTTCAGTTGCTTTAGAACTGTAGTCTTGCCAGTTTCAGATGGTCCTAATTGATGTCAAACCACGTATGCCATGTGTGATTAGAATACAGCTCAATGAGGGAAAAGTAAAAACTTAGAGTTGGCGGTTTTGGCAGTTTAGTGAATGCAGTTCATTGGGAACCAGTGCTAATAACTGTGATACACACGCGCACACAGGAAGCCGAAGAAGTAAAGGATAAAAAAAAACCAGCCCCCATTCGTCATAGTGCAACTTCAGCTCTTTTATGAGTGCCCAATGGGAGATCAAACCCGATTTTCCTCTCTTGGTTGCGATTCTTCGGCATTTTAATTGTTTTGATTTATCGCTGGGGGTCATTGACTCACTTTAATTCAAACAGATTCTTTTTTTACCATCTCTCGTATAATATGTACTTCCTTTTCCCTTTCTTCATTTTAAAACACACGAAGTGGAACTAAACTTTACTCCGTGCAACACTTGTTTTTTAAAAAATTAATAAACAATAGATCAAATGATATTGTTTTGACAAGCAAGAGGAAGTTACAGTATGGTGTTCAATATGAACGAACGTGTAACGATGATTGCACAAGTGCCATCATTAACGGAGAAGCCAGGAGAAGGTGTATCTTATTATTGAGTAAAGTAGAGTGTCAGTCCTCATGTACTAGAGAAGGAACTGGAAGAAGGGAAAAGGAGGGGGAGAGAGGAGTGAAGAGGGGCTGCTTACCGAGGATCAGCAATTTAATGCCTCCTTCTCGCTGTTCACGCTCCTTTTCAGCACGTAAAGATTTGTCAATGGCATCACTCAATGCCTTTGCACGTTTTTGATCAGCACGAGTCCCTGAGAACTGTGAAGTGAGGAGTGGCGTGAGACTGAGAGGACTTGTTCTATGAGAAGATGCTTCGGACCCATTAGAGGATCCTGATACATGCGAGAGTTCCATTATATAGAAAGAGATAAGATCAATTGAAATGCAAGCGAGGGGATTGGGAAGAGGGAAAGGAGAAGGGGAGATAATCTAAGAAATATACATATATCAAACGAAGTGGTGTTTAACATTCAAGTGGCTAGTAGCCTAATTTTTGAGTTGAGAAAGGAAGGAATGAAGGAATGAAGGAATAAAGGAATGAAGGAATGAAGGAATGAAGGAATGAATGGAAAGGTAAGAATGAGAAGGAATAAAAAAAAAAGGATCGGTCAGTGTGAAGTGAAGGATGAGCCGTGCACAAGTAGGACAGTTTGAACAAAGAGTTGAGTGAAGAGAAAGGTAGGAAGAAAGACAAGCAGGGCAGAAGTGTTGTTTGTCAGAGAAAGGGGAAAGAGTGAGTGGAGTGGAATGGAGTGGAGTGAGGAACGATGTCTGTGTGTGCGAAGGAGAGAAGGAAGAGGGAGGAAGAAAAAGAGAGATGGAAAGAAAGAGAGGAAAAGGAAGAGGACATTTAATTGATCACATCTTCATACATTACTTCACACTTTTTTTTTTTTAGAACAAAGCACAGAGTTGTCAATTGTGCTGATCAACAAGAGGATACACGGGCTGCAGCAACCCTTTTCTTCTGAACACACGCGCCTCTTTTCTTGACCACCTGTTTGTCTTTTTTATTTCTTTTTATTTTTTATTATTATTATTATTATTATTATTATTATTATTATTATTATTATTATTTTATTTTATTTTATTTTATTTTATTTTTTTTTTTTCGTTTCGTTTGGTGCACTGTCACATTCAATCCTGCATCACATCTCTTTTGCACACATGCAACCTCTAGCAAGTAAAAGTGTTTCTTCCCCTTGCAACTGACCAAGAAATAAAAAAAAAGATCTCCCATTGCATGTTTCATGTTTTGAAGTTGCTACTCTTACTCCTCTTCAGTTCTATAAATCCCCTATCTTCAGGCTTTATTTCTATAATTTTCGCTTGAACCTGAGCCTACTGGTTAGCCTTCAATATGATGCGTGTGGAAAAACAGAAAAATGTAAACATGTCTTATTTTGTCATGCTCACTCACTCACTCACTCGATCGAGATGAATGAAAGGGGGAACATTTTTTCCTTGGTCTGCTGAGCGGGAACGACGTTGTTTGTTTGTTTGACATACTAATTTTTTTTTTTTTTTTTTTTTTTTTTTTGTTTTTAGTTTAATATTATACTGTTGTACTCCATCTTTGCCTATCTTCACCTCTTATTCATCTCATAAATCAAATCCACTCTCACACTTTAACAAGTCCTATATTCTTGCTATACTATATGTCTAGCCACGAAGAGGAGGAAAAAAAAGAGTGATAAGTAATAAACAATGATCGTTTATACATCAGTTTATATACTTGCATGATTCTGAATGCAATTGAGATTTTATCCAATCTCCTTTTCTCTTCTTACCCGTATACCCATATACACATGGTCTTTCCGCTTGGACAATAAAAAAAGATATTTTAGGTAAGCATTCTCGAAGAAGGTCAAGGAAGTGAAGAGGTGCTCTCCTTGCTCAATAGACTATATGCAAAATAGTGTAGGGTGAAGGGTTGATGTTGAATAGACATACTGCTACTCCATTTTTTTTCTTATTATTAAAAAAAAAAAAAAAAAAAAAAACTGCGGTGCGCAATGATTGGAAAATACTCGTTTAACATTGAGCCAACAGCTTGAAAAAAAAAAAAAAAAAAAAAAAAAAAAAAAAAAAGAGCGCGGGAAGAAATCGACACAGATGTCACCGCCCATTGACCAAAAGATTGAGCCAGTGTAACAGCAAAGGCAAAAAAGATTGCTCGTATGCCCGGGGTACCTGACCTTCAATGAGGACCGTGAGCATGACCTTGGCAACACATCGTCGACATCAACATCAGATATCAGATATCGGCTCAGACGAAAAGGGACAGGTTACCACAGAGATATGAGATTTGAGATAGAGATTTATGGCTCAGCATGAATAAATGATCTTCGCCCTCAATTTTTTTTTTTATTCGCTCATTTACTTTGTTGGTGCCGTCAGTATATTTTTTTTTTTTTTTTTTTTTTTTTTTGAATTGTCTTTTCTCAGTGTTCGTTAGCAAAGGGATGCTCTCAACAATCGTAAACCACGAAGACAGGTTTCTCCGACTGGCAGGATGGATGCGAAGAAAAAAATAAAATAAAATAAGAAAAAAAAGGATCTTGAGCATGTCTTGAGCCATTCAACCCTGGTGAGCAATATGAACCAGATCTGTCATCTTATTTCAGTTCATACTATTTATTCCAGTGAAGAATCCCGCGGAGGGGGTTGCGGAGGAAAAAAAAGAGGGAACAGAGGTATGAGACAATGAGGAGAAACCCTGAATTCAACCCTTGGAAATATCCTTGAGGACAAAAAAATCGAAAAACTGGAAAAAAAGCTTTAAAGCGCCTGATTCATTGTAATACAGGGCGTCAGGTCAGGCCAAACGGATATTCACTTGAATTTAGTCTAATGTAGCACAGCCGCAGACCTGGTCAGGTCTATTTTCGAAAGCAATCACTAAGTGCATTGTAAACGCGTGCATTGTTGCCTCTTTTTTTTTTTTTGATGAGTAATAAATAAATCTTATTTGAGCAAGCTATTGAATATATACTTTTACTTGATATCATGCTTGGTGATATAATGAAGCACTAAAAGAGCTAAGCTTATTGTTATGTATGGCCAACGGTTTAATCTAGGAGGTGTATTATTATCAAATGGTCGGAGACAGATTGATGCTTACAATAAAGGAACCTTTCTTAATAGGGGAGAAGCAGTTGAAGCTGAGGCGATCAAGAATAAAATAGCCTCCTAATAGAAAAAATAACGGGGCAGATATGGCTTAATAAGTTTCTTGACTTGCCCAATTAGTGATGTTTTCATTTCGCTTCCTACCTCTTTGCACGATTGAAGGTTTCGCTTAACATCGTTTCCATTATCCAAATGATACGCGAACAAAAGATTTGGTCTGTCAAACAGAAGCAAAACCCCGACTCTTAGTTGTGACACTGTTCACTGTGTGGTTAACAATACAGGTCTCTGGAACGGCAAGCTGCTGTAATGGACAGGTTTATGTGACACTAAGTTTGCTCAGTCAATGAGTCGTATATAACAAACAGCCCATCAAAGCTTCAGCCATTATATTTTCATGAACAGGAGCTATAAAAATATGAATAAGGAAAAAAAAAGGATTGTCACATCTTGGCGACAAATATCTATAAAGTAGCCTGTCTCGCGATGGTCTAAACTCAGATCACATTCCCTAGCAGTAGGTGGACAACCTAACGCTTATAGCGCTTACTGATTTCTGCTTCAGCATGATAGGAGGTGTTGACGTTGAAGGACGCCGTTATGAATGCTTGGCTACCACAAGCCAGTTATTAAAAAGTCTAATTAGCCACTTCGATACTGCAGTAAACATTTCCACTTTTTCGAACATTTATTCTATTACCAGTGAATCCCTTATAGCGCTTTCCCATCTACAGGACGGAGTAGGTTTGTTCACATTGGTTTTTTTTATTTTTCTCCTTCTTTACCAGAGATTCTAGTCGTCATGGCTATCCCTTGCTACCACTTCCTTCACACCAATGAATGCCACATGGAGAAAAACTATTATGATCTTCGGATACATAATAGCCTCCCGATATGTTGACTCCTTCATAAAAGTATCAGTCTTTGCCCTCCTCCTTTTATTCATGGACGGGCCATCCTCTTAATAGAGCTTTAGGATTAGTCCAATGTTGCTTCATCCAAACCAGCTCTTTCATGTGCACTCTCTACTACTCAGAACCCGGCCTGCCGCCGCACTGTCAGACCTACGAGCAGATCAAGACCAGCTTTAAGCTGAGGAGGTAAAGGAGCAAGACGGAAGCGCGAGCTGCTGCGAGCAAGACGAGATATAAGCGAATAGCTACACGTACTTAAAAACGAATCGATACTAGTGCACATTTTCCCTAGTATGAACAGAGCATCGATATCATCTTCATCAAGGATGTGGAGAGGCCGTATTAGGAGAATCTTGTTTCCAAAGACGTCTTATAAAAGCCTCTGGCGCCCCAATGCTCTATAAGGAGTCTCACCGATTTGAGATAGATGTGTTTTTTGTGTCCTATGAAGAATGGTTTCTGAAACTCCAAGTCTTCATATTCCTTAGTTTCGCTAGTGTACAGTTCCTGCCAGAGAAATGGTGTGAGAGAATAATATAAGGAGCGGGAGACAGTTGAGAAATAGAGAGTGCTTGTCTGCGGAAGAGGGATGTTCCAGAACAAAATTTCGAGTAGATTCAGCCATATGAACAATTGTTTGGCGGAAAGTCCTGTTCCTGCATAATAGACATGATGTTTCACACATTAAAAAAGGCCACTACTTCCAACGTGTTGTTCAATTCTCAGTACCAACAGATAAACGCTTTGCACCCTTCGCGTTGTTTGGACATAACCAAACATATCTATATCGCTTATTAGCAACGGGCTCATTATCAGAAACCCTTTTCGCCAAATATTGAGAATGCACCCTGGAACAATATAAATCAAAACATTTCAAGATGTGCTTCGGTTCTACCGTACCCAGTTTGTCCGGTTGAAATCCTTTATCAGCGACAGTAGGTCCTCCCAGAGCATTAGTGCCTCTGTCGAGGACCCATTGAAGGCTACATTTTTCAGATTAAGTGCTGATGGCGTACCAATCTCTCAAGTTGCGATAGTTTTGGTATCATCCACGGCTTACAAGCGTAAAAATACCAGATCTACTTTGAAGGTTGGTGCTAGGGTATACGCGCTCAATCCTACTTTAATACCCAAATACAAGATTGAAGCCATATCCAATTCTTTACATGGATCCTCACGCTATCATCAAGTACACCATTGGAAAACTCAAAGACAAGCTTCCTCCCTTCAAAGTTTTTTTATTCGGGTTTGCAACAAGAGGAATATAAAGAGGCCTACGATATGGAGTTTGGCTTATATTATGTAGACCTTTACCTGACTTGGTGAGAACAAGTTTGAAATAATGGGGTGAACAAGGGGAAGGCAAGAAAAAAAATACACGTGCGTGTACTTTGTATCTACATCTGTGGTTACACAACAAGCAACTCGAGATCTTTTCAAAGGCAAGTAGCGGATCCTTTCCTTGTTGCGATTGGTAGCAATATACAAAGCATATATTCGTTGGGAAAGGACATATTGTCATTCAATCCAGCATTTGCTGGTCTTTTTCTTTGTTATTTTTATATATTTAATATTTATAGTAAAAAAAGCCGTTGTACATTGCTCAACTTGTGGGATTGCTGGTATGTGTGAATCTTTGACCGTTAAAGGAGCAGCGAAAAATAGAAAAAAAAAGAAAGCCTCGCGAGATGTTGCATGCCTACATCTACACAATGTATTTCTTATTAGAAGTATTACAAAGGTTAACCGAAGAAAGACAAACAGAAGCTGCATTAGAAATGAGAGCAAGTTATGTCACAGTTGACTCTATTGAAAATTTACAAAAAAGAAGACAAAAGGAGTGCACTGGCCAACGAGATCTTTGTTGTAACACTCGTGTGAATTTCCCGTGCTTGTTGATGGTGGTGATGTTGTTGTCATTGTCGTTGCCAATGTTATTGCTGTTTGCTGTTTACGTTTATACAAAATAACGTTGTATCTGTTCAGCTGGATAACAAAAGACAAAATTGATTTGGACTATTGGACAATTTGCCCATTGAGTTAAAGGGTCTTTGCCTTTCAACTTCTAAAAAAAAAAAAAAACGACGTCACTTTTTTTTTTTTTTTTTCTTTTTTTTTTCTTTTTACTTCTCTCATCTCATTCATCTCTCACTCACTCACTTACACTCACATTTCACATTCTCGTTCTCAATTTTGATTCCGTCTGTTTATACATTATGAGCTCACCTCTTAACCCAACTAATAATCAATCGGCTGCTCAGGGCAATAATACACAGGTAGAATACGAACAAAAAATTACAAAAAACCGAAAGAAAGTTCATTCTCATGACTTCATACTGACAACCTGAGTAATTCTCTTCCACAATCGTGTTCATGCATGAAGACCCTAACCGACCAAGAGCAAAAACTGCAGCGCATGTATGGAAAACTGCCCACGGGTAGAGACTTGCTTGGTCATAAGCTCAAGGTAAAGAAAAAAAGTGGTGAAGACCGAGCTTTGGACGAGTGGTGGTACCTTTTCGCCTCTGTCTATCATCCCATCTCGTGAGGGGGTTTTTTTTAAATGATTATAGGCTAATATTCCTGCTTTTATTTCTGTGTTTGTATATGACATTCCCTGTAACAGGAGCGCAAATACTTTGATTCGGGAGATTATGCACTTTCAAAGGCAGGAAAGACCTCGACCACAGTTGGATCACAACACCCACAGCCAGAGAATATCCCACACTCAAACCCAACACCGCCTAACGCAACCCATGGATCACCTCCAGTCAAAGAAAGCTCATTGATACATGAATCCGAGATCCCTGAGGGCGTTTCACCTACCGTTTCGCAGTCAGGGACTCAATAAAGAATTGGGATTTTAGTGGCAAAAAAAAAGGATTCTTAAAAAAAACTTTTTTTCTTTTCTTTAATGGATAATGAACAATGAGCAACAACAAAACAATAAAACGTAGTGAAAGCGAACAGAGCGAAAGATGAATAAAAGGAATCACAGGAAGCTGAAGGTTTACTGAAATTTAAAAATCCAGCATTTGTGGATCAATCATAAATAACAGTTATAAATGTACAACGGGGAAAAAGTTATTCTTAGTAATCGCATCTCTTGTGAAGTATAATAAAGAACAAAAAAAAAAAAAGGAAAAAAAAGGACTCTGCTGATATATTTGTCATCGTAATAAACAGAAAGGCAGTTGTACATAAAATCAGCCAACGATCAAATATTTTGATTCTTCCCGACAGCTTTGTGATGCATCGAAAATACGGGATCAAGTCAATCCCGTCAAATACTTTTTTTCCAAAGTTATATAATTTTCCAGAATGCTTTCACAATGTCGCCTCCATGGTAATTGATGATATCTTTATTAATCCTCGGTATTATATTTTCTGATCTTTGTGAGACGAAAAAAAAAAAAAAAAAAAAAAATTCATATTTGGATGTCTGCATATTTATCATCTGTAATTAAATACGCGTCGTCTTTTTATTTATTTATTGGATTGTGTCAAGGCAATCACTGCTCACATGTTATTGGACCTTCATTCACGACAATAGTGTCTCTCATCCACATGGGCCTCCTCTCATGACTCTGGAGCCGCATCCAGATTTACAATGATGTAACTATGCATGATATAACTTGAATGATCGGCTCACCCTTGAAATGCCAGTTGTCCCAACAAAATGTTAACTCCAACGCACGCTTGACCTTAACTACCATAAAATCCTGCAAGCATTCTCTCGTCATGTCCGATGAGTCCTAGAAACTGATGCAGATTGGATTATGTGCCCCCTTCTCCCCTCCCTTTTTTTTGTCTTGGGATAGAACAGGGAGAAATGTCTATCTGTATATATGGAGCATGCGCATGTATCTGCTTTTTATTGTGATCGTGACAAAGATGTTTAAATAGTGCAATTAGTTATCTTCTCCTTTTCTAATGTAATGTTCCTTTCCTAAAAAGGATTTAAACCTCATCTGGAAATAAGAAGAAGGATTAAGAGGCGAAGAGCATTGAACGCTCATTTAGATATGCCGGCCTTTCTTAATATTGGACAACGTCTGAGATCGAAATATTTAATGGAGGCCTTTTATCTTAATACTTTTTAATGGTTGAGATATATATATTACAAGTTTCTGAGTACTTTAGCACAAAGTAAATATCATCCTCATTGATCCTTCGCACCTCCACCCTTATTTCCTACTTCTACTCGCTCCTGGTGATAGCTCTGCTGCATCGTATCGACCGACATGTATGATGTTAGTAGTGATGTAGAGTGCAGATGGGTCCATGCTGAGGCTGACGTCTGCGGCGAAGATAATGACGACAAGGGAGCCAATGCTGCAGCAGATTTTGAGGCCATTGTCGATTGTGGACGCGACGATGGCGGAGAGGACGACGACCCAGATGAAGGTGACGGGACGGATTCAAAAATATTATAGCCATAAATCTTGATACTCCACGTTATACCCATCTTTTGGTGTTCATTCCACAACCGTTTCAGCATTCTTTTACAATTATCTTCATATGAAACAGCGTCCTCGCCCTCAATGGACTCGTGGCTATTCTCGGAAGCCTTGGATTTCGTTAGGGAGCCGAAACATCCCTGTGAAGACGCCTTCTTTGACTTATTGAGATTATAGTACGCCTGGGCAGCCCATCCTAGCAGTTCACGCGGTAACTCGTATGGATACAGGTTTTCAGCTCCCACAGATTCAAGATCCTTCCAAAGCTGGAGCACAATGTTCCAATTCTTTCGCTCTGAGAATGACTGAAACAAAATATTAATGATGACAAGATCTAGCATTGGTAGGTCGTATGAATATCCAGCCTTGGGTTTAAAGGGAAATTGTCGCGATAGTGATGGGTACATGTTTGGGGGCGCCCAAGATAGACGATCTGTAGAGGTAGGGCCTTCACGGCTATCTGCTGTTTCTTCACGCCACTGAATCTCTTCTCTTTCATCCGCCTTAAGTTTCTCTCTAGTTACTGAAAGCATGCGTGAATATAGATTCAGCGCTATCCCATCAAAGCGGCCTTCATGTTCAGGTGACAATAACCCATGAATAAAAGCTCCACAGTTGGTCGCATTCAGCTTAGGATTGTTACCCCAGAAGCTAGCCTTGAAGAACTCGATCGCTGCCAGTGGCCGTCCCAAACGAAAATATCCCGATATCATAGTGGTAATCTCAGCGTGGCTAAGAGGGTAGGAATCCTTTTGGATGACTTCCAAAATTGATTCGATCGCATGCGATGCGGACTCAGCCTGTGAGCCCTTGGATTTTGCTTCGTAACGATCCCCTATCCTTTTGCTACGATCGTGACTTCCTGGCTTGGATTTGTTAGAAGAGCCTGTATAGGTATTTGCAAACTCCTTGCTCAATGAGTTGACCAAGATTGTAAAGGTGACCTTATCAGGCTTCATTCCACGGCTGCGCATCATTTCAAAAAAATCGAGCGCCATCCCGGGTTGGTTCGACTTTTGTGCTAGTTGCATCAATGTGTGAAGACAGTACTTGTCCATCAGGATCACTGGTCGTTGTTGTTGCAGCGAGTTTGCGAAATCTTGTGCTAGCGTAATCTGTTTCAAATTGGCGTAGCCTTTGATTAACGTAGTAAATGTCACCACGTCCGCCTTGACTCCATACTTTGGCATCCTCCGAAACAGCTCCACAGCCTTATCCATCTCGTCAATTATAGTGAAACCGTTCATCAACATGTTGAAAGCATTGCTATTGGGTGATATCCCAGACTTGACCATCTCATGAAACAGCATTTCGGCTTGCTCAATGTCCCGCAGGACCACATACTGGCGAATCAATGTACCATAGGTTACCACATCGGGCTTAATACCTCTGGATTTCATTTCCTGTAGCAAGTTATCAATCTTTGGCACAAACTCCTTGATTTGCTCATCTGTCACCGCATTAGAATCGTCCTTACGCATGATATTGCGTTCGAGTGGAGACAGCTTGTCCACGAGGAGATTCAATATAGTATTGTATGTCCACACATCTGGCTCTACGCTCTCATCCATCATCCGTTTATATAAATCCATTGCCCCTCGAAGGTTTCTAGAGTTCTTGGCATAGTCAAGCATAATGTTGAAGGTTGTCTTCGAAGAGCGAATTCCGTGGCTGTTCATGAGTTGTATCATCTCCTCTACTTTTTCAAAGTCTTTCTGCGCTAGATAGGCTCGAAGAAGCGGATTAATACTCCCATCAACCAACGGAAGCTTCTCTGCGATGATTCTATTCAAAACCCTGCGTGCCTTCTCTACCTGGCCCTGTCGCGCGTATTGGTTCAAAAATACATTATAGATAGGGGCGGTCACATGCGCTTTAGTGGTCTCTGTCAACTCCCGCAAGACCCTGAGTGCATCAGGCATCCTGCCATGGCTCGCCAACGCAAGAATTAGCACTCGGTAATCCTCTGATCTTGGATGTAAATTCTCCTGTGGACTTTCTTTGAGCTTGTGAAATAAACCTATAACCTGGTCAAGTTGCCCCTGACGTAAATAGCTCTTCATGAGGATGCGATACGTTTTGGAATTAGGCACCAGGCCATACTCGCCGAGGCCTTTGTAAAATCCGTTGACAAGCTCAATCTCGCCCAAATTGAGATATCCGGACATGAGTAGGTTGAATGTATAAATGTTGGGTCGAATATCCGTAAGCAAAAGGCTTTCCAACACTCGTTGAGCTGCTCGGCCGTCCTTGTTCACCAGATGGCCACGGATTAGAATGTTGTACGTCGTCAATTGTGGGTAATAGCCATAGTCTTGCATCTCTCGGACGAGCTTCATAGCTGAAGCGATGTCCTTACACTTCATATAAGCCTCTATTGCCGTATCATATGCCTTGACGGTAGGCCGTAAAAGGCCTGATCGGTTAGTTTTGAGTTCCTGCAAACATGTAAGCAATGCATCGATCTGACTCGCATCTGCTAGAACCCTCATCAGATCGTGATATTGCTCCTGAGGACCTTCTCGGATTGAGGGCGAAGACGAATTTGATATGATGATCTTCGATTTGATCCGCTCGATCCATGTAGGTATTTGTTCCCTCATCTTCCAGCAATTTAGTGTATCCAGGAACAAGCTATAAACCTTATGGTTTGACTTTGGCGTTTTGATCGCATGGTGGAAATCCTCAAAAATAAGCTCCAATTTCATCAATCCACTTGAAACTGACTCACATGATCCCGATGAAAATGGTGATAATTTGAGGGCTCCAATAAGTCTAATAAAGTCCTCTCGTCCTAAGGCTGTATTGCCAAGATTCCGATCAGGTGTTGTTAATTCCATGCGCCATTGCTTAGCAGTCTGTTCATATAATGGCCACCAAATACTAATCGGATCACGCTGGTAAAGGGACTTCCGCAGAGACTCCTCTAATTCTGATCCTGGCGCCATCAAACTATTCCTCCAGGGGGCCTCAGACTGTTTAATCGTGGATAGGTTCAGCAAAGAGGGCTCTGCAAAGGATTCGGGAATACTTGGGAATAAAGTTTGAAAGTCGGTCGTGGATGATTCCTTTAATGCGGTCGAGAGGTCCAAAATGGGCGTTGACGCTCCCAATGGCGACGACGAGTTTGCTGGGAATGCAGAAGCAGATGTTGCAGGTGTTGCAGATGTAGATGCTGTAAAGGGTAACGCCGAAAGCTCCGCTTCTACATTGGATGTCATTGAGGCTGTAGTTGAAGATGAAAGAAAGCGTGAACTTACAGATACGGTAAGCCTAGCCCCAGAAGGCGCAGGAAAAACAAGCATGGGGCGTACTAGACTACTGAGCTGCGGGTGGGGCTGGTGGTGGAGAGCTTCGGGTCGCGTCCGTGATGGTCCCTTGTTATAAACAATGGTGTTGCAATGGAAGTTGACATTGTCCCCGGTGGAATATGTAGAGATATTCTGTCTTCTTAAACGAAGCAAACGATGAAAGGGTACTGCCTTTAATTGGCGTTGCTGATACTGAAGGAATTGAGGGTATGTATCGATGCCAAAGATCCGGAGACATGTTTCAAGCCTTTGCTGCTGCTCTAGCACCAACTGAGATTGTACCCGCGTTCCTGTAAAGGGTCTGGCTCCAATATGGGTATTTGGGTTGATGGTTATTGTCGACCTTGCCCTGGCGGAAGGAGGGAGTGCTATCAATTGCTGGAAGTCGCAAAAAAGGCACGAGGAAGACGAGGAAGACGAGGACGACGTGGCCCAGATCTGCCTTGTCGCCTTGTGCATCCTAAGTCCAGATCTACGTTCGGCACACGTCTATTACAGCTACAAAGGGATCATGCACAACCAATGCGGCGTTGTTCAGTAAATCTCATACTAAAGGTCGAACAGCAAGTAGGTGCGAGTTCTCATGGTAATCAATTGGCCGTACTTTGTGCGCCCCTTGCTAAATGAAAATCGTCTGATCAACTACGACAAAGAAAAAATGTAGGCAATGAATGTAAAATCAGCTGCAATTGAGATGGTTGTTTTGAGCGTGAGGCTTCTACGTCAAGCTAACGTACAAAAGGGCGAAGGGAAGGGTAGAAAGAGGCAAAAGAATGATGATAGTGAAGCCTGAAAAGTGCTGGAGGAGCGTTGCAATATTGCCACTGGTTCTTTCTCCGTTCTTTATTTTGGTGGCTGGCGCTCTCCGTTTTGTGTATCGATTTAGACATCCGTTGTACGACTGTTTCAAGGTTGTACATTGAGATTTGGACTATCCAACATATTCACATGTACTATTCCACAACCTCTTTTCGTAAAATATCATCTCAATATTCATATTAAAAGAAAGTGAAATATAATTATGCTCTGTTTACTTGTTGATCTATTGTCCCGATGCAGTGGCGTCTAAGAGACATCGGATATTTCACTCGCTTCTCTAAGTGCTTCTAGAAAAAAACAAATGAAACGCGAGTCTTTTTTTTTTTTTTTTTTTTTTTTTTTTTTAAAAAAAAAAAGTATGAGGGGATAGAGAAAAGATTGTCTTTGAAGCCTTTTATGGGAAGATGTTCTCTTACTTTATTGCTTTTTTTTTTGTAAGCATTATCTATTCTCTCTACTTTTCCTACTTCTCTATCATTGACAAAGACAGGATCCGAGCCAATTGTGTATCTTCATCTTCAATCTCCCCTTGTGATGCGCCATGGACATACTGTTTGATGACTGTGGGCTGTCGATGCTGCGTGCTCGTCTGCCCACTTGCTAAATCAGACATCAGTGAGTCGGTATTGGTACGCGCCACCATTGACCATGTCATCTTCTTAGTTGTCGCTTCTGCCTGCCTATCATTCTCATTTGTAGGATTTGAACCGTTTGTCAAAGGGGATGCGGGAGAGAGGATTTGCGGTAAAGCCTGACTGATCGTTGGCCAGGTATCAGCAGCAATACCTTTACCTTTCACGCCCTCATTAGTTTCTTGTTCTAGTTCTTGCAGAACCGACTGTACAATCCGTTGATCTTCTTGATTCACATACTCGTCCTCATTTAGGCTATCTACGTCAACAACATGGCTGGATTCCCATGGTATTGGGCAGTACGAGTGATCATGAAGCTGTTCAGAGGACACTCCTCCTTCTTTCTGAACATGCTCACCACCGTGAGGATAATCAGGGTTAAAAGGAGGCTGGGTATCCAGCATACTGAGCTCAATTGCTCTCCTGACTAACTCTTCTTCTTCTTCCAGCTCCTGTGCTGTAGGTGGCTCATCTGGCGCCCATGCATTGTCTGAAGAAAAAGTCGATGATGACGAACCCTCACCGCCCTTAGCCAAGCCCATTTGGGCTTGATTCTCTTGCTCAAGCTGCCTCTCTATCTCTTGTATCTGCTGCATCTCAAACGCTAACTGGGCAGCTTCCTGATCGTCCTCATCCTTGGAGAGCAACATCACATACTCGACAACTTCTTCGTCTGTCATATCGACCATATTTAACCCCTCCAAATTGTTATACCGCTTATGAAGCTGCTCGCGACGTTCCTTAGCTTGAGCTTCTAGCCGCTTTAACGAAACTGTTTCTTCGAGGCTATGGCGGATATCATTATGAATCTTATTTTTAGGCCCTGCGCTGTAGTGAATTGGCCTCTTTGCCAGGCTCTTCTGGTATTTGTCTATCCATGAGATTAGATACTTCAAGTTAACAAATGAATATGGAACCTTGATATACATAATCCGTAAAATAATGGATACCTTTGATCTGGGTTGCTTCTGGCGAAAAGTCCCAGCTCTTGATCAAGCGGCCAACAGACATTATTCCACGACATTGAAGACCATTGACAGCAATACATTTGACTCCAGTGGTTGCCATATCGTTGGGATCATGTCCAGCAACATACCTATGCATCAAAGTATTCAACATGTATTGTCAGAACATTGCTAACGTTTCAATTTATATCATGACCCATAAAAGCGTATTATAATTTCCTTTACCCGGTATTGAGGACTGCGATCAATTGCCCATTCACGGGGTTCCATGCCTTTGCCCACCCGTCCAGTCTGTAGAATTTGAAAAGCAAGCGGATGTATTAGAGGTGTCAGGTCTGTAATCCCAAAACAAATAAATCGATAGTGTCTAGCTTGGAATCATGGCCTTACCCTCCAGAGACAATAACTAGTCCGTCTACAAAAAGACTGGTCACTTTTGATTGATGACCTTTCAACACGCAGGTTGGCTCCCAGGTTAATGGTCCATGTTGCCCCTGACTCAGGTGGAGATCCAGCCGCTTTTCATGAAATTTCCAGCGCTTCAAAACATCACTCAAGTACCATAAACAAATATTGCCAGCTTGGTCTCCAGAAACCAAAAGGCTGGGTATTTCATTCCGTCCGTGTATGCGAGCCAGAGACGTAATCATAGGCCTCTCTTCCTTTGTAATGTCCCAGTAGATCGCACTGATGGCAGTAAAGTGTGCCGGGCTTTTCAATATTGCCAAGTGGGCGAGTGTTTCGAGGTCATAGAGGTGCATAACCTTCGAGTCCATAGCTTGAGCTAAAATCAACCCTCCATGATTCATCCCAAAATCAACCTCGAGATATCTCACACCTTTAAATTGCTCTGGAAGTTTTATCACCTTGGGTAACGTAGCTGATATAACTGGATTACTGGTGGTAACCGTACTATGGTTGGCGGTATTTGAGGTAGCAGACTGTGCTGGAGAAGTAGCCCCTGAAGCGGACGCGGACACTTGCGTTACAATTGCATGAATGTCAACTTCCCAAACGAAAATTTCGCCTCCAGATGTTCCTGCAATGATACGTGAACTTGGCTCACAACAAATGTGATCAATCGTTTTCCTCTCATTTTCTGCCAGATTAAATCCTGTACTAAACTCTCGGACACATCGTGCTTTGGATACATCCCAGAGCTTGACAATACCATCAATTCCTCCAGTAAGAACAAATCCAAAAGAGTTGGGAATCAGTTTAGTACAGCTAACTTTTCCTGTATGAAAGCCTGCGAATGTTTGAAACGTTTGCCCTGCTGCCGCATATGATAAAGTGGTCAAAGAGACCTGTCCAGTAGAGAGTCCCCATAGCACTCGATGACTATTCCAGAGAAAAAAGCTCGTAACACTCAGCTATAGTGCTATATAGGTGATCTAATAACATAAACCAGTCTTACAAAGCGAAATTTCAAACTTACCGATCCATAGTCATGGCCGAGACAATGGCGTGGAGATGGTGGGCCATACGAAATACGGCATCCTTCTGTACCTTCCCCAACGAAGGGCTGCATCTAGCCACAACACCTGACAAATAGTTGAGCGAAAGGTAATCATGAACATCACATCATTAATTCTTGCTTTCAGCCATTCATTATAGACACGAGTACTAATATCTCCTATCCTCTATTCCCACACCTTCATTTACGCTGCCAGCAAGAAACCAGTCCGTGTTCGAACGACTGTTGACTTCGGACCATAGGGAAGAAACTTGGCCGATCTTTGGATTAATCCAAATATTTGCTCCGCGTCCTTTCTCCCACCGTCTCAAGAGCCTTGTGCGCTTGATGTATTCTCCACGCCAACTCTTAGGGTCTAGACGCTTAAATGGAATGGATGCGCCAAAGAACTTCATAAATGCCGCTTTCCAGCATGAATCTGCATTAACAACATGATAGAGCAATCGACAGACTAAAGATACATTGAGCTAGATATAAATAAAGCAACAAAGTCTTGGTCATTAACCCAACCGAAATAAATCAAATAAAAATAACGAATGATAAACTAAATAATGGAGATACAACATGATAGTTACCAAATCACTTGGCTCCAAATGCGAAACAACATGACTAAGTATTTCGATTGGTAGAGTGCAGATCAGGTTTTCTCTATTTGTATCCCGAGGAGAATACCATATAAAATAATGCCAGCCGTATTAGCAAGCCAAAAAAAAGTCATGTAGGATAGATCTATCAATTTTTTCTTACCCTGAGCCATTTGCTGCTGCCGCCTTTTCTGCCAGTCGCTTTTCTCGAGCTGCCTGTCTAGCCTCCCATGTCAAGTTTGAATAGGAATGAACGATTGACGAAGCTAATGCAGGACGATATGAGCCTGGTCTTCTTAATCTCTCTATTGCTGCATCAGCTCCTGATCCTGATCCTGATCCAGTTGCAGAAAATGTAGAATCAGGTCTGCTGCTGGCATTGTTTGTTTGAACCATTGCAGCTTTCTGTCGACGTTCTCTTCGTTTTCGGGAACCCGGCTTTTGAAATATATAGGAATTCATGAACCCACTGCTCTGTCGGTTATTGACAGAGGCTTGACGCTCCCATTCGAGCCATGACTCCTCGATACGCATCTTTTCATCATGAAAATACGCAAGGTCATCCTGTGGGTCATAGTAATCCTGTTCATCTAGGTCCTCCTCCTCTTCAATCTCCTCATTGAGATCCTCCATTTCTTCATAATTTTGGCTGAATGCCTCTTGTTCATGGTCATTAAGAGAACTTTGCTGCGGTGAGCTTGCACTATTATTTAGGGTACTGTTGCTGCCACTTGCACTTATGTATTGTACATGAGCCTCCGGAAAGTTGTCAGGATTCGACATAATGTTGATTCTGTAATGAAGCTGAAAGTGTAACAAAATGGACAAGGATTTCTTACACTTTTTTTTTTAATATGTTCCATGCGTCAAACTTTATTTCGTTGCTGCGTATTACAAAAAACCTTATCAAGCCACGGATCCTGCGGATCAACGACTGCGGCTGGTCATTCTTTAAGACATTAGTTGGCTACAAATTAAGGTCATGAAGGATACCATGATGAGGATAGCGCCATGCTAGAGCTCACGGCACTATGAAAGTCCATTCAATCACAAAAAAAATGTCTTTCTGTGTAGCAACACTTCCATGATCAATCGCGTTTCGCAAATAGAACTGGCAATTCAACTCCTCCTTTGATAAAATCATTCAAGTTGGCCAATTAACCAGTTTTTATATATTTGTCATATCAATCCTATGCAAATGAGATTTATAAAAATGCTCAAGTAATTACGTTGATGGGTGAGATCAAGCTGTTTATTTTGAAAGATCAAGAGTTGGCTTGTGCAATAGATGGTGCATTTAGTCGAAGAGACCGAAGCCCATGTCATCATCAGACTCCTCCTTGGCCTCCTCCTTCTTCTCCTCCTTCTTCTCCTCAGCAGCAGCAGCAGCACCACCGGCAGCGGCGGGGGCGGCAGCAGCACCACCAGCAGGGACGGAAGCGAGCTTGGAGGTACCCTCAGCAATGAGCTAAAAAGCCAGCGTCACAAGAAATCGCAATTAATAAATATTTATTTATTGGAAGCAAAAAATTATCGCTACAGGCTTCAACAGTGGACATGCACATAAAACATACCTCGTTGATATCCTTGCCAGAGAGCTGGGAGATCAAGGAATCAATACGCTCAGACTCGGACTCGATACCGACGGTGGAAAGGAGGGAGGTGATGTCCTTGGCAGAGGGAGAGGTGTTGCCACCGATGGCGAGCAAGAGGTAAGCAGCAAGATACTTCATGGTTCTACTCGCGTGTCACAAATGCAAGAGAGTGTTGTAAAGTTGAACGAATTAGGATCCGTAAATTTAAAAAAATCAACAAAAAAAAAAAAAAAAAAAAAACGATTTCACAGGTGGTTTTAAAAAGGCGAAAAGATCCTGCGCCATCCTCGTTTATTGACGTGCTCCAGTGCTGAACAAAAGGACTACGGCAGTCTAAACTGACCCCATACGTTGACTATAACATCTCTGGTTGTTTGATCACCACGTCGCAGGTACAAAAATTATGCACATTGGAGGCGATGGATCTTCACAAGCGTTTGAATAATGATTGGAAACGTCGTAGGATAATCAGGAACCATCATCTCAACACTTTACTTGCCAAACTTTGATTGAATACAGAAATGTAGTGTTAAGATATCCACCCTATCTTTGGTTGATTACTGATGACGATGGTAGCAAAATGGTGGATGCAAGTGCGAGTGTTGAGTGCGCTGATTACTGTGCATTGAGGAAACGATCAGATTGATATGTATCGAGTTAATCGATGGATGGACTGATAGTAATATCCTGGATGGATGGATTGATCCCGTCTAGACCACATAATCTCCATTTGTAATAGCCAGCAGCAATTAGTCCTTACAAGAATCTGTAGATTGCAAGAGGAGGAACAGCACTAGGCTGCAAAGGCACAAAGTTATTTAAACTAAAATTCGCCCGTCACATTAATTTTTAGAACTCTCGCTCATTACAAGCACCCGACATGGCAACCTCAACATAGCAACTATATACAACATCGCTCATTCTCTTGTCATTTCGCATACTCAAGATACCTTTGCAGACACTTTACATATCTTTAGCAACCACTCTTAGTTGAATAAGAAATAATAAAGCTATAAATGGCTTCATTTTACAGAGTTCCACTTTTGCGCCAAACCAGACACTTGGTTACCAAGTCAGTGCACAACACAGCACCTATCACACATGTATCCAGATTATTTACTTCTTCGAAATACACTACAGCATCTTCCCACCCCTCAAATGAAACCAATAGTGCTAATGATATCGACCCCGCCGCTACAGCTTCTTCAGTGCCTCCACTTCGCCTCTCTAAAGAGCAACGTGCTTTGCTTGAAGAAATGATTCGGATCGATCAAGCAGGAGAACTGGGCGCCAACTGGATTTATCGCGGTCAGTATGCAGTCCTTGGCTCTGACAAAAAAGTTGGGCCTTTGCTTCAGGTTAGGGGCAGTAAGATATAAAAATGAAAGTATACGTAGCTTTGACTATGTCTTAAACATAAGAATCTTACATTTCTTTTGTTGTCATCATTGATATTTTAGCATATGTGGGATCAAGAGAAGCACCATTTGAAGGTTTTTGATGGGATCGTCAGCCAATACCGTGTCCGTCCTACCGCACTAAGGCCCGTCTGGGAAATGGCTGGATTTATTCTAGGTGCTGGTACTGCCCTCATGGGCAAGGAAGCTGCCATGGCTTGTACTGAAGCAGTGGAGACTGTCATTGGTGGACACTACAACGAGTAAGGGATTGTACTTATACAAAGCAAGCGAGGAGACACGATAAATATCAAAGCACATCATTAAATATAGAAGGACCACTAACCCACTTGCACTCTTTGTATTAGTCAATTGAGAGAACTCCTCAAGATCGATCACCCTGATATTGCTGAGCTGCGCAAGGTAATGCAGAAGAGATCCGGATACGCCATTTATAGTCGTCCCGGCGAAATGACCGTGCACAAGAATGATAATAATCGCTAACTGCTTGCTTGCCTTTTCCTCGATACAGATCGTACAGCAGTTCCGCGACGATGAATTGGAGCATCTGGAGACGGCAATCGAACATGATGCTCAAATGGTATGGACAAAACCATGTGATAAGTTTGATGAATCATAATTTTAATAGTCAAAATCCTGATCTGACAATTTTACTCTCTTCATTTCTTTCTAATCGTGTAGGCACCTCAACACGAGATTCTCAGCAATGCCATCAAACAAGGTTGCAAGGCTGCCATCTGGATATCTGGCAAGATTTAAATCTGTTAACTAGATACTGCCATTAATCAATTACTTTTACAATACAAAATGCGTTTATCTGTTGCAAAGAAATAACTTAAAGCATCTTGCAACAATAAAAGAGCTGTTCAAAGCGATCAACAAAATAGCACTACCTTTTTTTTTGTTGTTGTTATTGTGGATGACGTGAATACACATGCACAGTAAATCGACAGCGCATAAAGAGTAGACTACTCAGTTTTCACACTCTTGGCACCATATTGAAGACCGTATTTACGATGATTGCTTTAATGACTATCTCAAGTTCTTGGAACATCATATGACAAACTTACTGCGAAGCATCATCTAATTACTTTTAAAGGGGCTGGTAAGCCTGACCTAGTGACTAAAGCTTTCCCCTCTGTAGCGGAGGGTCTGGATCCCAACCCGGAAAGTCTATTTTCTCTTGGATCAAGGCAGGAGGCAGAGAGGTACAGCCCCCGACCTTGCATCGACAAAATGTAATCGTCCCACAGTACCACAGATTAGAGGAGAGTCCTTGGAAGATAGAAGGAATTGTTTATGCGATGCACAACCATTATCAAATAAACTCTTAAAAAAAAATTGCTAACCGCATCAAGAGATATCCTTGATCCTAGGATATTGCGGCAGTTCATGATGCGTAATTCTAGCTTGAAGATTGGCCAAAACAACCCAATCCTTTTCTTCCAAGATAAGTAGGAAGTGCCAGTTCACTAGCCAAAGGTCGTCAGCGTGCCAGTAGTCTTTGAGCACGTCTAAATTGAATAGAGATATCATTTTAAAAAAACAAATTAGAGAAGACTCTCCTTTTTCTAATCTGTGATGTCAATGTCAGTGTATAAGAGCTTATAATATTCAAATAAATAAATATGAACAAACAGGTCATCAGCCTGATTGATAAGGATCCAACCAACGCAGATGCTTCAGAATGGGGGCGACAGATACAGCACATCTTGTAACACCATTAATTTAAGTGACAGTTTTTTTTTTCTTTTTCTTTTCTTTTTATTTTTTTCTAACTAATCTATCTGGGATATTGTTGGAGAAAATTACGTAGGTTCTGTACCGTCATCTGCGCATTCTCTAGAATGGACGATCCATATACAGGGATTTCGGGTTCCCGAAGATGCACTCCACTTTTTGGTGCAGTAGGTGCAGTGGTAGAAGTAACGCTGAAAGAAGCAACATAGCTGCTATCACATGTGTCTCCATTATGCTCAGCTCCGGTCCTTGCGTCATCATCACTATCGTAGCTGTTCTCGTCCCAGCGATGCAAGCCTGGTATAGCGATACCTAGCCTTGATGCCCCTGAATCGCTTTCCAGCAACTGCGGTTGGTGCTGCAACTGGTGCTGGCCTTGATGCTGATACTGGTGTGAACTCCGCTCTACTTCCTCTTGCTGTTTCACCATATATGTATCTGGAAGAGTTTCCGATATGGTTTCATCAGGTCTTGGGCCAAACATGCGTTTGGATGGTATTGGGTTAGAAACAGGCGACGTAGGGGCCACCAAAGCGTCTATAGTAGAGCTATACACAATCTTAAGCTCTAGCTCTAGCAGCTTCTGGTATTTGGGTTTGATTCCATAAAGCATGTATCCATATTGGTCTATAGCCCATTGAACCAATTCTAGCATCGTCACTGCACGCTCTATCGCTTGTAGGATCCTCTCGCACTCTTCCGAGTCTGCAATCGCTTGTGAATGAGAGAGAGTAGCGCTTGTTGTTGCTAGAGTGGATGTATCTGACGTGAAGGAAACAGATGAGTGTAGTCGGCGGTGGTAGATATCTGTAGAATGGTCTTCCTCGGCAATCATATTATCCTGCAGGGCTTCTGGGCTCGCCATAGTGTCAGAGAACCTAATGTCCAAGTCATTCATATGTGATCCAGTTACGAGGCGCAATCGACTTTCGCTCGGCAACCCATTAAGAGCAGTATCAGCTCGTTGTAATGGCGGTGATCGCGGCGAATCAACGTTATCATCAGTTTCTGTATCAGTGTCTGTGCTCGCACGGGTATCGGAGTCCGTATCTGTGCCAAATGTCCCGCCTGACTGAGCACTATGAGCGATGGATGACATGGATGAGGACTGGGATATGGGCGGCGTCCTGTATGATGAACTTGCTGCAACAGCAGCGGAAGAGAGCATCCTTCGGATTTGTCCTCTGACTTTTACCAATAACCCCGCTGGCGCATCGCCACCTCTACGAACCCAATCCAGTAGGGTGGTATGGGTGCCAACACCTACAGAAGCGCTGATAGAGCCATCTACGAGGCGATCACCTATCCGCACTGCTTTCCCTAGCCCTTCATCTCCAACCTCAGCTCTTGTAGGCCCAAGCGGTCGTTGTCCGCTAGTATTATCGGTTGTACTACCATTACTATGGCCAAGACGACGCTGGTCGTTTCTATCTACATTTGTATTTAGCTGCCATTTCGCCACAACAGCGTACAAAATATCTTTGAGCTCAATCATGAGCTCTCCTAATTTAGACGCATATCGCATCCTTTCCGGATTGTACTTCACATCTCTGTCTTGAAATGGGATTTTCGCCATAGACTCTCGGAACAGTCGCATCCTCCCTTGCTGATCGTACTGACAATGATGTAAGACAAAGAACTGGAGCGTGGTAGAGTTGAGCAAAGTAAGAAAGTAAATCAGCGGCGGACTTGGTTGAGCGTTGAAATGCTGTGAGAGTGGATTGGGCGTCAAGTAGATACATTGGTTTGTCACCGCCAGTGAATTGGTGTCAAGGAAGAATCGCTGACGAGGCTGAGTCTTGGAGAAATAACCGTAGTTGATCGGGTGAACGATCTTTTCAGAAATATCAAACCTACCAATAGTGCAGAAGATAAATGGCAGTAAGTACACAGCCAGTCGCCTTTTAATATAAGAGGTGTAGAGCAAAACGGTTAGAGAACGTGACATACCCGCACTGGTTAGTAGAGCAGAACGCTACTCCATCGTCATCCACTGCTTGCTGCTTGCTATTAATCCCGGCTTTGCGCTTTTTGGACGCCAATCCCGGCTGAAAGTGATTGCGCACATCCGTCAGGTATCTCCATAACGCCAAGGAGCCTTCCTCACCTTGGTCCACCTGTTGTCGAAGGATCTTGACCGATTCCTTATCGACCATGCAGAGTGCATACGTCCTCTGCGGCGTAGACAAAGGGATTAAATAGGATTCTGCAGGAGAGCCCTCCTTCTTGCTCAACCGCAACCGATCACGAGTTTGCCAAAAGAGACCTTCCTTGTGCATCACCTTGGTTGAATGAACACCCCCATTAGGGCCGCCACCAATCTCCTCAGGCGAGTTTTTGCCGTTCCAATAAAAGGCAGGTTTGAACCATCGCTTTGTCATAGTCTCCCCAAAGTTGGCACGTGCATAATCCATTCGCGTGACTAGACCATATACAGGGTTGGTATTAGGGCCACGATGCCATTGTAATGGTTCTGCTGCGCTCAAGCCCTTCATCCTTCTTGCCCCTGCAGAGCAAATCCCACCTAGGTCCTGCGTAAGAGCCAAAAGATATGTTGTCAGTCCCGACGATGGCATCATAGGTGCGAACGAGTATGTCCAAGTACTCGGAACAGATACTGTTGTTGCTATTGTTGCTGTTGCTGCTTCTGCTGCTGCCGTTGTCGCTGGCGTACTGTCAAGATTCACTCCGCTGACGCTAGGTGGTGGGGTTGGAGCTGATGACGGCGCTAAAGGAGGGAAAATGGCAACACTCAGCTCCTGTCTTGTTTTGATCGAAGCCATAATGCTAAAGTCATTATTAGTGCTGCTTGAAGGACTAAAATCCATATAGTCTTGGAGGATACCATTCAATGGCTTATGGTGATCCGTATGTCGGAGAAATACTGTTGTGTGTGCTTGCAGAGCCTTCTCTCTGGCCATAGCATCTGTGTGCGGCAGATTCAAAGCTCGAACCTTGAAAATCAAAGAGTCTGTTTGAACCTTAGAAAACACCTTGAATGGTTCAAACTGGTAGAACTCATCCATAAGACAATTATCAAATAACCATGCCCTGTTGCCAAGTAAGTGACAAAAAAAGGATGATGAGTATGTTGCGCAGTTATTGCAGTTATATCCGCATGGAACTTGCTTAGGTATATTCAATTACCGTAACTTGGAGGCAAATTCCAGGGTAAGCCATTGACTTGCTGAAAATATTGCGAATTATGGAAAATCAGAGAACAGGAGCATTAGAATGAGAATGAAAATAAAATAAAAATAAAAATAAAAAACTGCAGCAACGATCGTCTTACCTGTGATCATACACAAGACTCCAGTGTATGGTTTAACTCGTTGGGCTGCAAACCAGATAAAGTACCCATAAGCCTGCATCATCCCTTTGGCCCCTGACCGCATTTGCGCTAATGGCGCTTTTCCTGACTCTAGTAACGCAGCTGGTACCGATCCCACACTAGCATTCAAGTCAGGCCGCGGCGCATCTGATTCAGGACCCATAATGTCATCGTTATCATAATACATCTCAACAACCGACTCTGTACCTTCATCAGCACCTAGAGTCCTTGCGGTAGCACTTTTTTTAAAATGCTTGGATCTGAACGCTCTGACAGATGCCTTGCCTTCACCGAGATTAGAGGCGCGATTGGATACAAATGCAGCATTTCCCTGAGCAAAACTTGACTCAAGAATACTCCAATCATATACCTCTGGATCTGGTGCACTGAAGGTGCCCGTCTTACGGATCATATAAGGTGGATTGGTGACAATGAAGTCAAACTGAAGCTTTGATGGGTTTCGGAGTCGAAGAATGGATTCACGCTCCCATGTAGCCTCTAAACTATCGCCTTTTGGTATCGTCAGTTTCAGTGTGTCATTCCTAAAGAGATGTAAGCGGGGTAGCTGCCGTCCTACGGATAGAGAGACGAACGGCAATTGTGAAACTTGCATCTGGTCCTGAGTTTGATAAGCTAATTCTCGGATGCGTTGAACAATGGGGATCAGTGCCGCAAGGATGCCGCAGCGCGCCATCCAGAACGCAAATCCGTCAAGTTCAATTCCCCACAAGTGTTCACAAATTTGATGGAGTAACAGCTGTAGCGCGGGCCGAGAATTCCATAATGCTCCTTCGTGTCCTGAATGTGCCTCCTGAGTTAGTAAGCGAACATACGCGGACAAGAAGGTTGAAACACCCAAACAAGGGTCGAGTGCCGTCGGGATCAGGGGCTGCTCTTGCTGGATAAGATGACGCAGAGCGTCCTTTTGAGCCCCTGAAATCCCGTCATATGGTGTCAAATAAGACAGTTTCTTCATCGCTCCAACAAATCTGCCTAATATGTTGCCAAATCCTTGAGTTGTTCGCTTCCACATAAAATCTACGGCACTTGGAGGCGTATAGAATTGCCCATGGTCCTTTTGGTATTCCTTGGCAGTAATGGATAGAATATGTGTCGTATAGAGCTCGTTCAGAATGACATCAAAGTGCATTGCCTGCACATTCTGGGCTGAGATTGCTCGGCCCTCCTTCTTCAATGGCCCCTCAGGATCTGACCCAAAGAGATAATAATGCCATGCATAGAGGCCTGCCTGCTTCATGGGATCATGCTCTGCCTCTCCAGCTGCATCTTGAATATGTGTCTGTCCCCCTATTATCCCACTCCCTAACGCATCAACTATCGGCTTCAGTACATTATCCTGATCATCAAATAGATCTAAGAACTTCATCAACTCCGCACTAGCATATTCATGATGGAGAGAGTCGCTTTCTGTGCCTTGCTGATCCAATGTTAGGACGCTAGCCTCTAGAAGGGCTTGCATCAGCCAGCAGACTACACTCACAAATGATGTCATCAATGCTAGGAATTCAACCGTCGAATCGTATATTTCTGCGAACTCCTCTTCCTCTGGCGTTGGCACTGAATGCATTGCAGATGCAGAGCCTCCAGGTGAGCCTAGGCTTGCTTGACTCAGGCCCGCCTCTAGTTCGGTGTCGCTATCAGTCTCACAACCATTGTCTTCGGGGCAATATGTCGACTGGGATAATCGAGAAGGAGGTAGGGATGGAGCACGTTGTCGTGTACTGCCTAGGGTCGGTGCTTTCTGCCTTGAGGGAACCGATGTGGATCCTAGCCTTATAGGCTTTGTAAAAGAGGGCAGGGCAGTCCCAGATCCAGCTTCCATTTCAGTTCCCATTCTTGCTCCAGCCCCCAAGCTTGCATCAAGTGCAGAGAAAGGTTGTTGTGGATTTCCATGAACAGGCTTTAAAAGATCTCGCAGGTGTACAAGAGAGCGGAGCATGGTCGGACGAAACGTTGTGGGCTGCTCTTGCGAGGGAGTATTGTCGCGTGAGGCAAAGACGCTGTGTGACCTCAACATTCCATTAAGTAATTCAATGAGTACATACTCCAGATTAGGATTGGCGTGCCTGTTGTAATCTAGTAGGAAAATACCAACGTTAGCGCATTTCCGATTAGTTTGGAATGCTCTTGTTAAAGAAATATGCAAGCATCGCTCACTCATGTCTTCATTAAAAGCACTGGACATACTTACCATTAAAGCCACAATATATAAAAGAGTCAAGCAACTCTCTGACATGATCTTTGGTGGAAATTAGCAGCCGGCCTAGCTGGGTACCAATAGCCTCTGCATCCGGAGAAGAGGTAAATCCATGGTGCCCTGATACATCAGTAAGCATGAATTCCCTGGAATGGCGTCGCTTCGCTACAGAAGGTTTACGAATGGAACCTAAATTGGCTGTGGACGATATATTGGAAGAAGCAAGGTGGGCCTGTGAACCTGGAGGTAATGATGATGATGTTGAGGGAGTAGAATAAAACCGTCGGGTGTACGGGATGTCGCCCGTGCGCTTCTGGACAATATGATTTCGAAAATGAGGCATGGGAATGGAGTATGATGTCCCTTTTGTTGATGTTGTTACTCGGGGCATAGGCGAGGGAGAAGTGGATGAAGGGGTGGGTCGGCTAACTTTGGACACAGGGATGGTTGGTTTGTGCACAAAATTGGACAAATGCTCACGAGTGTTTTGATCATGCTGCTGTTCCCGCCCTCGTTCCTCCGTGCTCCCTGTCGAAAATTGTTGTTGATGGAATTGTTGGTGCCAAACAAAGCTCTCTGTGCTAGAGGAACCTGAACTAGATGGCGACGACAGCATAAATGGTCGTTTGTTTGGACCATTTGCCTTGGGTAATGACATTAATGCTACTGGAACGTCACCATGCTTTAGAGCTAAGGACTCGAGCACTTCATGGGAAGCGGCTTGGCATTCATGTTCCCTACAAATAGGTCTCTGATCTAAACGATGAAGTTGCCCAGAAGGCTGTGAATGTGAGTAATGTCTCCCTGTTGAAAACGGATGGGCTTGCCCATAGTAAGCATCTTTCATCCAAATATCTTTTGCTGCAAAAGTAGTTGATGCTCAGTATGGTGGATTAGAAATGGGTTTATCAATAGATGAATGATGGTGCACAGACAAGTTCTTACCTCTAAAACTAAGGCTACTGTTGTTGATGCTACCGAGATCTATAGCTTGATTGATTTGCCCTCTTTTCCGTTTAAACACAGGATCAATATCAGGGACGTGATAAAGATAACTCTTGGAAGACCATTTGTCGTCTTCGTGTATTGTAGATGAAGGGTGAATGGTATCAGTGATTGTAGGAGGGTACCATGAGGTTGCGGGTACAGATGAAAAGGTCCTTGCGCGATGCCGATGCATGGCCAGCGAAGGAGAAAATGATGATTGAGGTGTAGATGTGGAGATTGAAAGCGGTGAGGGGATTGCTCTTGGCGGATATGATGGCATTGTAACCAGGGGGGACTGCATAAACATTGGCTGTCGCGCTAATCCATGCCGATGCATAGATGATGGTGAATGGACGTTGTAGATATGATGGTCAAAAGCATTGTACTGATTGCCAACGCCACCCCCTTGAAAGCAATGTGCCCGTTGTGCATTTAGACTGGCTGAATGGAAATGCTGCCCTTCCTGTGATGATTGCAGCTGTCCTAGTTCCTGCTGCTGCCGTATTTCATGGTCCAGCGGTGATAGTTGGTCAGCGCGTTCAATTGTAGAAATAGAACCCTGCAAGTGAGTTGATCGATCATGGATAGGGAATCCAGATTGTTTTAATTCATGTTGGGTATTTCGGTCTATCCATTGTGAGCGATTCTGCCCTGGGCTTATGTGCTTACTTAGATGGAAATAATACTGAGATTGATATTGATGCTGACTCCGATGCTGATCCAGGCCTCTTTGTTGGATAACGGGAAGGTTATGGTGTTGGGATTGTAACTGCTCGTAAGAGTCAGAATATTGAAGTCGATTTTGCTGATCGAAGTATTGCGGCTGTTGCTGTTGCTGTTGCTGTTGCTGTTGCTGTTGCTGTTGCTGTTGCTGCGGCTGCGGCTGCGGCTGCGGCTGTGGAGACAGTTGATGCGGATGGAAGTTTAGTTGAATGCGGTCAGGACAGGGATGCGAAGGATAGGAAGGTGGGAAGCTGTTAGGACTAGCCTGAGGATAATAAGAATGCTGAGGTGCGGAAGGAGAAAAGAAGAGTCGGTGCTGTTGATGATGTTGCTGTTGTTCCAGTATGGGTCGTTGTGGATCATGATAGGGTAGAGCTCCTGTTTCTGATACAGCTGCTCTAGTTCCGAATTGGTTTCGATCTTGATCTCCGTTCTTGGCCTCGCTTTTCATTGTATAATGCAAGGAATAGAGCACAAATCAATGTTGCTGGCTTGTGTTCAGCTGGTAGCCGCCGGTGACCTTCTTGACAGTCAATATGGGCCAATAGTATAGTGCAGGGTGATATTCACCAAAGACTTTCAAGTAAAAAGAAAGCAGGAAAATTAAAAGATAATGCAAAAGAAGATAAAGGTATAGTTGTCAATTCAAGCTGTTCAACAATAAATGAAGAATATCTGATCGATAACAAAAAAAGTAATAAGAGGAGAGAGAAAGCAGATCCACTGGTTCAGCTTTTTAGGGACGATGTACCATACAATCTGTGGTCTATAGCAGAGCATTGGCATGACATGAGTATATTCATAAAACAACGAAAGCAGTAAACAAAAGCGATAAAGCAGACGAAAATAAAATTAAAAACAATGATGAAAGGAAAAAGAGAGAAAGACAAAAAGTAAAAGGGAGGAGAGTGGCAGAAAGAGAAAGAAAGAGACAAGAAAGTAAAAAAAAAAAAAAAAAAAAAAAAGGACAAAATTTAATAAAACGAACTTTGAGTCTGTCTGTCCAAAAAGAGATACAAATCGCAGATGCATCATTACTCCCAAAAGGCACCTTGGAAAAACTGCATCAACTGTATTGGCAGATCTTTGCTCCCGCCATCGTCTTTGTCCTCTCGCTCTCCTTTTCAATTTATGCTACTCAAGCACATGCAGCACAAAACACCAAACCATTTTTACATGACATAATTTGGTCGCTCCACAACTCTATACTTCATTGCACTCGCTTTTTATGTGCTCGATTGCTGTGCTCAATCTGTTCACTCCTCTCACTATTGAGGATGCAGATTCATGCAAACACGTCTACAAACAATGGACATTGTCAATGTCTGCATCATTGTGAGCCACAAGCATAAGCCATGTGGGGCTGTGTATACGCGGACACTCAAAAAAGACGAGGGTAACCAAAGAATTAGACTACCTGGAAAAAGCAGACACGACGACCTGCTTCTACTTTGTGCAACCTGGTGTGTGCCCAGGTCATAGACGCGAAGTGCCAGTTGACTGGTCCGAATGAGGAACGGTTCAGCGCCCCATGCTGGAATCCCACACTTGTAGTTTCAAACAAAAAGCGACACACTACATTGACACACAGATCGCCTTTACTGCAGCAAGAAACTTTTTTTTATTTTAATGTCGAAAAATTGGAATGCGGAATGAGCCATAGAGAGATGGTGCATGCGTAAGTATATAAAAATAATATGCTACGATTCAGAATAGAATAAAGATTCCTGCAACTGCCAATGTGGCTAAACACTTGACGCGTTTGATTTGCTGCGCGCTGAGAGCATTTTTGGTACTGCATGTCAGTCAACTTTTTACTTGATCTGTGCATTGTTCATTGCATTGCCACTTGTCCCGACATGTTGAGGTCAGGATTTTGAAATGACAAAACTGTTGTTGTGCATCGGCGTGATGGGACAGAGGCAAAACAGGGGGGAAGGACAGAATGATAAAAACAGACCACTGAATGTAGAGTTGCAGGGAAGGAGAGGATAAAGTTGCTTGTCTGTTTTTTCGGCGGCAAAAAGATGAACACGAAGGAGCACGATCCAACCCTAATTGAAACCTTAAAAACTGTTGGTGTGCAATCCCCTCTCATTTGTTCTTTTTTATATCTTTCTTTTCTCTCTCTTTCTGTGATTACATGTTATATACCTTGTCCTTCTTTAATGTTAAGTGTTCTAGGCTACCGGTCGTAAATTGGTTCTTCCCAAAGCTCCATGAATCCTAATATTCAATCAAAAATATGAAGACTCTCTTTTTGGATTCACAGCGATATTGCTAATTTGATTGGCAATGAGCGGCTATTTAATTTTACACTTGTACACTTGAATAGTTTATTTTCGCCCTTGTTTTTCTGGATCCCGCCGACTGGGAAGAAATCCTTGGGCGATGTCCTAATCAGTTTGCGTGTTATATACAGACGTATGCTATCCATTATCATATAATATATTGTGATAAGCTGTTTGCTTACGTTCATTTACAGCAACACGCAAACGCAAAAGTGTTCATAAAGTTTTACTTGAACATTGTGCTTGCATTTGTCCCATCTCTTTTACACTCACTCTTTATTCTCGCTGGAAGCTTTCCATATGCTTGTATATACAGCCGTGTATACTAAGCTACTCTTCATTTACATCAATTCATGCAAAGATGGAAAAGTAATCAAGATATACATTTATATATATAAATATGCTTGACTATTATTTTAAATTAGAACTCATTAACAGTGTCCAAAGCTTCATTTAAATAAAGAGGAGATTGAAATAGGTGCCCCATGTTGACCATGTCTATGGGGAGAGACATGATATCACTTCTTCGGTAACGTAAATAGGTTTAGAATGGTTGAAATTCGCCCACTATCTCAAAGTAAAAATTTATAAACCTCTATCCCGTCTAATCCTTTTCTTTTTTCTCAATCTTAATTTTAGCTTTTTATTTCATTTTTGCTACTGGTATTGTACAAATATATTATACTATGGAATTAAAAATTTTAGGCCATGGAATACCTTTTTTTTTTTGATAACAAGGACCCACGAGGTCATGTAGTAGGCTCGTTCCCAGCCCCTTCACTTTAGGTGACTCAAAAAGGAAATGGAATTTCCTGTCACCTTTATAAAGTGAAGAGGGATGGGTACGAGCCTAGTCATGTAGGCTTAGGCCATGGAATACCTTTTTTTTTTTTTTTTTTTTTTTTTGATAACAAGGACCCACGAGGTCATGTAGGATTTATTTAGATGTTAGCTCTATAAATGGGTTGCCCCATTACTGGGGTCGCAAATAAAGCGGTATCCAATAATCGGCCGAAGCCGCATCGTCATACTGCCACAGTACTACATCCTGTTCATAAACCACGTCAGCATTGAGTAGACTTCCTTGGTCCCAGAGGACCTGTGGCACGGCTCTACTCCCTACTTGGCCTGTTGTGCGCGAAGGTCATCCTTTAGCCGCTGTCCTCAATCATCAAAAATTTACAGCTTTCCAGGCGCTCCATAATCGCCAATTCCACCTGCTGCCGGTAGCTTGCCGCCACTCGCCGGTCTGCCTCAGTCCTGATCGCCTTCACATCTGCTGTTCGTCGTTGTCCCTGGTGAGAGCCAAAGAATTCACCTCTGCTACGTCTGTGCCTCCCAACACAGTTGCGTCCCCTGGCGCGTTTGCTCACAGAGGTGATACCATTTTCTCTTTCCCAGTTGACGGTGACTTTGCAGCGTCTGTTCCAGATTTCAGTCCTGCCGAGTTCCTCGATTGACTTGACAAAGCGGCAAACAATGTACCTTGAGATCGATGCTGTGGTTCTGAAGATCGTCTTCCATTTTTGTATCAGTTCCTTCGGCACCAAACCGTGGTACAAGTCTTGGACAGTCCAGTGGGCATGCTCACCCTCGTTCCTCCGTCCCATATCCACATCTTCCTCACCAAACAGAGTGCTCGCATGTCGAATCTCTCTGACGCCCTTGAACATCGCTTCCAAAGAGCCCCAAATCACGTTGTCGGCTACAGGTGTAAACGAGGGGCCTCCTTTATTCAGGTTTGGCTCCTGTGTTTTCCCTTGTTTGTCTTCCCAGAGCTTCTTCTCCTTCACTAATGCTCTTTTGCCATCCTTCGTGATGAGTTCTATGGCCTGCTTCCAACCTTTCAATTGCTCGTCCAGTGTCATGGGACATCGCCAGAGGTGTTCTATGTCCTCCTGCTCCTGTTCACACATCCTGCAGATGTCAGTCTCATACAGGTCCGGTCGCCACTGCCTCATATAAGTGAGTGTAGGAAGCATACCATGGACCTTCTTTATTCTGTGCGCTCTCTTGTGACAATCTGCTGGGCTGGTGAAGAGGCCTCTAGGCGTGTTGCCATCGTGAAGAATATGCAGGCTTGCTTTCCATTCTACTTCTCGCCAGTCTGCAATATAATTCCTGACTCTGTTCTGAGACGCCCACAAGTAATGTGTTCTCACTGCTGATTGGAGTTTTAGCAGGTGTCTAAGATCATCCTCCACCACCTCGTTCTCGAAAATAGCGTGGCAGCGCAGATCGTTGTGTTCCAGTACTTTGATTGTCCACATTTCGCTAAAATGAGCATCTTTGGCGGCTTGGTCTGCCCTTATATTGCCTCTATTCCCAGCATGGCCCTTGACCCATTTCACAGTTACCTTCCCGCCCTGCTTAAAGAGCGCTCTCGAAATGGCTGCCCACCACACTGCGTACTTGGATCGCAATCGCTGCCGTTCAGTGCTTGCTTCTCGCTTTTGAGCAAGGTCCTTGAACTGAACCACTACCGCCATGTTGTCTATGTAGACAGTCGTTGGAACGTTACGGGGACTGACTAGAATGGCTGCGTACAGTCCTACTAGCTCTGCCTTGGTGGATGAAGCATACCCATCGACTCTACCTGAAACTACATTTGAGAAGCTTTCTGGGCCTATCTGAGCCACCACTCCGAAAGCCATCCGCACCGCCCTTCTTCCTGCCTCTTCAAGGGACCCATCGGAGTAAAGTGTTAGCTGACTCATCGTTGATAGTTTCTCTCTTTGACGCAGTATATTGTCCATGTCAACCTGTGGGATCTCTACACCTAGGCACTCAGAGGAGCCAAACCACCGATGATGACCCTCTGGGATTTTATTATTCCTTGTTCTTGAGGAGTCCATCTCTTCTTGCGCTTTCGTCCTGAGCCTCCTATCGAGAGCTTGTTCGTCGAGTTCATGGCGTCCACGTATCTTGTTTCGCTCTTGTGCTCTACGTCTTGCTCGGTTGAAAGCCGCTCGTCGTCGCTGTTCTCTTCTTCCTTGTTCATCGAGCCTTTGAAACCTAGCCTGTAACCGTAGGCGTTCTTGACGGCGAGCTCTTTCGATAGCCTTCGAGTGTGCGGCTTCTTGCTTGGCTTGCACCCACTGTTCACGTCGCCACACTCTCCTTCTCTCCGCCTCTTCTTTTTTCCTCTCTTGCTCTATTTTTCTTAGCAACCATTGCTCCCTCTTCCCTCTTTCCAAACGGTCGCGAAATTGTAACATTTTCCTTCCTTGAGGATCTTTCCACAGCCTATGCCTCTCGTTAGCTTCGCGCTCTTTTTCTCTCAAACGCTCTCTTTTTTCAAAATTTTCTCGCAAGTATTCTTTTTGGAGTTCGCGATCAGACTCAGTGTATCCTTCATACTCCTGCATACCCTCTTGTATGTAACACTGTGCTCTTCTTTCTCTTTCCTCCCGCTGTTCTACACTTAGGGGATCAAGTGGCTCTCTGGGGTCTTCTTCCACGTCACTGAGGTAACTTATATATCCAACTTCATCATCCTCATCATCCTCAGTGGGCTGCTCCTCCAACATATTGTCTTCTGTGAGTAGTTCATCTGCTCTCTCATTGTTTTCAGTCTCATTTAGCTGTTGGAGCTCCCTTAAATCTCTCTCTTCCTCTTCGTCTAGTCTCTGAAGAATGTTCTTTTTGTCTCTACGCTTAGGCCATGGAATACCTAAATGGAAAAAAAAGTAATAACAATAATAACAACACTTCTGGCGCCCCAAAACCCAAAGAATTAAGTGCAGTTCCATTACACTAAGCCACATTAAATATGATAATTCACGTGATAGATGCAGTAGTTAGATAATATAATCTAGTGCTCATCAGCGCCGGCCAGGAACCTGGCCAATCAAGTGTCATTGGTGAGAGAGACTGTGTAGTATAGTGGTCCAGTACCCAGGACTTTGAATCCTGTAACCCGAGTTCGACCCTCGGCACGGTCTTCGTTTTTGGCGCCTTTATTTTTTGGAAAGTTGTTTGCAGGGGTTCGTATGCACTTCGAATAAAATTTTTGTTTGCATGGGGGTTATCTCTAAAAAAAAACGTCAATAGACAGGAAGCATTAGGATCGCATAAACACGTTGATGCGTCTCTAACCGTTACTGTCACTAGATTGTAGCTGGATTTCACGTTCAAAAAGGTACATTGACCTACAGCGGCGAGCTTTTTTTGTTGGATGTTAACAAGTTCAACAAGAGCTTCTGTGTTTCTCATCAACACGGGGTTGTCCTGAGTAAAGATCTCAATGAACGGCATACTATAAACTGTTGTTTCTTCCTTCGAGCACCAGGTGCTTACTGCGTGCTGCTATCTAATGCACAAAAGAGGGCGCTAGATGTAACAGTCCGTTGAGCGCTAATCAAAACTGCATCATAAATTGTGACAAAGTTAGCTTTAAGCATGAATGGCTCCTGTTGGAGTGAGCAACAAATGGAGCTTGTTATCTATCCCATTTTTCAATACTTTATGCAGTGCTTCTTGAGAAAATGAGTTTAGAATAACCGTTAATTGCTATCTTTCGCGACCTAGCCGAGTTTCCCTAAAGGAACCCTTTATTTCTTGCTTTGTAACTGGGACATTACCACGACTGGTTTCAAAATTGAAAAGGCTCAATAGGCTTTGAGTATGTCTATATTGCGTTCTACTGTTTTTATCAAGTTTTTGGAAAACTAAATTTGAAATGGTTGTCTAGATTGGTCACATACTAGGCCTTTTTGCGTTCGTCGCATGACTACAAAAAGGCATTCGTCAGAAAGCGTAAAACCGATTTAAATAAGTTGCGCTTCGGTGCCTGCTAGCGGCTTCAGACGGCCCGTGCAAATAGCTTCATCCTATTTTTTAGTTGGACGAGCTTTCGCACTATTAATGATCTCTGTTTGTATTTGACTGTTTAACCTTGGTAGAAGACCTTTGACTGAAAGTTTTGTGAACCCATAGCGGGTTTCTGCAGGGGTTTCCTATGAAGATGTGGCTACAAAAGACGCGACGCATAAAAGACAGATACACCAGTAAAACTATAATAGCTCCATTTGTTTATTTCGTTTATACCCTGGAGAGACGCATGTGAGGGAAGATTGGGGATGCAAGTCTCCAAGTATATACTAAATTTATGGATCGATGTTCAAAATCTAGAAGTTCAGACGCATAGATCCTTCAGTAAGATCTTCTTCTCCTGACGCCCCTTCACATCAACAGCATAAGCAAATATCTATGGAGCCATGCAACGATACACTGTGGAGTCGTGGGCTAATTTAGTATACCCAACCAAGTATGAAGCGCACGTAAGAATGGAGATCATCTTGGGGGTATTTTTATTCGAATGCATCATGCGAAAAGCTTGAATTTTTAAAATTTAAATATTGTCACCGGAGCGTGAGCGACGATCGCGCTTTTTGGTGTTCTGAACTTTCTTGTCCTACCATCTTTACCAGATTTTCCATTTTATTATATGCTTCCCGCGTGTGTTGTCTTTCATTCATCATCGTCTTTTTTATTTTTTTATTTTCGCATTCTCTCACCTTAACAATCTACTGCATTGTTTATCCTCGAACACATTCACTATTTGGCAGTGGAAGTAACACTAGCAACAAAAAGCAATAGCATCAAAAAGATATAAAAACCGAGTGAGCACGAGCGCGAGCATCACATCAGCGCAACAGGGCTATGGAGCTCGTCTTTGATGTCAATGACTTTGAGGAAGGGACATCCGATGACCTGGTCACCACATCCATCCCAATCCTCCCTCCAGACTTACTGCTCAAATGCATTAAATATTTACCCGTTTCATCGCTTCCTGCGGTTGCACAGGCATGTCGTCGTCTCAAAGTCATCGTTTACAGTGATGAGCTCTGGGAATCTAAACTACTAGCGATAGGTTTTGGCTTTGGATCAGGAAAGCGAGCGTCCAAAAAAAACGACCCCAACGGTACTAGTCTTCTTGATGAGCCCAACGGTTCCTTGCCAAGCTTCCCTGTCCATGGATCTAGTATTTCGGATGTTGCTCGAAAACGGATATCTGCCAACACAAAGGAGGTTATTAGCTCAACCAAAAGTAATACTATCAATAATAACAGGGTCAGTCTGTCTAATCTGTCTGAAGATGGCTTCCGATCCAGTGCTGAGTTGCCAACCCCTACGATAACGAAGCCTCGTATTCAGATCCCAGGACTGCCAGGCGATCCATATTCAATGATCGAAGGCCGTAGAGTATATCATGGAGCAAGAGAACAGTTTCGGCAGATCTACTGCGAACTTTGGCCATATTACATCGATTTCCGCCAAGCAAATAAGGACAGCAAAGTAATTCAAGAATTTGGCAAGTCGGTGTTGGATGTCGCTAGAATGTTGGCTAGACTCCTAGCTTTTTCAAAGGCCTACCTGGCCGAAGATTCAGATCAGGTAATGATATCGCTTTTACATTTAATTTGTGCATTGTAAATAATTCTCTCCACACAGCACTTTTTTATCAGCTTCTGGACTAGAAATGCCATAAAAACATACGGTTTCTGTTAGCTTATTATGTAAAGATTTAAATTGTGGATTGAACTGAATAGATCAACGAGAACCTGCATGGAACGTGCGAATATTTTGAAAATCGATGCTTACATCTATTTGAGTTGGCGTACGATTCGCGGGATATCCCAGAGATGGCTGTACGTACTTGATGAAAATGATTACTTGTCTACTCCTTTGGCTACTAGTGGATGCTCCACTTGAGAAATCTCACCCCTTGACCTGTGATCTCTCTCTAGAAATTCGCAGGTGTGCTCTTAGATCTTAATGATGCTCAGGCTTGTATTCAGATATTCATCCAAAAGAATGGGATTTTTTTCGACAATAATTACGAACCAAGCGAAAATCTCAAGTAAGTCTTTGTATTATTGTCATCTTGAGAACCAAAACAACGTTGACTGCATCCTTGAGAGTGAATGAATATTCAGGGCTTCTTTAGTGGAGCTCGGATATTTAAAAGCTATTTTTTCTTTCCTTTATAGACAATACGAATTATGGCTGATGCAGCCGCTTGTTCTACGGGAGAGCACACCTTTTCCAGAATTTACACCAATGAAGCTGTTTATGGAATTTACGGAAATGGAGTTTAAAAAGCAAGCTGTTATTATCAACGATGTCTTCCCAGAGGAGGCAGATGTACTTTTTAATTTCACGGAGCGTGTCTTTGAAGACGTGATATCAGATTATTGTTCACAGTTATTTGACATGTGTAGCATGCGGGACAAACTTTTATATCTGAAATCTGTCCCTACTGCTTACCGGTATCTGGAACATCTTGAGAACACAATAGTCCGCATGGAACCTATTCATGTATCATCGTACCGACTTGAGAAACTTTTGGCAAGGATTTTTGGACCATGGTTGGAACAGTACCTGAAGATGGAGCTAGATTGGGTTCAAAAGTCATGTAAAGACCAGATCGACAAACACGATCGACAGGTAATAATAGCGTTTAGTAATTCGGTGATCTCTATTAGAATTTTTCTCTCCCATCATCCCTGAGCTAACTTGGCCTGTTATTAATGTTCCTTCTGTGGGACTGGGATTAATATCAAAATCTAATCTAGCGTGAGGACAACAAAAAAAACGACACAAAGCGAATGAATCCCAGAAATCGTGAAGTGTTTAAAAGGAACTTCTTGAAAGGATTTAGGAATGTTTTGACACTTCCTTACAAGATCTCATCTTCGATTGTCGCAGGTGTCGCCTCAGCTACCTCTTCGCCGACACCCACCGCCGGCTCAGCTCCTTCAACACCTCAACTCCACCCTTCATCTCCCTCCAATGCCTCTCCCTCCAACTCTTCTACAGCCCCCACAAAGGGCAACAATCGGTTTTCGATTCGATCAATCTCCTCACTCAGTGGTTCTAGTAACTCTGGCTCCACAGTCGTACCGCCTACATCTACATCGACCCCAGATATTCCTACTCTCTCTTCATCCACATTCGTGCCTGACCAAAAATCTATATCACTGGGGAGCGATGCGGATAGCGTCAGGAGTACTTCAGGAGGAGTAGAGCAGATTGTGACAGCACAGGAAATCCAAGAAGAAATGAATTCATTACTGAGTGTTGAGCTGGCTCTGCACTTGATTCACTTGGACAAAGATGCGCTTCAGCGACTGTCTGCTTTTGCGGGACTGGGTGGCGTCCTTGGTGGCCGTGTGTAAGTCATCTTAAAGCTCTCTGTATCTCTACACGGATGGCTGCTAGGTTTTTTATCCATGAGCTGTCCAAGGTTTAATCTAAACTCACTCATGAATATATTCAATTGGCTTATAGACAAAAAACAATAGAATCAGTATTTATTGCATTACTGAGGTCTTTGGGCCAACAGCATATCGATCCCGGATTCACAGCGTAAGTACTAAATGGTATGTAAACTACTGAAATGTTATTGAGTATCTCATGCTGATGTGTAAAGTTTAATATATTCGTCATTCGGAATAGGGCTATCCAACAGTTAGGCCGCTACAAACCAACGACAACACATGGTGGCGGTGTAACACCATTGATGGATTTTTTTGAGCTAGTACATGTTGCAGATCTGATTCTTCAAATGGTACAAGTGTATTATGCAGAGGAGATGTGCAAGCATATTGATAAGATGGATTTCCTGAATGATGCTAATAAGGAGAAGAAGGCATTTGAAAGGTTGATCGATGATGGTGTGGCTGCAGGGCTGGATAAGAGTATCGAGGTGTTGATTGGCCAGGTGGAGTATATTCTGACCACTATGCAGCTTCCAACAGACTATAATCCTGACGAGAGCATGGAGATTGAGCTACAGCCAACTCAGGTAAGACTATATTTAGGATAATCAAAAAAAAAAAAAAAAAAAAAGATATTCGAAACTGAGAACAGAGTTCTTCCAGACGAGTTGGCTGATAACATTCAATTAACAACTTGACATTATGTTATTTAAACTTAGGCTTGTCGGGAAGCAGTAACATGTCTAACGACACATACAAAAATGTTGATCGGCTGTACGGACAAACATACCCTGGACGTTTTCTTTCAAGAACTTGGATTACGTTTATTCAAGTAAGCTTGTCTTTTACTATTGATGTTGCTTAGTACAATAAGGCGTTGATGGTGATTCCTTAAGACGTTACTAATCAAGTTTCATTTATCAACATTAATGTTGTTTATTTATGCACGCGTTTAAAACAAATAATTCTACTAGTTGTCTAACAAAGCACTTGCGCTCCAATATCGTGTCGTCCCAAGGTGGATTCGTGCTGATCTGCGATCTGAACCACTATTACAATTTTATTGTGACACTAAAGCAGCCAATGTTGACGCCCAACTTTTTGGCATTAAAAGAACTGGGGAATCTTTTTATTATCCAATCGCCATCCGATCTTAAACAACTGATCCACGACATGCAACGCTTTGGCGGGATCCTGCGCGTCGAGGATGTTTTTGAATTTGCAGAGATGCGCTCGGATTGGAAGAGTATTCAACGGATCGTAGAACGCGATCGACTAGAGTGTGCTATCATGTAATAATAAACTTAATAAAATAGAAGATAATAGCATTGCGACATTTAGCGCAAGTATGGAAGACTTTTTTTTGTTTTGTTTATGAGTATATGAAGCTATGAAGAAAAACTATAACAGAGATGATGATGTGGGGATTTTTGAATGAGAGAAATAAAAAAAAAAAAAAGGGCCCGACAGATCATTCTATTTAGTGCTGGGCCTCAACAAGCTTCTTGTAAGCCTCCTCAGAGAGAAGATTCGAGACATCAGCATCGGATGAAAGCTGGATCTTGCAGAGCCAGCCTATAATTTTAGGAAAAATAAAAAAAGTAAGTATACATATATAAAATTTGATCCAGAATATGATCGAAGAGTAAAAACTTTACCTTCTCCTTCAGGATTGTCGTTCAACAGCGAAGGATTCGCCGCGACATCCTCGTTGACTTCAATGACCTTTCCAGAAACGGGGGCGTAGATATCCGAGGCAGCCTTGACAGATTCGACAGAGCCAATCGTGTCTTCATTTTTGAAAGCAAGGGAAAAAAGGAGTCAACATTGGTGACGAATAACAAGTATAAACAGCATATACATGTGTAATCTTGACAGCCAAGATTTTTTTAAAAAAAAAGCTTACCGCCTTTTTCGACATCCTTGAGATCAGCAGACTGGACATAGACAATCTCTCCAAGAGAGCCTTGGGCATGATCCGTAATACCGATCGTAGCAATGCCGTTATCAATATCAATCCATTCATGCTCCTCAGTATACTTCTTGGCTATGATGAATATGTATATATATATATATATATAAAACACTTAGTCTGACTTCATCGTTGGAGGTTTTGTCTGCAAAAAAAAAAGGCTCGTAGTCAAGTCGCTATATTGTAGTTTTAGCTCCTGGGAATAATAATAATGATAATGATAATAATAACAACAATATAAGAGTAATAATAATAGTAATAGTAATAATAATAATAATAATAATAATAATAAAAATGAGCACAACTCTCAAACCATTTTCTTGGTTCTTCATTCGCGTCTTTTTTTTTTTTTTTTTTTTTTTTTTTGTCAAAGTTCATTGCTTATTCCTGACATCTTCCTGAACGATTCACGTGGCGCAAAAAAAAAAAAAGAAAAGCCATGTCTGTATTTTAATAACAACAAGAGTGGCAAGAGTGGTAAGCAAACATTTACGTACTGCCATAGAAACGGGCAAAAGAAGAAGAAGGGGTGGCGAAGCGCGCCATGGCCTGCGAGCGCATGGTAGGGAAAAGTCTAGTAGAAAATGTGGCAAGAGACATGTTGAAGATAGGGGAGTTAAAGAGGATAAAGAAGAAATGGGAGTGGAGAGTGGAGGAAGAGAGGAAAAGGGAAAAGAAAGAGAAAAAGGGAAAATAAAAAGAAGCAGCAAGACAAAAAAAGGATACGGAAACGAACGAAAAAAAGCTTTGATGTATCCTAGAAATCAAGGTTTTTTTTTTTTTTTTTTTTTAAACTTGACACGGTGGAATGAAATTAACAAGTAGTGACTGGCAATCCATTCCCTATTCGGACCTTGGGGAACATTTATGCCGTCCCACCCATCCCCGTGCATCCCATTAAGAAATTTACACATTTGCCATTTGCCACCGCAACATTCATGTATACGGATATATATCTCTAGTATATATTCTTATGTGGCGTTGTGCCTGCAGTCCCGCCCAAACATATTTCCCCCGCCAAACATCCAACTGCTCTCTCTTCATAGGACTTCGGAGCGGAGAGTCCCGTGCAGAGACTTGGGGTAAGGATCGAAGTAACCAATCGTATAATTTTATATCATTACATGTATGTGGGTAACTGGAAATGCTGGACATGTAACATTTACAACCATTTTTCTTCCTTAATTTGCTATAAATCCACAAACGGTCATATTCTCAGATTCTCAGTCTGTAACTTCCTTTATATGTAATATATGTATGCTCTATATCATCATAGGCCCTAAGTGACCCGAAGGAACAACCAAAAAGAGAAAAGAAAGAAAAAAAAAAAAGAAAAAAAAGAGATAAAAAAAAGAAAAAAAGAAAGAAATAAAAAAAAAAAAAAAAAAAAAAAAAAAAGAAAAAGAAAAGAAAAGGAAAAAAAATGAAAAGCTCTGTAAACTAAATATGAATCTTGCTAAATTTACTTTATAACTTTGAACTTTTACATTTGGCCTCCATTAGCAGTCGCGCCCAGCATATACATGTTTGTCGCGTTTGATCTCGATCCGTGCTGGTAAGATGACTGACTGATGTCTGTTCCCATAGTCGGTCTTCTCGAGCCAGATGTCGAAAGCGTTGAGAGGGATGAAACAGAAGAGTTTATGGATCCTATAGATGATCCATAGATGCTTGCATATGGATGATGTTGCTGCTGTTGGAATTGCTGCTGTTGGAATTGCTGCTGCTGCTGTTGCTGCTGCAACAGTAGCAGTTGTTGTTGTTGTTGTTGTTGATGATGCAAGTTTTGACCGCCATAAATCTTGGCAATGTTGCTGGTATGACTACCATTGCCACCATTAAAATTTGGAATGGCTCCTGTATAGAATGAATATGCTCCATTTGCAAGACCATTGCTGTTGCCGCCACCGCCACTATTGCCTTGCATGTGATTAGTCGGAGTCCTGCCAGATGACTTCAGTGAGGATTGACTGCTATTGTCTAGTTCGCTGATCCTGGATTTTCGAGAGTGATTGGAGTGGCTATATACACATATATTTTTGAATTGAGGTCAGATCAGATCACGGATTGCTTGAGTGGGAATGTATATCCATAATAATCACGCATTGATGGTGTACTTACACAGAGCTCTTCCTTCGCGAGACAGCTTCACTGCCTGGCAGAGCGGTAGAAGACGTTTTCGCTGGAGCCTTGCCACCGGTGATCCACTCATGTTGCAAACCCTCATGAGGTTTCATTCGCAGCATTGGGTCCCAGATAAGGCATCTGGATATGAAGTCGAGGAACAACACGTCTGTGCACTTTAGTACTTGACCAAGGGTCTTGGACCTCGGACGTCGCTTCTTGCCTTTGGAATTGATCACAAGTTTAGGGTTGCCATGCGAGTCTAGGAAAAAATAATAGGACAAAAAGATTAGAACTCTTGGTCTTTTTTTTTTTTTTTTTATTTTTTTTTATTCCATGAGCTATCATCCTTACCGAAAAACACTTTGCGTCGAGTGCTTTGTTCGATCAAGTATCGCTCAGGTACTCCTTGGATCTCCATGATACAGGCCAGTTGCTCCTGCTCGTTCTCACCAGGAAACAGTGGACATCCTGTGTACAGCTCAGCAAGGATACAGCCCAGCGACCACATATCAATTGCCTTGTTGTATGACATTCCCAAGATTACTTCTGGAGATCGATAGAACCGAGATTGAATATAGGTATAAACCTTTTCATTTTCAAGACAGCTGCTTCCAAAGTCAATCACTTTGATACTTGATTTCGTAGGATGCTTCAGCAATACATTCTATATTCAAACAATATATATCATAAAACATAGTTAGTAAATACTCACAAAATTAATCCAAGCTCTTTGCTACTGCAACAGTGCTCATTGTGCTTTTTTTTTTTTTTTTTTTTTTTTTTTTTATATACCTCTGGCTTTAGATCACAATGAATGACATTGTGTCTGCCCAACAGTTCAAGAGAGTCAAGCAACTGTGTGCAAAATCTTCTAATAAGGCCAAGACTAAAACCCTGGAACGAGTTGGTTTTTATAAACTCGTACAGATTGATCGATAGCAACTCAGTTGCAATACACAAGTGATTCCTGAAATAAAAGTTATCCGTCATACGAATCAAGTGATGCTTATCCTCCGGATCCTAAATTGTATCATCAAAAACAAAAATAAAAAACAAAAAAAAACGTAAGCTGCTTGTGTGCACCAAATTTATATACTTTCATAGGATAAAGAAAAGGACTGTACCCATTTAGTCAGGCTGTCCAGGATTTTCACTTCAACCAGTGCTTGACAATGGAACCGCTTCTTATTTCTGATGATCTTGATGGCCACATACGCGCCGGTCTTATGGTCGTAGCACTTGGCCACTTGTCCAAACGATCCTTTGCCTAGCATATCCAGAATCTCGTAACGGAACATAAGATGATCATGGTTTATAATCAGATAGTCGCCGCGTTCATCATCAAACCCTAAGAAAATGATAATAATAAAATTTGTCAACAATTTTGACCAAAGAATTCCCAAGCCTCGGTTCTGTAGTATATCAATAAGTAATAGAAAAGTTACCAAAGTTGCTATTGCTGGCTTCCATACTCGCCGCTCTCTTATGTCGACAATTCTGGCCAACATAATACACTTGTGAATACTCGCCAATCTCAGCTCTTTCATAAGGACTAAGATAAGAGCCATACATTTTGAGTGCTGCATAGGGCGATAGAGGCGGGAAGGGACTGACTGCAGATTCAGGTGCTATTGTGCTCATTGGCGGAATTGGTTCCACAAGTGAATGGCTACTGGGACTTTTAGGAATGAGCTGTGGCTGCCCTTGACCATATAATGGCATGGGTTGATTCGAGCCGTAAATGTGGATGGGGTTCGAAGTTATAGCCGAGCCCTTGTTGCCATGGCTCCTTGAGGATGGCGATGACTTCAGGTCTTTCACTGCTGTCGGTGTCCGCAGTCCGCTATTAGATGTCTTCTTTGAGTGATCCGATGCATACATTAAAGGAGCATTGTTTAAAGCAACGCCTGAGTTGGTAGCTGCCCGCGTAGACGCTGACGTTGACGAAGGTTTTGATTGCTTAGGCGTCATTGAATCCATGTAGATCATGCCAGGAACAGGCTCGCCATTATGCTCAGTAGCCGTTGATCGTCTGTGATTTAATCCAATAAGAACACCACTTGATAAGCTCCTATTAGGCTTCACCTTGTGAGTACTGTTACCATTCGTCGCTGTTGAAGTAGGTTCCGTTGAACTGGGGATGCTAGAAAGGGCCGATTCACTGATTCTAGGTGAATCCGTGTCAACAACGCCACCACCGCCTCTGATAGTTTTGACGTCCATGTTTGCTGCCGATGGTACATTCAAGTGCGAGCTAGGTAATGAAGCTGTCGGAGGGACTGTTCCCTTGCGCCCACCAGATGGACTAGGGATCTTTGATCCTGCTACCTTTGAGGCGATAGGAGAAGGTGCGATCGTAGTTCTAGATGTGCCCGTCATGTACATCGGTGGAAGAATGGCTGACATCGGCTTTGCTTTTGGTGGATCCATAGCCGAGAGAGTCTAAGTAGGAGAAATTAGTAGGATGTTTAGTTTTGATTCGTTTAAAACAAAAACAAAAAAAAAAAAAAAAAAAAAGTCAAAAAACTTGCCTTTCCACGTTTACGACTGGAACCACTTGTAGACATGGTGGTAATTATAGAATTCCGATCTTTAGTTCCTACAGTAGTGCCACTATATACCGATCCGTTTAAACGATTGGAAGGGTTCCCGTCGAACACAATGCTTCGACGGTGGGGGCCAATCATGTTACCAGAAGATGGATGTCGTACATGGACGCTTGGTGTTGAGATTTCTGGCTGTATTATAGGCGGTACCACAAGATTACCATTCATCTGCTCCTTAAACTCGAGCCCGCTCAAGTGCTTCGTGATATCCGCTACAGGAACAGGTACAGGCTCTCCTATCCAAGATTGGAACTCGCCCGATTGGTTGCTGGGTGTAGAAGATGATGAGGAGTACTGTATGTCAGCGTTTCGTACAAAGCTAGAGTGGGCCATTTGGCTGGTACTATTTGAAGCCGGTGTCCGTGATCCGGAGTGTGGAGTAGGAGAGGATCGAGTGCCAGCCGCAGTTGGTGTTGTTGGAATACTATCTCTAGACCTTGCTCTTGGAGATATACCTTTGATATTGGCATTGTGTGGCGATGCTGTCCTAGAGTGATTTTTAGTTGATCTCCTTGGCTCGTCTTGGTAATTAGAGAAATTAGTATTACTATTTCCGTCAGTGTTTTGGAGGGCGGCGTAAAAACTTTCTCGCTTATGTTTTTCACGGTTACTGCGGTCTCGTGGCTTGAGCTGAGTGAGGTATTCCTGCTCATTAATTCCCAAGGCTTGCTCATCTATATCCAGTGCTTCATGCGATCGCATCGGATGGTCGTGTGAGTGGAGATGGATATCATTACTAGCTAGTAGGTTGTTTAAGTCTGTTGAGCCACTGATGTGATCCGTCATAGTTCGTGGTTGTACTGTGCTGAAAGATTCCAAGCGTTTGTAGGGATCACGGTTTGAGCTGACTTTGGATGGTGATCCGTAAGGCGATGACATGGACATATGATCTTTAGATATTGTGTGAGGTATAGGACCCGAGTTGAACGACTTTTTACGGTAGTGGCTGGAGACTGGAGGAGACGAAGGTAGGGTATGGATGGTCTTCTGTGCTGGAAGTCCTGAGCTGCTTCGTTCAGTTGTCAATGGCGAGCCGTTCGAGATAGATGTGGTGGGAGGAGTCATAGATGGGTTTGGTGACATGGGTATATTCGATCTATTTCAGGATATGTTCCGAAGGCGAATAAAAAAAAAAGGGAGAAGAGAGAAAAGGATAAAGGAAGATAATTAATATCTTTTGCATGTTTGATGTCAAGTTGAGATGATTTTTTATGTCTTGCCACTGACATTAAGGAGGGGAGAAAGGCTCGTTAGGAAGTGGCCGCGTGTGCACCGCGTGCGAACTTGCAGCTGCAGCCTTACACTATCCACCTCAACCCATCACTATCAGCATGACCTTCATTAGAAGAGACAGCTTCATTTTCCGCAAGGAGGACAGAGATTCCTGTCTGTCACACAAGAGGGGAAAAAAAAGGGACATCGGTGGGAGTTCTGGGTTGGTCAATTTGTCCAATCCATCATTAACATTTTTTTTTTTTTGTTGCGCCCACATGAGCAGAGGAGCATGTATTAAGCATCTTGAAGAGCAGCGAACAGTGCTCAATGCCCAGTGCTCAGAGCAAAATGTTTCCATAGCCTTAACAAAGCAGATATGCCTTAGTGTATATAATAAAAATAAATCTATTACATCTTTCCTTACCCCAAGTTCTGTCCACTGTGATGAGAAGAGACAGGTGTCCTGTATTGTGCAATATCCATGTATGTGGCAGTATGGGACTGATGTTGTTGTTGATTTTGGTGCAAAAAGCCTAGTTGATGTTGCTGGAACGTCTCCTGAAGATGGGTTGGGTACTGCTCATGCGAATATGTCTGGCGTCTCTGTTGCTGATGATGTTGTTGATGTTGCAGCTGTTGTTGTTGATGGAGATGTAATTCGTGGAAGCTCTGACGGGATTGTAGCTGTTTTTTGTGGATCTGTTGATTCTGTTGCTGAAGAAGAAGTTGTGCTTGATGTTGCTCCCAAGAATCTGGCACCTGTGGAAGAGTAGTGGATCTCGGCTTTGCAGACAAGAAAGGTTGTTGCTGATTACCGTTGTTGATGATGATTTCTAAGAAAAGGAAGCGGAAGAAGCAAGAAGCAGGGTCGAAGAGAGTGATATCGGTGCGTTTGTTAATCAAAGGCTCTTGTAGTTGGTAAAATAAAAAAAAAAAAAAAAAAAAAAAAAAGAGGAGGTAACAAAGGAAAAAATGAAAGACTGAATGAATCTTGTTTTAAAAATAATAGTGAGAGCTCTTCTCTCTCATACTATCCAAATGTATTTGAATATCCATCTGATCTAAACAACGCAGTATGCTTAAGTCAAGCACTTTGCTGAGGATTGAGAGGAGCTTCAGTGAAGACTGATCAAAAATATCGTCAACAATAGCTGGAGCAATCGTCCAGAGTGTTATGGATGGGGAGAGTGGGATAAAGTGACAATGAAATACATGGATTGAGGTGGGAGAATGTGTGTATGAATGTGTTTGATGGATAGTGTGTGTGAATTATGATTAGGTCTTGAGTGCAAAAAAGAGGACCGAGTGTAGATATTGCATTAATGTGGATCCAAAACAAAAAGGTTATTGATGTTATTGACCCATAATCGAGATTGCGCATCGTTGTGTTTATTACAGCACCGCCACTGTCTTCATTACACTTGTTTCCTCTTTTGAGCGTCCATTCCATCCCATGCAAAAGAAAAATATCCCTGTCGTACAAACTCTCTCCCTTTGCCTTTAAAACTATTACCGCCTCTTGTCTTTTTTTTTTTTTTTTTTTTTTTTTTTTCAATTCATGTCTCCCTTTCCCGATTTTTACACAGTTTTCACCATTCATATCATTAAAAGATCCCTTGTACTGATAAAAACGTAACCAATATATATGTAACAACCAAGTCCTGCCCTGCATTCTTCCCAATTATACAACCAATTACAGGTATTATCTTTAGCCCTGCAATTTCCCTTGTCTCTTTTATCTCCCAGTGGCCTCTTGTAATTTTTTTTTTTAAAAAAACAAACTTCTACCCGACCCGCATATGTTTTTCTTTTTCTTTGTTTGATTCATGTATGATCTTCCCGACATCTGGTATGAATCAAACCATCTTCCTGCACCACTCCATGATAAACCAATCTGGGAAAAAAGCTCATGGTCCAGTGGACTCTGTGAATAAAATAAAATAAATAAAATAAAAAAACGCACCGGCCGTTTTTTTTTTGCTAATCAAAAAGCATGCGCGGTAGAAAAATGTCCCATGTTGTTTGGATGAATAAGGCTAGTTTGTTCACTGTTTCGCTTTGTTTCTCTCGCACTTTTTTTTTTTTTTTTTTTTTTTTTTTTTTCGTGCGTCCTTGCTGTGCTTATTTTTTTTTTTTTTTTTTTTTTTTTTTCCTCTTACAACACATGTAGCCAAACACCAAATGAATAATATAGAACTGAAAAAAAACGTGTTTTTTGGGGCTTGTGGGATCGTGCAGACGGACATACAAGACCATTGAGTAACAATAATAAGAATTAAGTAATCGACAGTAATCCCAATTCTGATTGTATGATTGAGTGGCTGATCGTATGTCATTTTTACCAGCAAAGGGAAAGAATGACCAAGAAAGTTTAGAGTAAAATAAGAAAATTAAAAAAAAAATCAAATGGATCAAATTGTCAAGTTACTTACGGTTATAGACCTGCCCTGCTCCTCCTCCCGTTATTCCCAAGTCCGCTCCAAAATCATGTGCAGCCAGACTCTTGGGTCGTGTTCGGGGAGTTGTTGCCGTCAGGTCGGGAACATTATTCAGAGCATTTCCCATCACATCTGGAAGATCCTGATAGTACTGCTGCTGATAACTGAATGACCCGTGCCGACTGTTCGGGGCAGTGTTGTAATGCTGAAAATAATTTTGGTTAGGCTGTTGCTGCTGCGGTTTGGATACAGAGTATTCTTGGAACGAAAACTGCTGTGCAGTCTCTTCCATACTTGTTGGTGGATTGAATCCATAGGCAGCTACTTCTTGTCCCTGAACCTGTTCGTGTAAAAGAGTTGGTGTTTGTCCGGTCGAGGGGATTTGAGCATAGAATGGTAAAGGGGATTGGGATGTAGAGACCGGCTTTACAGGCCCAAAGGAGGGTGCAGACATAATCGGTGGAGACGAGTACGAAGCATTTGAGGTTTTACGAAGTGGTAGAGGTTGTTGTTTAGAAGGAGAGGGGTGATTTGAGCTGTCCAGAATTGGAGTCATAGATCTGTCCAACTCCATGTCTATATCTTCTTGATACTGGTCAATATTCCCTAATTGTTGTTGCTGTTGTTGTTGCTGGGGATGGGAGTGGTATTGGCTGTGACGACGGTGGTGAGCCTGATATGATTCAACATGGTATTGTCGTTCTTGTTGTAAGAAGATTGGTTGAGATGCTATATGCAGCTGTTGTGGTTGTTGATGATACGGGTCAATCTGATGTTGGTGTTGATAAAAGGGTGCGGAAGAGGAAGAGGAAGATGGATGTAAGGACGATCTTTTGTTCGAGTACGAATCAGGAGCCGAAGTCAGTTCTCCCGTTGCGAAGGAGGTCACTGTCGCCTGGAAGGGCTGATGTTGATACTCATACTCCATTGATTGACGAGCCAACTTTTTTTATTTTTTTTTTATTTTTATGAAAAATAAGAAAGATATTAAAATAAAATAAAAAAGAGAGAGAGAAAGAGAAAGAGCCGACGAGGCTTGAAAGGAAGTGAAGAACGAAGGGGTATGAGAAAGAGATATAGAAAAAGGAAAAAAAAAAAAAAAAAAAAAAAAAAGAGCGAGAGAGGAAGAGGGAGAGAGGAAGAGGAAGAGAGGAAGAGGAAGAGAGGAGAGGAAGAGAAGGTAAGTGAGAATAAGGAAATGAGAATGAAGAGAATGGATGGAATGGAGGAATGGAGGAATGGAGGAGGAGAACAGCCCTTCTTTGTCAAAGGAAAAGGAGCAAGAAGAAGGAAAGAAGAGGTTTTATGAGGAGTGCCGTAGGGAATTGATGAATAACTTTGTTTGTTCCAACATGTGCAGTAATCCATTCAGTCGTTTATTCGAGAGAATAAGCCTGTCCACTGAACGGGAAAGGGACAAAGAAAAATGGCGGGAAAGTGGGACGAAAAAAAAAAATGAATGAGCCAAAATGTGGGCCTAACAAAAAAAAAAAGGTTATACCCAAATGATTAAGGAAAGCCAAAAAAAAAAAAAAAAAAAAAAGGAGATAAAAAGTAAAGCATTGTTGCAAAGCATTGTTGCAAGGCATTTGTTACAAAGTTGCATAGCAAGTAAATCTCGCTTACTTCAATCGGTTAATGTCTGATTTCCCCATTGGGTTCAGTTGTAGCCAAACGCTGCGCGTATTGAGAGCGCGTTTATTTTATTTTGTTTTTCTACCCAGTGGTTTATATCTCTACTTTTGAACGACATTCAATTGTTAATTACTTTTGAGCAAAAAAAAAAAAAAAAAAAAAAAGTGCGCCCAAATATATCAACAGAGAACTAGAATTAAATACCGTCATCTTCCTACTACCGCCACCATAAGGCATCGCCATATTCTTTAAGCAAAATAAAATAAATAAATAATAGATGGAAAAAAGGTTACCAATATGACTCGTTGATGGGATAAATAAAAAAGCTTTCGCAATGCAATGCAATGCACTGATGACTCCTCCCGCTGCATGCAATCAAAAAAAAAAAAAAAAAAAAAAAACATGAACCCAAGGGAGAAAGAAAGAGAAGGGAACGGGGCGCAATGGAGCCCTACTGGGAGTATCAGGGAAGCCTTCAACCAAAAGCAAAAAAAAAAAAAAAAAAAAAAAAATAACGCACACGCGTTTTCTTAACATTAATAACGGTAGTGCCTGAGCTTTAGTCTTGATTTTGGAGTCAAAGTATGACAAACTATGGAATGCGTTTCATTTAGACACACATCCACATCCACCACAAAGAAAACCACAGCATCTATCAATTTCATCGACAAGTGCACTTTATTTTTTACCATTGTCAATCTACAAGAGCCGACGGACAGCTACTCGGACTTTTTCTTTCTTTCTTTTTATTTATTTATTTTATTTTTTTATTATTCTTTTTAGAAAGAATACAATTGCATCGGTCATAGCACATGGTCATTTTGTGTTTGTTATTCATGAGCTGGAATTAACCAATTGATCTCATAACGGATCTCCTTTCCTTCTGTTCCCAATCTTTATGCTGATGTTGCTATTGCTAATGAATATTGACACTTGCTTACACATACACACACAAACATCTTCTGTTGATCAGCAGACAAGTACAAAATAGGCCTGATCGACCGCTTGATGATTTCAATAAACAGATGTTAGAGATAAAGAAAGGGAGATTCACCCCCTTTTTGTTTTGAGATTGAAGGTAACAGCAACAATGAAAAAACATAAACAGGCTAGGCGTAGAAGAAAAGAACTGTTGTTCGGTCCTCTTAGTTAAAACAATCCTTTTTTTTTATTTTTATTTTTTTTTATTTTTTTTAAGAGCATTGAACTAGAAAACAAGGTTAATTGCATCATGATCAATAATGGGGGCATGGGCGCACACACACCCAATTGCTCATTCATTTATCATAACAACGCTTACACACATTTTTTATATTTCCCATTTCTGTTTCCGATCATCCATATCCAACGTGGATCATTTTGCTTTCGTAAAGCACGTGTCCCATGTTCAGGGGGGAAGGTTAGAGAATCTAGCGCATTTCTCTGAACCTGTAAATTGTACAATCATCTATAGACGCAGCAGCCGGTTGTTGCTATTCTAACGCTTTCAATCCCTTTCCTGCTCATCTCCATCCAGTTATAATGCTGTCGAGACTTGCAATCGGTCTAAAAGAGCAAATTCTTTATTTTTTGTCCGCTGCATCTACAGGCTCATCATAAACGGTGTGGTTGGCGAGGTATGTCCATTCATTTTAGGCAAGCAAATTATACACAACATTGCAAATTAGATCAAGTCTTGATGTCATTTATTCTGTCTCCTTTTCCGTCGTTTCATTCTTTCATCCACCGCTGCTCTCTCTCTTTCTCTCTTTTTTTTTTTTTTTTTTGCTTTATTGCCTACCCTAGAGATTTTAATTCTTCAGTACGTTGATAATGTAACTCTGTTCATGCTTCCAAGTCATGGGGTTTTTCATATTCTAAACTGACATTTCTATTAGTTGAAAAGTAACCTCTTTAGCTATCAGTGTCGATGGATTCAATTTCATTCCAAGTATTCAGGCTTTTTTTTTTTTTTTTTTTTTTTTTTTTACAGGCTAGCCTGTACCTGCTGAACTGGCTCCCAGACAACATCCGATAATTCTATAGTAGTATCGAGCCCTCCTGCCCTTCGAACCTTACCATCCTGCTCTAGTTTCTTGAGGTGCAGTAGAACCTGGTGTTCCGCTGCTGCATGTAGATAGACCGGATATACCTTATAGATAACCGAAACAATCTGCAATGCAGTCTTACCAATACCTGCTACCTCCAAAGACGTCGTTGTAGTTGTTGTATCAGCATTAGCATCAGTACTGGTATAGTCATTATCACCATCACTCTTCGGAATAGGATTCGACAACACCTTCAAAATATCCCTTTCCCGTTCAAGACGATGATTAATATACTCTCGAATCTTGGCCGGACCATCTTCAACCACCGGTCCATGTCCAGGATAGATCTTAAAGGCTGGTTCCTGTTGCTGGCCCTCTCCACTTGCTTGTCCGAGAGTCAATTGCTTCTCCAGTGATTTCATATACTTGCTCAAATCCTCAAACACAGCCGAACCTTGACCCAAAACACAATCCGCTGTAAACAGCGTGTTCTCCTCTTTCAACCAGAAACTGCAGTGATCCGACGTATGGCCTGGTGTATGTAAAGTTACCAACGTTGTCTGGTCATCCACTTTAAACTCTTGTTGGTCCTGAAGGCCTTCAAACTGTGTTTCGGGATCATCATGCTCTGGATCTGGGAATTTGTACACGATCGGTAAGGTTGCTCCCTCTTCGGCTGTTAAATCATTGAGTTGGATATTACGTGAAGCCAAGAACTTCATCACCTCAGGAATACCACCCACATGGTCATGGTGCCAATGTGAACAGATAACTTTGGATATGGTAGCGTCACCAAGGTCTTTCTTAAGAGCGCTTTGCAATAGAGGGATGTACTCCGAGACGCCCTCACCTGTATCAAGGAGGACTTTGCGTGGACCTTTCCCAATCAAGTACGTGTTCGTTCCTAAAAAAAAAGTTATAAAAGTCAAACTGGAGTGTTCTGAGGTTTTTTTTTTTTTTTTTTTTTTTTTTCTTTTTCCAGCTTGCCAGGAACTGCTGTTTACCCTGCAATGTGAATTTGCCAGGATTTAGTCCTAGGACTCGAATCACTCTTTCTGAGAGACGTGCAATGTTGGGAAGTTTCTCGAGGGTCTCCATTTCTTTGACTTTCTTTTGTGTATTACAATTGTGAATGAGAAATGGAGAGGGGACACATTAAAAAAACATTTACAATCAATTGGGCCGCGAGCGGCTTTGCGTAACGCACGTTCGTTCGCTGACCAAGCCGGGGCTAAATCGAACTTCTACCAGACAAATAAATTTATGGAATCGGCTCCGATGGCTCTTTATCTCGCCAACCGAGACGTCAGTGACAGCATTGCCACAGAACAGGGGAGAATGTTTGCCGAGCGCAGTAATCAAATTCATCTTTTTTTTTTTTTTTTTTTTTTTCCTTTTTTCTGAAGATTTATGGCTTTACACCATGGAAATGATAAAGGGGAAAATAGACTATGATACAGCAAAAAAAATAAAATAAAAAATACAAACAGATCTTCTAATACGTCTGAGAATTCAAAACCTCGCATTATTCGATTAACTCTTGGTATACACCTTGACAATAGAATCGGCACCTCCAGTGGCCAATAAGCCAGGCACAGTTGTATGATACTTGACGCTCGTTACTCCCTCATCACTCTTCCTTCGGTGGCCTGTAAACTCTTGGAGACAAGAACGACCCGATGATGCGATATCCCACAATCGCACAGATCCATCATGTCCACCAGAACATAGCACTAATCCAGAGGGATCAATGTCGAGTGAAGAGACCGCATCCAAATGCGATAGCATCGAAAACGAGCACGAGCCCGAGTTGATGTCAAAAAATCGAATATATCGGTCTTCGTGTCCCGAGATCACAACTGGCATAGTCGGATGGCACACAAGCTTGTTGATCTGTGTCGCTGTTGTACCATCTTTGGAAATCCCAAAAAAAAAAAAAAAAAAAAAAAAAATCAGTACAGCATGTAATGGTTGGCCCACCTATAACGAACAAGCACTTTTTCTCCTTATAATTCAGTACCATAGGATTCATCACTCTTGAGAGCCAAAATAGTTTTGCCGCTTTCAATATCAAACAATTTAACCACCGCATTCGAGTAGCTCACCACCATCTTAGTCAAATCTGTGGGGCAGAAATCGAGACCTGTGGGGGTCGGTAACTTTGTCAGACCAGATGTGTAAGTCGTTGGATCTGATGATTCCAAACCATTGTAACCCCATGATGATCGTAATGGAGATCCTTTCGTCTCTGTATCCCAGACCTTAAGTGTGCCATCAGCAGAGATAGAGGCAAGTAGCTGTGACGATGAGATTGATAGTGGAAAAAGTTTGATGTCCCAAACTGTATCCGTATGTCCAATGAATGATGACATAGTCAATGTAGGATCTAATTAAATGGACCAATATTTAATAAAATACTTTTTAAAATCATGGTAATAGAGTAATGATGGTAATGGAACTAGTAATAATAAACCACATGTACACAAATGAAGAGATTGTGGATTTAAGCTCACCTTGGCGTGCATAGGTATTTTTGTCCATAGATACCAGCCTCCATGATCGCACAGTCGAGTCCATACTGGCAGAGAAGCACTTGTTCTGATCTGCTGAGATAGCGACGGCAGTGATGGGTTTTATATGTCCACGATAGGTATGAACAGCTTCTACTTCACCATTTAAAGGCCTAAAGAAACATTGTATGAAATAACGATCAAAAAGCTTAATAATCAAGCCGTTCAACTACATCTTCAGCCATACTAACGTAAGATTACCTCTTTGACTCTTTGAGAGCCGATTCAAGATTCCAATACTTCATGGTGCCGTCTTCAGAACCTGATAGTAGGGCCTTATCTTTGGGATGGAACGCAATCGAGCGCACTACATCCAAATGCCTGAAAATACACAGTGAGATAAAATTATGTATAAAATAATTAATTAAAGAACTTTAAAGAATACGACCGCGTTTTTCATAGAGTCAGAATTAAACTTGCCTGCGCAGAGTAATTTTTGGTCTCCAAAGAATGGGCTCATCAAGCACGTTACTTGCTGACTTGGTGGCACCACCATTTCCTAAACTCTCTGCTTCCGAAACATTTAGAGATGCTAGTTCATCTTGGACTAGAAAACCAGTGACACAATTCATATGCAATGGATAAGTTATCGCGAATGCAAATGGCTTCTATGACTACAAATAGTAGAAAAATAAAATAAACGTCCTCCCTTACTTTTTTTCTTGTATGGTCCGTTCTTCACAGCTACTTCCTCTTGTGTTGACTTGTCCCATTCCCATCCCTTCACCATTCTGCTCAATTGTTCGGAGGTGATATTATATTTGTCTTGTATATCCTTACTCTAAAAAAAAATAGGCATTAGCTTCAGAGAAATTATCTGACAGCCAACATTTGTAATTTCAAGTTAGAAAAGTGAGTAAACGAGCTCTAACTCACCAATTGGTCAACATTTTCAGACTTTTCAGATTTTTTTTTCTCGTTGATACTCTGATTCAACTGATTGCCGGCTTTCTGCAAGTCTGCACGCCATTGTTCGCTCGAAAGAGGAGCGTGCATGACAGTGACAGCTTCATCACACTGGAATGCCTCCAGTCCAGTCGGATGTCTCTCGTTCTCATCTGCCGCATTGATAGTAGTATCGCTGGTCTTTCTTGGCTTATTACTGGCTACAAGCATACTGTCTTTCGTTGTTGATGTCAAACTGGTTATGTTTTCTGAGTTTTGGTGAGATGGAAACTGTTGCTGCCTCAAAGTGGTTTGGTTGCTGTTATCATCATCCAATGACCCTGCGATATTTGTGGAGTCGGGATAGAGAGGAGGGCTTTCTATCGCAGGTTTAGCCTTGGAAAATGACTGAAGTGTATTAATGGGGACAGAGTTGGACCTGGGTAACGGCGGAGGAACTACGGTGCTTGCTGTTCCAGCAGCAACATGGATTAAAGAGTTTGAAGTTGTAGGGAAAAAGTCACTGTGTCTGTTTTTGCCTCCTCCACCTCGCATACCATTATAGCCCACAGCACTAGCTCGCTTCTCCAATTCATGGCGCACGAGTCGGTTCTGAGCAAGAGCTGGAGGCTGAGCAAGAGCTGAAGGCATCCCCATGGCAATAGATTGAGGCACCGATGAAGTCAAGTAACTTATTTCCTGAAGGCAACTTTTTTTTTTTTTTTTTTTTTTTTTTTTAAAAAAAAAAAAAAAGAAAGAAAAGAAAAGATCAATAACTCCACCGCTTGCTATTTGTTATTCGTGTTCATGATACTAAGAAAAGATTTTTAAGCTTACATCCTCAAAAACTCTCTGCTCTTGGCTCTTCCAACTGGATCCGGGGCTGAGGTGGGACTCACTTGGGTCATATTAACACCAGATACACTGTAGGTTGACACTCTATTCTGCGTCTTGGTATTGCTGCCATTAATGTTGTTGCTATTATTGCTATTATTGTTGACATGACTGTTGAGAGCTTCAGAATTGGAGTAGTTGTTATTGGCTTGGTTAGTCTCTACTAGTAATATATTCAAATGGTTACATTTAGCAAATCAATTGATCGATCGAAGGCACAAAGTTGTAGGCCTTTTGTCAGCAAATAAAAAAGACATTATGAGCCTTGAGCCTAAATTGCGACGTCCAGAGGTTTTGCAACATTAACAATCCACTAATAAACAGACAGCTGTTGTCGTTTAACTTACGCGGCACATCAAGGACAGTGTTTGCTGTTCCTTTAACTACACCAGCGGCGTTACTCAGTTCTATATACTTGCTCCTACAGTCAGACCAAAGATTGGTTAGACAGGGTTTATGAAAAATTATTTGAGCTCGTAGAAGCTTAAAAACAAAAAACTGCTGCTTACCTCTCTTGTCGGAGGGCGTACTCCAACATCTTGACACGCTTCATAAGATCCACCTTTGTATTATCAACACCACGTTTTTCACCTTCAAGGAATGCAATTCGGGCCTATAGTGTCATTGAAGGATTGCGCAGTTGAGGGATGCAGTCAGGAGAAAATGACAGGGAATGTATCCGCATTAGCATTCAGTGTCATGAGAGATACAGCTATCCCATATATCTTGCAGAAAACTAGCCAATCGAGTTGTTATTCAAGGCCATGATAATTTTAGAGGGATAAAAAACGCATTGTAAAAATAAAAAAAATCCGAGAAGTAGTGTTGTAGTAGATCGTATTGTTGTTTATCTATGAATCCCAAAACAGTGTCCATTTTACCTTCATCTCTGCTTTCTCAATATCCCATTCATTTCTGTCACGCTCAAAACGACGCCATTCTGACTGTAGGTACTGCAGTACGCTCGGAAACGCATACTCGGCTACAGTCGGCGCTTGCGGAGCAAACGATTGGAACTGATGCATGGCTGGAGCCTATTCTTCTATGGCTATGCTTTTCCTGATGTGTAGGAATAAAGACGTCGCTGTCAATTTCCTTTCGTTTCGTTATTAGTCACTGCTACTACTGCAATTGACATTTTACGTCAAAGAGATTTAGGGCATAAAGAATGGAAAAAAATGTGAGATTCTGAATCTATATAGAGCCGCAGTAACAACTAATTCAGCTCCTTGTTTGCAACAAGCACTACCTGAAATCTTGACGGATGAGCAAGAAAAAGAGAACCTATTACACAGAGAGTATCGGTAATGAGAAATGAACGAGATTGAATGATGTCCAAGGCCTCGCATGAGTCAGTGCCTGTGTTCAAAAGTGACTAATCCTGTCATTCACAGGAATCACAAACAGTCAATGCCCTCTGTTCCAGACTTTCATTGTTCAACTTCTTTTCTATAACGAACTTGAACAACACCAACGGCTATCACTTACGCCACTCTATGACGCTACGTCTACAGTAGACGAGTGTTTGACAATGCTTGACAGAACGTTGACCAAATGAAGAATTAATGTTGATCCAGAGAGGTATTTACAATTCAATGAAGCGCAGGAAGGGGAAAAAAATGAAAGTGAGGAGAGAAAGGCTGTCCCACTTTTTGCTGGTCTTGCTGTCTGTTCATCAGAACCTCAAGCAAGGCATTTGGACCTGTGTTTTAAAGTGTCAGGAACACGCTCTATTTTTTCACCTGACCCATGGAAAGGAGAGCCTGCTGCCTTGAAGATGGACACTCCTTTATTTTAAACTTGCATATATTTCTGCAATGTCATTCGGATATTAAGTTGCGCTTGGGCCAACTTTGGTGCTAGTGGCACCAAGACACATTTCATTCAAGAGCATTTATCTTTTTATTCCATGTTACATTATAATTCATTCACAGTTTGGCCCTGCCACCGGCAATACGCTGATATTCTTCATTTCTGAAAGGTCTGTAGTGGTGACCATCCAGCCACAGCATCTCGTCCTTGATTATACTGGGGTTGATACCCTCATTGACCAACTCCACTTTGCGTTGCTTAAATGTTCCTGTGATTTCCATCTGAGATTTTTTTCGGATGAAAATAGGAACAGAGTACCGTGGTAAGTTTTTCAATGCATGTTCTGCAAACTTGTCCCAGTCCATCGTCTCCTTAGCAACAATCGCTGCCATGCCGGCGCGACCATCGTAGCCAGGAACTTGGACGCCATAGACGTTGACTTCGAGACAATCTGGGTGCGCTGAAAGTACTTCAGACACCTCAGCCGTCGAGACATTCTCAGATTTCCAGCGGAACGTGTCACCCACGCGGTCACCAAAATAATAGTAGCCGTCAGCATCGCGACTCAGGATATCACCCGTGCGGAAGTAGACATCCCCTGTCATTAGAAACAACAACCAAGTAGATGTCAATATCGAGATAGGAGCACAACAAAGTTTAATCCGAACAGTTGTCGATTGACATACCAGATTTAAAAACGTCTTTAGCAATCTTCTTGTTAGTTGCATCCTTGTTATTATGATAACCACGAAAGTCCTTGATAGGACTGCTTGCATCTATTACGCATAATAATTCTCCTGGTTCACCAGGTCGGCATTCAATACAACGTCCGTTCTTGTCCCGAACCAATTCCTCTGTCTCGATGTCAAACTTGGCAATCTTTAAGCCAGGAAGAAGTAGACTAGCAAGAGGGCCATGGAATCCAACCGCACCTACTCCATTAGGCCCAGTATTGTAGTTATTCAATGCTCCTGTGCCCTCGGTCGAAGCATACCACTCAAAGATCACAGGGATACCGTAGCGTTCCCTAAACCGGTTCCAAACATCAGGGCGCATGCCGTTACCATGTGCCAGCCGGACCGAATGCATTTTGTCTAATGGAGACTCTGGCAAATTTACCAAGTATCTACAAATCTCTCCGATATACTGGATTACAGTAACATTGTTGGCACGGCAATCATCCCAGAATCTAGTTGCTGAGAATTTTCGGGCCAGAATTATAGTTCCACCGACCGACCAGGTGACGCCCACTCCTAGAACCGCCGCTGAACTATGATACAGGGGCATACAAACATAGAAACGATCTTTGTCGGTAAAATTGCCGAACCTTTCAAAGAATAATGCCCCCACTAGTAAGAGTAACATGAAGAAAAACTCGTTAGGCTACTACATCCACAAGAGAAACGATCTTATAATGTTTGGTTCAGTTGTATCAGATGATAATTAGTTGCTCCTTACTATCAGCGCGGGCATGTGAGAACCGTCCAGCCTTGGGTAGGCCCGTAGTTCCCGAAGTATAAATGAGCATTGCAATATCATCGGCCTTCATCTTATGAGGAAGATGTTTAGGTGTATCCGCATCGGAGACCGAGGTAAGGTCAATTGGCATCGCGAAATCAACGTGTCCCATCTCACCACAAGTATAGATCGTAAAGCCCATTTGTAGAATTTCGTCTAGTGATTCAGCAACAGGCGCTGTCAACTCTGTATCCAAGATGAGCATTGAGGACGTGGCGGTGCGGAGTGAGTGAGTGAGGGGCTTGCCCGAAAGATTGGTGTTGATGAACGCACCACATGCACCAATCTTCATGATACCGAGCCAGCAAAAGAGGAACTCAGGTTTGTTGTTCATCATAAGTGATACAATGTCCCCACGCTTTACGCCTTTGGATAGCAACCAGTTGCCAACTTTATTAGAAGCTGTAGATGTTAGAAGGGCACGAATGGGTTTAAAAGAAATACGAAGGAATAGTATTAATGTCAGTTGGCTTTTAACAACAGTTCGTTAAGGTGGCACGCAGGGTGCGTGGAATGTAGCCTTGAATAACTCTGATGATAGAAGGCCTACTTTCGTATATACCATCTCTAAAACCTAAAAAGACACTTCCATATATAAAATATATATATATAAAAGCATCCTAGAGCAACAGAGCAACATTTGCTACTCACCAAGATGGACATCACGAAATGAGTAGGATTTGCCTTCAAACACCAAGGCTTCGCGGTTCGGATACTTGCGATAGCTCTCTTCAAAGCGATAGCTCAAGTTGATTTTCCCTTGCTTCTCAAGGGTGGCAAATGCTCGTTGCATCCCTATTGCACTCTTGAGCATTTTAGCATCTTGGGGAAGCGACAGCTTGGCGCTCACATACATGGCCACGGGCACAGCGGCAGCAACAAGAGGGAGGGCTGGCATGGTAGAAGATTAGGGCCAGTCAATGAGTAAAAAAAAAAAAAAAATGTAGTAATGCAGTGTGAGACTAAGGATTTCAAAAGGTAGTACATGAATGCATTCTTACATCCAATACTCACCGGCCATAAAGAAGTTTGTAAAATGTATGAAGGGACTAGAGTGAGAGAAGAAAAGAAAGAGTAGAGAGGAGAGAGTGCTCTTAACAGCCTTTCTCTTCATTATCCAGTTTCAAACGATCTTTTATGATAAGGGTATTATGTCAATTTGTAATAGCTCACTGGTGGAGTTTCGTATCCGGGTTGAATTATCAGCCGGTTCTCTTTTTTCAGCTCCTTGAGGCTTGATCTTCCCCACACTTCGGGATGTTATCTGTTGGCCCATTCTGTAGTCGTATAGTAGTAGGACGTCTGTGTGCAACCATGTACATGTATATACCTTTTTTTTTTTTTTTTTTTTTTTTTTTTTTAAGTAATAATAATAATATGAAGATCTTAAAAGGTGGTCTAGCTTTAAGATACAGAATGCTATTAAGTTCTTTATTGATGAAACTGGGGAAACAGTGAGCAAAAGTGCCAAGAATGCAGAAAGGCATAAAAACACACATTTTTAGAGCAATCGTTCTTCTAAACTCGATCAGGCAAAGTGCACTTTGAAAGAGCTCTTCAAGCCGTTTCCATTGATACTCTATTATCACCCCGCCTAACCGCAAGCTAACACTCATCGGACCAGTCTTGATAGCATTGACCATGATCTTGAGTTTTTTGTCACTACGCTTCCGAATACGATTCTCGTCATCATTATCTGGATCACTCTCTATCCCAAGATCTTCGCCATCCTCATCCTCGTCCTTATCGTCTAGTCCTGCCTCTAAGTTTGCAACCAAAACATCACCATGGACCTTCAAGAAAACGCTCAAGGATAATTCTGCCAACTCAAAGCACTTCTCCATCTTCAAGGGATATTCGATTGCCTCCAAAAAGTATCTCAGTTCTGCCAAATTGTTTTCCAATGACATGCATCTGAGCTCAAAATCCATAGCAGAAGGAAATTCAGTGATTCAATATGGTCAAACATGACTGAGTGACTACTGCCTACAAGTGTAAGTGTCTAGTTTACTGGCTAGTGTTATCAACTAGGAAGAATGAATGAAACAACAACAGTTGCGCCTCTTAGAGCACAAAGCGTTCATTCACCATGCCTTTTTTCTTTTTTTTTTTGTTATTGCAACTGGAGGCTCATACCGATGCCATTTTTGGTTAGTCCATTTTGTCAATTATAAAAGGTTTATTATGTAGTAGGCTTATAATTGACAAAAGCCTCTCTAAAAGAGATATCGGTATGAGTTTCCAGTTGCAACTCCACATATTAAATCATTGGTTTCTTGGTGGCAATAGTTTTATTTAAGAGTTTGCAGACACCTCGGCGGTTGATACTCCTGACGAAGTAGTGCTATCAGTAACAGCAGTAGCCTTTTTCTTCTCCCATGGCTTTGGTCTGGGCACGAGCTGTGCCTCACTAGGTGTTCCTTCAGCTAGATTATTGGGGATCTGGCGAATGCCTGAAAACAAAAGGGAAGACGAATATAACATCAATTATGTATTCAAGTACGAATGTTTACCTAATACCTAGACAAATACTGAGGAGCTTTATCTCCCCTTACCTGGGATCGGCTTTCCAGCAGCAATGAGCTCACAGATCTCTTGGAAAGACTTTGGGTAGCTCGGATCTTTGAACATCATAAAGTTAGAATCAACTGCTTTTGTAAATAGACGAGAGCTCAAATTTACAAAAACATGATGGTAAGTACCTGCAGCCGGTGCGACCGATGTAATATCATTGGAAGCCGATGCTCCTATATCATTGGCTGACATAGTATTATGGTCTTTTCCCAATGATACCTTGCCTGTTGAGCTCTCATCATTTGTCAATTGTTGTTGAGCGCGCCATGCCTTGTATTGAGAGATATCAAATGGTTTAATGAATCTGATGATGAGGCCCCCAAGAAATGAGGGTAGCGGGGATTGGGTATACAGTAAGCATTAGAGCAAATTACAGTGAGTAAAGTGAGTGAGTCACTTTGAATAAAAAAGTACAGGTCTGCTGGCATGATCATATAAACTATCTGGAAACCCATACCGAGTATAATAAAAGCATCTAGCATTTTCAATAGCTTCTTTTTTCTCTTTCTCTGTCTTGTTTTGATTGCTGTTTATAATGGATTGTAACCCTGTCTGCAGCAGAAGAAGAAACAGGCCAGTTTTGTACATTTTCAGTTTTGAAAAGTCATCATGAGTGTCATGCTAAGTTGATTCCAGAATGAATAAATGAATACCTGAAACGTAGCATCGTTTTCAAAATCATAAGCATCAAATGCTTTGAAGGTCTGCTCCTGTTGCTGCTGCTGTTGTTGTTGCTGCTGTTGTTGATCCTGTTGTTGTTGCGGTGTTACCTCCATAGTTTCTCCTATTACGAGTATAACTGAGTGCTAGGGTGTTCGGTTATTTGGCTTTAAGTGACACTGAATGGCAAATGCAAAACTGTATCACGTGTAATAAAACCTGTATGAATTGATCCGCGTTCTTCGCAAGTGTCCTTTTAATTTCACGCTTTTTAAATTGTTGCCGCTATCTGATATGGCCCTATTTGTATCCATTGCTTCGGCTAATCGATTTCAACGAAGTACACTCTCCAGATTCAATTAACAGTATCGATCAATTCCTTCATTATATTGGAGGTTGGCTTTAGTTTGTACTCAAATACGTACGAACCTTCAATAAAAAAAAATTAAAAAAAAAAAAACCCTTCGATAGCCAGGACTCATTTGATAACAGTTGCAGAGTCCAAGTGAGCACGCAGTCTGGTGAGGTGCCTAACGGCCTGAGCAAACTATTCTCTGTTTTTGCCGTCACAAGGGATTTAACAAAAGGTTGTTCTCTTTTGCCCCTGCTTTCTTGAAATCAATAAGATTGCATTAATACATGATAAATGATATATGACTGTGAACGGACACGAGTATTGCAAGCGTAAGCCTCCAGCGTGATTAATGGTAGGGTGCGTGCACTCAAGATCAATGAACTGGAGGTGTAGGATATTTGAATGAAGCATAATATAAAAACATGAAACAGTGAGCTTTCATTCAGATCAGGTATATTTATAAGTGGCTATGCTACAGTTTGATGAACATGAGAATGATAAAGTGGGGAGATGCGTGCAAAGGTGTGTGATAATGTGTTTGCTATGTTGGTAACAATAGTTTATCAAACGAACTGTTCCCTAGCCCTAATGTCCTTGGTTCGGTGTGTAGTAGGACGCAGTGCTGAAATTAGGTGAGAGAGGCAATAGTCGATATCCTGGTTTGTAATTCATGCACTAAAAGACTAAAAATACAAACGCGTGTTTGTGTGAGGACCCTGTTTAGGCTGTGTGTCCTTGTGCCAATTCATCGTGCTAAAATGGCGAAGAAAGTACATCTGGTTGCTTTCAGTGGTTCCATTTATGGCATACATATTTTACTATTGGTAGATTGTATTTATTTACTCCTTGTTTGTTTCCTTTTTTTCTTCATGTTTACCTCCTGACTCGTTTCTTCGCTTGCATTAAAAAAAAAACCACTTCTGTTGTCGTTATTCCTACACCTTTTCCCTGTTCTTCAGCCCGTCCATCATTTCTTGCAACACTTTCACCTACTGAGTTTATCGCATCACTTTTTTGAATACATCACAAAGCTAGCATACTCCCCCCACCTAATCATATACATTAAACGTCAGCTCCCATCTTTTATTTCAAGTTTCCTTCTCTTTCTCTTTCTATTCAAAGCGTATCTCATTAATGTCACATCCAAATTCAGGAGCTATATGCTTCCAAATTGATCCATCTTATTCATCAATAGGCCTCAGAAATATTAATGGCAGTCCTTCTCACCGTCATATCGATCAAAATAACAGCAGTGGGAGTAGCAGCTTTGACTCTCGGTATCTAACTCCGCCAACAAACGATCCTCTTCTGGGAACTCCAGATTCATCTATAGCTTCGCCAGTTCAAGGTGCTAGAAGCAGCAGTATTAAAGACCAGGATATGAACGTATCCTCAGCATACTCATCATCAACAGTGACATCGATATCAATGACGGCTTCAGGGTCCAAAGCCGTCTCTTCCCGTCGTAATAGGAACAGCGTCCTTCTGAACGATGGCATTAAGCATAATGCCGAGGTCACACGGTCCGATACCAAGACTGCTTCTGCCTCAGGCCGCCTACGGCCGCAGCGCTCATTAGTCATGAAGCATCGACTTCGCAAGCTGAATGATTTTTATGAAGAGCAACAGGATCAGCCACAACAGCATGGGCAAGCCAGTAGTGGATCCCACCATTCACCGGTCTCAAAGCCCCTTCCATTATTACCACATAGTGCCGGAAGATCATCACCATCATCATCATCAGAAGCATTGCCGAAAAGACGAGGTGTCAGTTTAAGCAGAGGGCTGTCATCTAGACGGCGAGATCCTCTCGGTTCTTTGGTTTCACGTTCAGCTAACAGCTCTTCCAACCCGGAAGAAATAGATACATCAAGGTTGCTAGAGTACTCACAGGAGATTAGCTCTGATCCCTTGAGCTCTCGTTGTGACAGAGCAGGATACGAGTCGTATGAACTACAACCCACCTCTCTTAGACAGGAATTCTCCACCATTGACTTGAATGGTAACCGTGAGAAGAAACGCTGTAATAGTCACGGCCTTACATCTGAATATTATAATTCAACTCAGGAACATTGCTCTGACAATGACCAGCATCATCGTCATACATGGACTGAGATGCTGCATGGTGATCGACCAGACCGACACTTGTTCCCGTATAGGAGTAGTAAGGAGAATATCCATGCTCTGAAGACCTTCTTAAGACGATTTTATCTTGTCCTATTGATTATTCCTGCATGGACCATTCCGTATGTTTTGACAGCCCAAGCAGAGCATGCCCAATTAAAGCAGGAGCATCTGCTAGAAAGAGCAGCACCGGAGGTGGAGGAGAAGGGGGCAGGAGGGGGAGAACATGGAGTCATGTTAAGCAAGTGGGCCAATCTAATCGTGTTTATTCTCAACTTATTGGCTATGATGCATCTCGGCAAGGCAGCAGGTGCATGCATGGAGGAATTAGTCCCCAAACTCGGAATGGTAACACTACACAAGAAGCTCTTTTTTTTTTTTTTTTTTTTTTTTTTTTTAGTTTAATAACCTCATTGTTAATGATTGTGGTTACAATATTGATTCTAGAGAATTGTCAGTATTTTTGATGCCATGACAAGCAGCTCAGTCGAATTGGCTGTCGCAGCATTTGCATTAATGAAGGGTCTTGTGCGCGTAGTGCAGGCAGCAATGCTGGGGGCCATTCTCAACAACCTATTGATGGTATGGTATTCTCTTCCTTCCTTGTTCCTTTCATCTATACCCTTTTACATTTCGGTTCATATATTAATTTGGGGTTTCTTACATTCTTCCTTCTAGATGATGGGTATCGCACTATGTGTTGGAGGCTATTATCACCGTGAACAGAAAATCCAAGCGGATACATCTCAGACAGGAATGAACCTGCTCATGATTGTTTGTATATCCTACGTGATCCCTGTGGCACTTGATAGTACCTTCACAGAGCTTCGTAAAGCTTCTATCCCCCATCACCTAAGCCAAGCACAGCTTATTGAAGCAACACGAGCTATCACTGAAGGAGTCCAACACGATCTCTGGACCATCAGTAAAGTCATGGCCATAGTCATGTTAATTCTATATGGATGCTGTCTTTTGTTCCAATATGATTCCACATCCTTTATGGTCACACCAGAAGCTAAGCACACAGGCGCCCATACTGTTCACCGTCGAAATGTTCATTACTGGTTCGCAGGCTTGGGTTACTCAGTCATGCTGGGGGCTCAGATCTATTCCGCCAATCTGTTGGTTCATGCTGTTGAAGCGCTTGGGAAGCAGTTCCACCTGAATGACTCATTTGTAGGATTTGTCTTGCTGCCAATTGTGTTAATTGCAGATCTTCAGGAGGAGGTCATTGCTATCAAAGAAAGTCGTGCCAATCGTTTAGATCGATCCATTGCATTGATGGTTGGCAGTTGTATGCAGATCGCACTTTTAGTCACCCCTCTCTTAGTCCTGTTAGGTTGGGTCGTCGATGTGCCTATGACTTTCCGGTTTAGTCTCTTAGAGGCAGCTGTTTTGGCAGGGTCTGTTTTGATTGTCAACTACTTGCTACAAGATAATGAAACTAATTGGCTGGAGGGATGTTTATTGTTGGCTGCGTTCTTCATGTGTGCTTTGGCATTTTACTATGATATTAAACCCTTTGAGTCAGAATTGGGCAGTGGAGACCATGAACCAGGAGCTGGAAGCCATCATTAAAAATTTGAAAACAAAAATAAAATAAAAAAGACATCTTTATTGGTGGCGTTTATTGCAATAGATTTATGCAGTGTAAGCGTCGCCCGTTCTATTCCGATTCACCTTAGCTTAATATGTTTATATATCTCCATCAATTATTGCCATCAATTATTGCCATCAATTATTGCCATCAATTCTATACCAACTCTAATGCTACCTAAGCACTGGCGTTGGTGTCAGAAGCAGAGGCGGATAGTGCTGTAGCAGTGGCTCGCTTTTCCTCAGCGCTTCCATACAGAATATCATGTCGTTTTTGGTTTGCGAGACGGATCTGCATCTCCCGGTCACGACGTTCGTAGTTGGTAAATGCCGTGTCGGACCCATTGCCAAAGCCTGCCAAGGACGCAGCCACCATGAGCCAGCCCTAATGACATACGACAATATCGTGCGAATGGGCAGGTAATGTATGCAGAAAAAGAAAGTCAGAATGACGTATATTTTACTACGCTGTTCATAGTAAATGTAGATATATATCTGCTTCTGTGCTTTTTTTTTTGTTACCTTCTGAGGAGGACGAATGGCTCTAAATCTTGGGGATGTGGCATGAAGGACCGCCCCTGCAAAAAGAGCTACGGTACTGTATTTGAAGGCACCAATAAAGCCTCCACGCATAGCAGCTTCTGCTGCAAGATCGTCATCGTTCTGTTTGATAAGACGCATAGTGTTTTTTTTATGTTTCGCTTCTTAGTTTTGGATGTTGTTGCTTGTTTGTTTCCTTTAGGGTTTAAGTAGTCTATTGCCCTTTGTTTAGTGATGCTAGGTTCTTTCAAAAGAAGGTGAATGAATGAATGTGTAAAAAGAAGAAGGTTGACAAACATGGTTTAGAATGAGCCCAGATATTCCGAAACAGATCACTTAAGTGGCGTAAAATTCTCAAACCAGCAAGTTATATGAAGACTACTTTTATATGGGAAAGCACCTCCGTGCGCGTTTTTGCAATATCACTCGCTAATACGACAGACTCTTATATACATTCTTCAGGGCCAAGAAGAGTGAAGGCGTCATGGCAACATTTGCTACGTGTACCGATTTACATCGCCATCCCTCGACACGCAATGCGGGATTAGCTGCCATCTCTTTCTGCGCCAACGACAATGCAGACGATGAGCTGCAAGGCGTGCCTCCTGCCACTTCCTATATATTCGGACAGTGCCAATTTCTCAAGGTATTGGAGAAACGCAAGTCAGTTGATCTTTGGACCGGATAATAAAAAAATGCCCCATATAGGTCTCTGGGCGAAAATGTGATGGACTTGAGACTGACTTATGATAACGGACATCCTGAATTGCATTCATGAATAGAGCCTCTCTCACCCAAACCTTTGCGAATACTTAGATGCCATCAAAGGGAAGCGAGGTAACATTTTAAAGCAGGTTCGAGCACCAAAACGCCCCAAAGGAGCTTCATATGTTTTTCTAGCAAATTGATGTTTGGTCCTGTTGTCTATATCACATTAGATCGAGTTTTCGTTGTCCAGGAGCACTACAGCAACTCATTGGATCTCAACCGTATTACATTAGAGAAAGAGCAAGAGAGTACTTCACCGAGAGGGTTAGCAAATGCATCAATTTCAGTAATTCGAAGTCAAAAACAAAGTCCTTATAACAAGCTTCATTGGTTTGTTCTCTAACTTTTTATTTTTTTTATTTTTTTTTTACTCAGACAAAGCATTACGAGGATTCGAAAATGGGCAGCGCAAATTATAGACGCACTTATATATCTTAATTCCCATGGGATCGTACATCGTGCTTTAACAATATCCAATATCTTATTGACTGAGGATGATTTTGTGAAGTTGAGTAACTATGGACTCTATTATATGACCAAAGGCGGTACACTTGTTCAGTTTTCGATTGGGGAGCCCCACTATCTCTCGCCGATGGCTTTGGCGCAGCCTTACACATTATCTCTTCAGGATTATTCTGTACGCGATGGATCATTTCTTCTATTTATTACATCTGAAACGTTAGCTGATTAAGTATATGGACCTGAAATTAAAACGCTATCCTTCCCTTGATGTATATCCTATGTACCCAGACAGATCTGTGGTCCGTGGGAGTTATTATGACAGAGCTATTTCTAGGAGTGTCATTCTGGCGCGCGGATCGATCGGATCTGGATGAGCTGATCGCATCGCTCTTTGCCCTACGGAAATTGTCGACCACATCCAATAACTGGATCCAAGATTGTTCAGAAAATGTTGGCATCAACCCAATTGTATTGTCGTTTTTGAAGACAGGCAGAGCTCCGGACCAGGATCGAGTAAAGGAACAAGAGCGTGAGCAAGACAAGAGAGAGGAACAGATCCAAGAGCAGGCGGATCAAACCAGCAAGGAAGAAAACGAGCTCAATACATTTATCTGTTTCCTGAGAGCTTGCTTGAGCTTGGAGGCTTTCAATAGCATTGAGCCAGCGCAAATTCGCAACCATGATTTCTTTAAAGCTCTTGATGTACTTCATCGAGAAGGCGAACAAGCTACAGGATACAGGTCAAAAATGTGGCATCAAAAGCCATATATCCAGTCAACATCTTTGCCCGACTACGAAGGGGAAGTCAAGCGGCTGCGGGACGCAATTACTCAAAGAAGGTTAGCCCTAAATGAGGACAAGGGAACCAAAAAGCATCCGACTAAGAATGAATTGCTTTATAAGCTCCCTTTGTCACAAGTATTCTACCTTTGGAAGTTGGCTGGGGGCGATGTCGAGGCTCAGTTCCGGAGAAATGGACGTCTTGTGGGAACACCTCCTATACAGCTCTTACCCAAGGTGGTTCACGTCGCAGAAACCAAAGATGAACGTTATCAGCATCATGTTCGTGATATTGCCGATCTATTTTCAGACGTTCCATGTATTCTACCGCTCGATAATCTAGAGAGTGAAATTTTGAAGTCAATCCATGAACCTAACAAGGATCAATTTTCGTGGGATACGGATTACTTCTTGTTCTCGGATCCAGATGAAATGAACTTTTTGCAGGGCACGATGGGGGATGACAAATATAAAGATCGTGGAACCAGCGGTAAAGACGATGATTTTCTCTACCCAGACTCGATGCGGTTTACGAACATGAATGTGGCCTTTAGGAAAGCGCCCGCTTCTTTATCATCGTCAACACCATCAAACACAGTAGGAGCCTCGGCATCAGGTGGTGCACCATCACTGGCACAGCAGCCCAATAAAGCGCGCGTCAAAGTGCCACTTGCGATCCGAGAAAAAGATCTGGGTTACCAGTATCAGCGGCTTTCAATGTTTACAGATCTATTGCTTCAATATCCAGCCTCACGTGCAGAGATTCTACATCATTCCAAGATCGATATCCCACCACTTCTCCGTGGCAAAGTATGGGCTGCCATCCTCGGGGTTGTCGGTGACTACCAAGAGGTGTACAACGGGTACGACAAATATACGGAGAAGCCAACAGATCGGCAAATTGAGCTAGGTAAAGTGAATGAGTAATGATCGGATTTATCATGTGCAAACAGATACTGCGAAGCACCTAATAATGAATAATTTAAATCAAAAAATGCTGCTAGATGTGCCGAGATGTCATCAATACAATCAACTGATGTTCTCCCCTGCTGGTCATGAGAAGATGAAGCGGCTACTCAAGTGTTGGGTTAAAGCAAATGAGAACCAAGCCTACTGGCAAGGTGAGCTTCCCGTGTAAGACATGAGGGTTGCACCATGAGATGGGATAATAATACTACCACTAACACAAAAAACGTCTTGTATCTATATATCAGGACTGGACTCTTGTTGTGCTCCGTTTTTGACCTTGAACTTCAATGACGAGGCATTAGCGTTTGCATGCATACAGTTGTTCCTGCCAAAGTTCTTAAAGGATATGTTCTTGCATGATAATTCGCAGGTTATTCACGAATATCTGGCGGTTTTTAAGCATCTCCTTTCATATCATGATCCAGAGCTGTCTAGTCATCTGGATCATATCCGATTCATTCCACAGCTCTATGCTATACCATGGTTTATGACCCTATTCACTCGTGAGTGAACGCTTTCTTCTTTAATGCCCTTTGTTCCGTTTGTGCTTTTATTAACTTTTCTTTTTTGTTTCTTTCTTTCTTTCTGTCTCTCTGATAATAGACATTTTCCCACTTGATAAAGTATATCATCTCTGGGACAAAATACTCGTCGGACCTTCTTCACTCCCACTTTTTGTTGGTATTGCAATATTACAGCAATTTCGCCAACAGTTACTACGATCTGAGTTCAATGAGGCCATCAGTATTTTCTCTGAATCCTTCCCAGGAATGGACATCGAAAAGTGTATTGAAACTGCACTGGCAATGTGTCGTGTCACGCCACCATCTACTTGCTGGCTATCGTACGATCAAGAATCGAGGGAAATACGAGAGCAGCTACACTTGCCAATAACAATATCAACAGCCGCAATCCCTGGAAAAGTAGTTAATGGCGAAGTCGGGGGACAAAAACCAAACGGTAAAGAAATCAGTCAATCTTCCGCAGGGCCAACAGCCCCTGTAGATCATAATATTTACAGCAGCTCTAAAGCATCCTCGGATCATCAGGAGTTGAAGAGACCGAAAGAAATCGAGAAGCGAATATCAGGTGGTGTAGGGGTCTTGCACTGGTGGGAAGAGCCTCTTTCAATCGAAACAATGGATGCAGAACTTGCTCCGCGAATACATCGTTCTGATTTTGTGAAGCTTCGCCAACAGGCCATGGTGATTGATATTCGGCCTGAAGAAGAGTAAGAAAATGACTCTCTGCTAAATTTTATCTCCTAACTAACTCTACTGTCACGCCACTGTTTAAGTAAACATTGAAGTACAACAATGTCTTCGTTAACCTGATGCGGTTTGGTATCCTGCGTTTGCATTTAGGTTCTGCAATGGCCACTATCCACTTTCAATTCAGATGGTCCCTGGCCAACTGGGGCTATTGGTGCACATTCTAGGGAAACTTAAAAAAAACTATCTCGTCGTGATCGCCAATAGAGGGGATTCTGGGCCAGAGGTATGCCATGTTTGTGTGGGTGACAAAGAAGAATGGTAGCGAGTTTGCTTTGTCTGGGCATTCAACGACTTTCCTTCATTGTTCTTTCGACCAAACCATAGTTTGCCTCGGCATTGGTGCGACACGGCTTTTCAAGAGTCGCACTATTAATGGGTGGCATTGATGCCCTTCGAATCACGGAACCTGTGATGTCGTTGACATCTAATTCTGCAATACCAGGGAATCAAGCATCACCGTCCCTTTCTACTGTCAGTACCGCATCCACGGCAGTGACAGGTACGACGACAACTACAATAATTACGACACCAACAATCTGTTCTTGTAAACCATTCCGTCAAGCTATTACGGTGCAGAGCAAAATCAAAGATGAAGTGGCTGTCCAGAAATGTAAGACACCATTTACTCAAAAGAAGATGCGAACGACGATGGCTGCGTAGACTAGTGTAATACTTATTATCTACAACATACTAATAAAAGTTTGAGACTTTCTTGGATTTCCGCATGGGCGAAGCACAATCCCCGTTACTTCATACCACAAATAACTCTAGCTTTATTTATTTATTTATTTATTTTTTTTTTAAAAAAAAAAAAAAAAAAAAAAAAAAGCATGCATTCTCCCTTGTTACATCTCCATAGTTAGAAAGCTGTCAACAAAGGGTAAAATTACTGGTAACAAGATCATTCGTGACATTTAAAGCAAGGTCACACTTCGTCAATAATACGTACTTTTGTTGTGCTTGATCCAGTTACTCGTATTTTCTTATTTTGCTATGCTTGCTTGGACCTTCTTCCATCGTTGGTGTCACAGGAGGTACAGGAATTTTGAACAAGAAGGAAGTGACGCGAGAAGTGAACAGCATCGCTGACAGGGAAGTAAAGGACAATTTAATATGATGAAGGTAACATTGTCAACGTCATTGTTGACAAAGCTAGTAGATATATTGAGGATAGAGAGGTGCTAATCAGAGGGCGACGCTATGAAGGTTACCAGGTTAGTGGAGAAGTATAGCAATGATTAGAATAGGATGTTTTGGGATCGAGAAAACGAACGCTAACTAGCCTATGAAAAGGAGGAACAAGGCACCGTTTGGCCAAAGTCATCATTTGTGTTGTGGGCCAAGGTCACATTTTGGGGACTAAAATTCTACTGGGCTTAGTTATATAATTTATAAACTGGTCATTTGATCCGTCACAGGAATGCCCCCCAAAACCTATTTGAAAATTGGTTTTAGGTCATTACATACATTTCACTTTCGTTCATTCTTTTTTTTTTTTTTGTAAATCACTAAATCACTAAAACATTGCTACATCCATCTTTACTTCAATTTTTTTTTCTGTTATTTATTATTTTTATATTTATTTTATTTTATTATTTGATTTGTGTCCTAAAATATTTGCTATGCCTCGGCAAAGTAAACTGTCAATTTCCCTTTTGCTGTCCTTAATTCTCTTGGCATTTTCTCTTGCACTTGCGCATCCACTCTTCGGACCTTTTTCTCGAAAATACAGCATCGCACAGATCTCGCCGGGACAACAACAAGAAGATAGATCGTCATGGATGCAACCTATAATCGAATCACAGCTCAGTCATAACCAATATTCCTTCCAACCTCCAATCCCCATTCATCAAAGGCATCCTCCAACCAAACAGCAGATAAAAAACGATCCTGATGACCTTTTGTTAGCACAGATTGGTCAAGATCGACCAGATGAGGTCTTAACTCTACGCCATGCCCTTCATCATGGTGGCCATCGATTCCCAAGACTCTTTCGTCGACGTGATTTCTCTCAAGCAGATATTCTAGCCAACGAGTTGCTCACAGGAGAATCTTTGTCTCATCAAGTGAAAGTCAAGACCACAACAACGGTTAAACCTAAGGGAGATCGATTCAAGTCATTCAAGAATAAAGGCTTCCGTGCTCTTGGGATGGGCTTACAAGGTCAACAACAATCCTTTGGACCCGAAACCTGGACACGTGAACTGGTGGATGCCCCAGATATGACAGATAAAGAGACAATTATATCCTTGTCAAAAATGAATTACAACTCGTATACCGAGGTAGCCAGTCCAGGATGGTATGATCTTGAAGACAACTGGGCAGTGGTAAGCTTTTTTTTTTAAGGCAATGAACTTTGTATTTACGTTTTTCATGTTGATGCAATTGTCTGTGCAAATTACATGGCTAGGAGCATGTGAGAAAAAAGCACACAAAATTATATTAGACTGAATTTTACACCTGTTTTTTCTTACATTTAAACATGGCTTTAGAACTCGACATTTGGTTGGGAAGAAGATGGTGTTAGAGGCCATGTATTTGCATCCAAGGACAATACAACCTTAATTGTTGCTATCAAAGGTACCACGGCCGCACTTTTGGGTGGAGGTGGCCGTACTGCAACGCGTGATAAAATCAACGTAAGTCCTTTTACATAGTGTGCTCCCTAATTCCTGGCCCTGTACCCCCCATCCACCCACCTACCTTCTGGTGCAAACGATTTTGACGGGTATGTCATTGTATTACACATTTTATAGGACAACTTATTGTTCTCATGCTGTTGTGCCAAGGTGGATCGAACATGGCGAGGCGTTTGCGATTGTAATACTGGCGGGTATCAATGCGATCAGACTTGTATCGAGCATAGCGTCAGTTCCGACGACGTTTATTATAATATAGCGATGGTATTGTACACAACAACCCCCGTAGGCTGTGGATTTTTTTTTATGACCTATGCTTTTTGACATTAACTCCTCTTATCTGCTATACTTCGCTCTTGTTGTAAGACCGTCTTGTGGACAGTACAGGATATGTACCCGAATGCGAATGTTTGGCTGACGGGGCACAGTTTGGGTGGCGGTCTCTCAGCATTGCTAGGTCTGACGTTCGGTGTACCTACAGTGACATTTGAAACCCCAGGTGACCGACTCGCAGCGCAGAGACTTCATTTACCTGGACCTCCTGCGATTAACTGGGATGAGTTTCCGCTCTTCCATGTGGGCCATACGGCAGATCCAATATTCCAAGGGGTTTGTAATGGGCCACGAAGTGCTTGTTATTACTCGGGATTTGCTTTAGAGAGCAAATGCCACACAGGCAGGACCTGTGTCTATGATCCAGTAGGCGAAGATAACTGGAGGGTAGATATTCGGACACATCGCTTGGCAGATACGATCGAGGGTGTGCTCAAAGTGAAAGAAGTGCCACAGTGTAAACAGGAGGTCGGATGTGTTGATTGTGGATTATGGAATTATGTGTAAAACTATTTAATGTGTACAAAAATATTTGAATATATATTATAATTATCTATCACTGTCTTCTTTTTGCCTTTTTTTTTATTTTTTTATTTTTATTTTTTGTACTTAAGTCGCCACATTGGATGTCAGCTCAGCAATCATCAAAAACTCTTGAGCTCGGTACTGGGTGTCAACTACGTATGATGATGAGAAGGAAGAAGAAGTAGTGTTCCAGCTGAGAATATGCGCTCGTACGACAGCCGCGATATTGGCTGGAATACCATTTTTAGATTTGAGGGTGATCTTGGTTAGAGCAGTGAAAATAAATGCTTGAATCAGGGATTCTGCATTCATAAAAAAAAAAAAAGAAAGAAAGAAAGAAAAGCGTGTCAATTCCTTTGCGTAACTTTGGAAGGCATGATTAATCCCTTATTAAAATTACAATCTTTTCTTTGTTACCTTGATTGATCAAGAGACAACGCACCAGGACTTCAAGGATAGTTGATATGCTTCCATCATCAGCAATATCACCATATTCACCTAGGATCCAGGTTGCAAAATAGGCCAGTGGCAGTGTTGAAGTCACCTTATCCTTTTCAGAGGCCAAAGTGGAAGTGGTCAAACTGTACTCCTTCTCAGCAAGTAGCTCCATGGTCTTTTGGACAGCTAAGACTCGCAAGTGTATTGTGGTGAAAGCAGGGCTTCTTGCACCTGCCAATCACATGGACACCAGACATCAGACATGGCACGAAACTTTGGAGTCAGGGCAAAAATTTTGCGATAAGCTAAAGTATGCAAACAAAAAGACACAGTTTTGTTTACCTTTTTCAAAAACTCGCATGACCCTTTCAACAGTCTGCATGGTTATTACTTGTCCTCCTCTTTCTAACAAGTCATAAATTAGCTCAAGGTACCATGCCTCAGATTTACCAAACCTTTCTCCTGCATCCAAGATCTGATCCAAAATTTTTTCACGACGGCTTGGATATTGTTCACCCCTAGATCGACCATTGCTGCCATTGTTACTCTTATTATTTTCGGTCGAAGCATATTCGTCCTGTTCCTGATAAAAGGCATAGACAAGTCTGTCAATAATGTTCTCAGAGTTATCAATGGTCAGCATCCGATAGAGCAAGTCGAGTGCCTTTCTTTGGATCGTAGCATCTCGGCTGTCTAAGGCTTGGACGACAGCTGACAGCAAATCTTCATTCCACCAGGTATCTGACCAGGCATCCGGACGAACCTGACAGAGCATGGAGATGCCCAGATATTTCAGGTTCTGATTCGAAGATGTTGCAAATTTAGTAATAATCAAAAGTGGGTTCCGACTCTTTTCCTTGTACTGACACAACTCAAGAATAACCGCTGGTTGAAAGGTGTTCAATGTTCGAATCACCTCAAATAGGATAGCTACGATTGCAGAAAAATAATTGCACAAGATCAATTGATGATCTAGATTTTTTTTTTTTTTTTTTTTTCCACGCTAGCGTAGCGTTGTACAAAAAGATAAAGACATGTGTCTCATCTAAGAAACACACAAAACTTTTTTTTGTGCAGCTGTCTAGCTTTTTCAACAGGTTCCGGCCAATAAACCCATACACTGGGACTGGATATAAGAAATAAGAAAAATAAAAAAAGCCTCATTCAAAATACGAAAAGAATTGCTGGATTAGAATTTGACGCCGGCTCCCTAAGGCTGCCCAAAGAGGTAGATTACTATCAATCTATAAGATAGCTTCTTCATGGAGTGAGTTCTTGTTATGACTGAGGGAGCAGGGGCCTGTAAATGGAGTGTTTTCTTCCCGACAAAACGAAAAAAAACAAAGGTGGCGATGTAGAACCTCATTCTTGCATGCATCCATGCAACAAAATACGAATATTAGGACCACAACACAAACACATTGACACATCGACACAAAGGTCGTCATCAGCTTATGTGATTCAGGCACAATAACAAGCACAAACACAGTCTTAACCACCACATCAGCAGAGCATTATGAGGAATTCAATATTCTTCTGTTCATCATTAAATTGACCCAGACTTTGTAGCTAATTAATAAGGCGGACTTACCAAACGCGGTATCAACTCCTTGCCTTGCTTTGTGGAATGCTCCCATGATGACTGGCGTCATCGCCATACTTGCACTTAGAGAATACCATATCATCCAGTCGTTTTTTTTTTTTTTTTATAAAAAAAAGTTGGGTCCAGTTGAGGAAGAGTCGCAGTTCGGGTGGAAAATGAAAAAAAAAAAAAAAAAAAAAAAAATTTAGTTCCACAATGGGCAAAAAAACTGGAAACCAGGCATAACATGAATTATTGTTACCCAGACCCCCGGAGAATTCATAGAATTTTAAAAAACTATTCCATAAGCATTTTCTGTACCTAAGATCATATTGTCCGAGACGTGCCATTATTTGGAGACAGCGGATTTGGATCCATGGTGCAGGAGTTCCATGATAGGAATAACCTTTGGGCAGCTTGCCATCAATCACCTGTTGGAGAATCTTGATGAGTGCTGGTACAAGCCCAATCATTTCTTTCCCATGGTCCTAATGGATGGCATAAAAAAAAGAGTGTTCATGCATTGCATGTAGACCGCAGGATATTGGAGGGAAAAAAAAAAAAAAAAAAAAAAAAAACCGCCTACTTGAACAACCACAGCAAAAAAACCAAGGGCAGCAGACATAACACTTGGTTCAGAGTCAAAAAGCGCCTCTTTAATCTGATCGAGGTATGGTAGTATCAAGTCTGGATTCTGGATATAAAAGTTTTTCAAAGCAACCAATGCCCGCTTTCGAACTGACTCACTAAGATCAATGAAAGAAATGTGGAGATTGACAGCAGTGCGTGTGAGTTAAGAGTCTAATAACCTAATGGCTTTTTTTTTTTTTTTTTTTTTTTTTTTTGCATAATCAGACCGATTTTTTTTTTTTTTTTTTTTTCAGTGCGTGGTGGTATTACTTTGTGTGCAACATGGCTTTGAGGACATGGCCGACCATAGAAGGGATCACGTCTAACAACGTCATGTTGCAGAGTGTCACTAGCGCCACGACAACATGGTGATAGTTGCTGCTTGTCAAATCCTATTTTTTTAAAATTGAATTTTAGAATTTTAGAAGCTCAGAGGAAAAAGGCTTCACATTTCTCCGAACTTTTTTTTTTTTTTTTTTTTTTTAAAAAAAAAAATAAAAACCTTTTGAAGCGTGTTCACCAGCATAATATTAAGCTCGTTGCCTTCTTGAAGCAACAGATAACAAGCAAGGTATCCTATAACAGGCCAAAGGGCCCCAAGTAATAATCAAAGAAATGTCTATCAGAAACATAAATGCTGGATTTGAAGCGGCTTAAGAGGGAAAGAATTGAGTGCACAAACCAGCACGCTTTTCTGCCACAGTCTGCCCACTCTGAGCTAGTTTTAACGCATAGATGACTCCGAATTGGACATCCTGCCCCATCATTTCTCCGTAAATAAGTCGTATCATGTTCTCTTTCATAACAGCCTAGAATTTGGGTGAAAAAAATATGTCAGTTGTCATGAAATAGGATGAATCAACCCGATCCAATCTTCCTATGTACTATCATTTGGAATAGCCAGGAGGTAGTTTATTATCGGATGTTTCTTGAAATAAGCTAAACAGATACCACTTTTATTACCGTTGATACGTTGGGATTGGAGATGTTAAGCCGTAGAGCCTCCAGCGACTCATCTGAAAAGGCTTTTGCATCTTCTGTCTAAAAAAGTAAGACAAAGCGGGAGGATGATCAAAAGGATAAATATAAAGCGTACAAGAAAGCCAAAGGTCTGAGGACAAGGGCTACAGAGCCAGAAAGGGTGGTGTATCTAATTGATTCATTAAAAGATGAAATAAATAAAAAGGAAACATCGACTATCAAGATCGCCGCGTATGCAGCATGTGCATACCACGCGTCCCGAGTCTGTGCTATGGCTGCCCGTGCCTGTCAGAGTAGAAAGCAACTTTCGTGAAAAGTCCATCGCCAATAAAAAATAAAAAATAAAAAATAAAAAAGACCCACAGAGCAGAGGTGTGGAATATGCTTTCTCCTTTCTCTGTGACTGAAAGAAGAGATAGTGAGGGTGGTAATAGTGGTGGAATCAAAATTAGTAGTTGCAGGTATTGCTTTTATTGTAATTGTTGAATCAGAATCAGGCAATGATTGCATTCAGCCTTGAACAGTAACGAGAACACAGGCGGCTATGCTCTCTCTGTATCAATTGTGATGGTATATACTGTGAGCGTAGCAGTGCCTTCAAAAAAAAAATAAAATAAAAAAAAATGCAGATACAGAATGCTCTTCACAAGTGCACTCTCTTGTATTGATTCCAATTCAGTCAACAATACCAATGGCAAAATAAATGGGATAAAATAAAACAAATGGCTCTTTCGTTGTATAGAGCAGAACAGAGGCTGCTCTCCTCCTTTTCTTTCCTTCCCTTCCTTCTTTCTTTTTTTTTTTTTCTCTCTCACCTCTCTAGTGCTGTTATCCTATAATCACTCTCACCACCATCCCCCTCTTTCTTGCTCTCCATCTCCAGGGGTGTTTACTTGTGTGTGGGTCGTGCCTGGCATAATTAGAAGTATTCAAGCCCTATTTTACTCACGTTCTGCTCTTGTCTTTAGCAACCACTTCCCCATCTCCCCTCTCACTCTTTCTCTCATCCTACATTCATTCTCGCACAATCACACTCTATTTACCATTCAATACCTGTCTTCCCTCTCCCACACCCTTACTCGCATACACACACTCTCTCTCTTTCTCTTTCTCTAGTTGCAATCATAACCCATTGCTCAACTCAATTCGTTCATTCAACACTGGTTTATTATTATCTATAATCATTATTCATATTACACTCTTTATTTTTGTGCATTTCGGATTATTTAGAGCTATTCATTCTTTTTCTCCCTTTCCCTCCATTTTTTTTTTTTTCTTTTTTTTCTCTCTTCTAATCACCCGACACAGCATCATGTCGGTGATTCTGTAATATTCTTCGAGTTCTTGCTTTCCTATTCTTTTTAACAACCAAATATCTTTGTTGTCAATTGGATCTCGATCTTCTTGGCACTCATTCCCCAATTTCACATCATAACCCACTACATAAAACATTCACATACATATACACATTCATCCGTACATACACAAATACACATATACATACATTTACGCACACACTCTCTAACTCCCTCACTTGCCTATAATCATCACACGTCCTGTGACTGCACCGCTCTACTCCTACTGCATCCATCTTATCATTCGCACCTACGTACATTTATCAGGGCAATATGGGTGGCTCACAACAAGGCGATCAGACCAACGAGGCTGACGGAGATACTCCTCTTGAGACTGATCCCACAGGAAGATTTCAGCGCTTAAATGAAATCTTGGGCGAAGGTGCTTACAAACACGTCTATAAAGCCTTCGATCAGGAGGAGGGCGTTGAAGTGGCCTGGAATCAGCTTCGTATCGACCATCTTACAAAGAAGGAAGCTCAAAAGATTCTCTCCGAGATTGAGATTTTAGAGTCCATCCGTAACGAGCACATTATCAATTTTCTAGCCTCCTGGTCTACCAAGGCTCCAAACGGTGGAGAGCGCGTTGTTTTTGTAACCGAGCTCATGTCTTCTGGAACACTGAAGCAGTATCTCAAAAAGACACTTAAAGGTCCATTAAAGCCTAAAGTCCTCAAGTCATGGTGTCGTCAAATCCTTCAGGGCCTTGTCTATCTTCACACCCATGATCCTCCCATCATTCATCGAGATCTTAAATGCGATAATATTTTCATCAATGGCAACAACGGACAGCTTAAAATCGGAGACCTTGGACTTGCAGTCGTGCGCCATCGAACCCATGTCTCCTCTGTCCTGGGTACTCCTGAATTTATGGCGCCAGAGCTCTATGATGAAAAGTATGACGAGAAAGTTGACATTTATGCCTTTGGCATGTGTGTTCTTGAAATGGCAAGTGCATTTTTTTTTTTTTTTTTTTTTTTTTCTTTTTTGACTCGGATGACAAATTGGCCAATATGTTCCAAAAAAAAAAAAAAAAAAAAAAAAAAACAGGAAAAGCAAAGGAAATACGCTTGTGTAAGGATCACAGAGTTGAATGTTAATCATTCTTTCTCTGCTCATGGTCTATTTTGCTATTGTGCTGCGGTTTTTGTCTGCACTGCACTAATAGGTCACAAAGGAATATCCGTACTCCGAGTGCACAAACCAGGCTCAAATTTATCGCAAGGTCACCAAAGGCATCAAGCCGCAGTCGCTGGATCATGTCCAAGATGAAGAAACTCGTGAGTTCATTAACCGTTGTCTGGATCATGATGATCGTACTCGTCCGTCTGCCCAGGAACTACTTGACTCGGATTTTTTGAAGCCCTGCGCTGCAGTACCTTCTCTTTGCGGCTCATCCACAGGACTTCTTAATTATCCTAACCGAAGCCTCCACGATGGTATGGATACACCAGATGGTCATAGTCCGGCCTCCGCATCAGCCTTGGCTGGAACATCCTCCCTATCAACTGCAGCCTCGCCTTCATCATCTTTTGCATTACAAAATACATTGCCAGTCATGTTGCCCAAAGCGACTCCTTTACCTGAAAAGGCAGCAGCAGCAGGCCCTCAACCCATCACTATACCTACTACAGCCTTCACTACCACTACGACCGTTGATGCTGATAATAAGACCTATCATATCCGTTCTAATCTCGTACCACAAACACCCACATCCTCTGAGCAATCTGTATCTAGTCTTCTTCAACAACACCAGCAGCTGACACAACAGCAGCAGCAGCAACAACAACAGCAGCAGCAACAACAACAACATTCTCAAGAAAATAAAGCTGCAATACCTCAGCAGGAGCACGCGAAATTGGATATGGAGCCCCCTACACTGCACTCGCATGCAAACTCCAAGACATGCTCGATTCAAGTGGTGCAGTACGGTGAAGAAAATGGAGAACAACTAAATCTCAAGATGATTTGCACATGCCCCGTGGCTGGTCCTCGGGATGTGACCATGGCAGCTGGCACGCATGAGATCAAGTTTCCCTTTGACTTGAACGTGGACACGGTCGAGGAGGTCGTGGCTGAAATGATTCGCGAGCAAATCTTGTCTGGTGATGATCGTGAAGAAGCAACAGCAAAGATTCAGGATTTGATTGACAGCGTTGTCTTGGCCAGAAAAGAACGTGCTCGTGCTGCTAGGGAATTGCATAGAGCATCAAAAGCCGTAACCGACCATCGTGGACGCGCGTCCTCCAATCATCATCATGGCGTTGATCATACCAATCGATCTACATCGAACAGCCGTAAAAACGGCCATCATCGTCCGATGAAAAGCCCTTCTCTTTATGATCTACAGCAATACGGTTCCTCGCCTACGGAATCTCAGTACGATCATTACTCATCCGTGGGTTCCGACTCCATGAATACCTGGAATGATGTTGAGTCTCCCATCGAGTCAGATCAGGGCTACGGAACAGTTCCTCCTCACCCTCCTCAGCAACCTCCCGTCATTACTGAGTCGACTTTTCCTCCACTCAATAATCTTCATGCTCCATGTAACAAATCTATTGGATCGCCCGATCAGGCTGTGCAGGGACTGACGGATAAATCTCATCAGGCTACTTATTCTGAGGCTGTACAGCACTCTGTGGGTAACTTTCATCGATCTTTATCCCCCAATGCGATCGAGAGTGATGGATCTTCTAGAGTGTCAAGACCTCAAGATGACTCTACCTTGGAACAAAAGTCCCCGACAGCTCGGCCAGTAGAAACTAAGGCTACGCTCACAAACGGTGCTTTAACGAAACAAACCTTACGGGATTTTGAAGCAGGAAGTGCAGACAAAAAGAAGTTTGATGATTTTGAGGATGTTGGATATACCTCTCCTTATCGCCATGGCGTGTCAAGTTCGTCAATCAACTATCATCGTCGATCACCTTCTGTGGATGCATCCGTCATCCTTACGTCTCCAGCGCTCACTTCAGCGCCTATAATGCCTTCCTATACAGGCACATCGGAGACAGCCGTTGGAGCATCTGTTAGATTGCAAGGAAGCCTGGATCAACAACATTTGGGTGCTGCTGCTCCTACTGCCTCTACGCCTTCAGCTAGCATTAGTCCTGAGATTTCCCCTGCTCCTTCTCGGGACTCGCCACCGCAAAATATGTCATTGCTGAATTTGAATAGCCCGCCCATTCACACAAATACCTCTGTCCAGGCTAGCATGTCGGATCCAGGACATTTGGGCCTAAATTCAAACGAACTTCAAGTGCCCTCTATTTTACCGCATACGATCCATTATGACCAACGGGTGCCTTCTTCAACAGAATGGCCCCATCATGACTCTTTACATCCTCATCAATATGCCCTCCACCCGCAACAAAAGTATGCTACGCAACCCTTCCAAGAGCCCATGTTGACAAGCGAAGCCAAGAAGAGCATTGAGCTTTGGAGTAACAAAGTTCAGCCACCAGATCGTGTGAATAGTGGGGCTGGATACATGAATGGATCAAATTACTCGAGCTGCCCAGAGATGTCAGATGATGATGAGATACTGGATGAAGATCTTAAAATCTTGAGAGAGAAACAGCGCCAAGAACTCGAGCTGATGCGACTACAGCACTTACAGCAGTGGGAAATGATGATGAAGCTTAAGGAACAGAAAGGACTGCAAGAGCGGAGTCGGCGCAAGAGCGAAGTCAACGGCTCAGCCTACTCTCCTATTATGTCATCATCATCCTTTCACCATTAATCACTTCATGGTGTCTCTTCGTTTGCATCCTTTTTTTTCTATTCTTTTTCTTTCTTAGTTTTGCCGTGATTTTGATTTATCGTCCATTGATAGCTTGCTTTGCGTCCTTGTATCGCCATCATTCTTTAATGCTTCTTGTATTATAGCAATCTCTTTGTTTCTTTGTTCCTCTCTTTTTTTGAGCTCGTTGTGTATTTATCTTTTCTTTTGCTTCGCTGCATGTAATATAATGAATAATATAATGAATGATAATGACAATAATGAATAATATAAAAATGAAAATAAAATAAATTTATAAAAAAAAGCGTAGAAAAACTTTGTGCCCCCTTGAAATTTTAGAAAAACTTTTGTTAAGGATGCTTAAAGTAGCAATAGCCAGAAGTCTGCCAGAGAGAGGACGTCTTCTGGATGTTTTCGCGTCAAAGGCGAACATTTCTGTACCGGTAGTATTGGTTATTTCTACAAGACACTTCCTGATAACCTTCGAGGGATAGTCAGAGCCTTAGTGTCAACTTCATTTCGTCTGCTAAAGTTCAAACACTTTGAGCCCAGGATCCTAGAACTGTTGATATTTCTTAAGTTTCGTGTGTCATTTACCAACTGAAGGTAACTTTTTAAATGCTCTTGACAGTATTGTATCATAAGATAATAATTGATCTACTGGGAGTATCCTTTAGTCTTCAGAGACGTCAATATAGTAACAGTATCCTCGTGTCCTTGGATGTTAGTAGTAAAATGACGATTATTCATTCTAATGTAAGACACTGTTATGCTCGCTGCTAAGATTAGGGCCCAAAGAGACATTTGCAATTGTGAACGTGTTTACTGCCCTTTCCAACCGATTATCTAATAAAATTTTGAGGACGCAGTGTGAAGGGATGTTCAATCATGTGATATGAGCAACCTTAAGCCACAATCTGAAAAATTTGTATTTTAACCTGTGCTTTCGCGCAGAAGAGATTAGTTCCTCCTCTTACACACTCTCAATTTTCGGTGCGTGCAATTTCTGAAATTATAGTACCTCCTTGGATGTCAATTGGATATATTCATCATTCTATCGATCCATCAATCCATTCATGTCTATGGACTATCATCAGCACGGTTACAGTTACATGGATCATAGTGGAGGCTATTGGGACCACAATTCATGATGTCTTTTAGGAAGTTTTTTTTTTTTTTTTTTTTTTTTTTTTTTTTTTTTTTTTCTTTCTCAGGAACATCATTTGTGTGCTTCATTGCATTCAACCGAAAAAAAACCAATGTCGGGAATATTGATTGCTCATATTTATGATTTAATGGAACGAGCTACCAAGAAGGCATTCAAAGTGAAGATTACTTTAGCTTGATCTTGCTTCCTTTTTTTCTTTTCATTTCTGAATCGGTTTATTCAAACAGAGCTACTGTCTGGATTTACACCAATGGTTTCTTATATCGACAATATGCGCGGATCAAGAGAAACTCTACTGGGGCAACGGATACATTAAATGGCTATCATTGTCTATGAACCTCTAGTTAACACTTTGTCTGTTTTTTGACTGAAATAAATTTCTAGGACACAATGAAGGATATCTACAAGGAAGAGATTCTCCCCGTCCCCGCTAATGTCGAGGTCCAGATCAAGTCCCGCATTGTGACCGTCACCGGTCCTCGCGGTACTATCACCAAGAACTTCCGTCACGCTGAGATGGACATTGTCAAGTTGGATACCGCCCGCATCCGCCTTGTTGTCTGGCACGGCAAGCGCAAGCACGTTGCTTGCCTCCGCACCATCCGTTCATTGATCCATAACATGATCGTTGGTGTTACCAAGGGTTACGAGTACAAGATGCGTTTCGTCTATGCCCATTTCCCCATCAACGTCATTATTGCTGATGACCAAAAGTCGGTTGAAATCCGTAACTTCGTTGGTCAAAAGATCATCTTGAAGGTTCCCATGTTGGATGGCGTTACCATTTTCCACTCCAAGGATCAGAAGGATGAGATCACCTTGCAGGGCAACGATGTTGACAACGTTTCTCAGTCTGCTGCCAACATCCAGCAGGCCACCACCGTCAGAAACAAGGATATCCGTAAGTTCTTGGATGGTATCTACGTCTCCCAAAAGGGTGCCATCAAGGCTGATGACGAATAAAAAGGAGGTTTCTCTTTTTCTTTTTTATCCCTCATTAAAAATCTGGAGTGAAGAATCCAACACATTTTTTCGAAAAAAAAAAATAATAATAATTCGGATCTCAATGGATAATGATAATAAATCGCACAGTCTAGCGGCCTTGCTTCCCTCCGCTAAGGCAATCTGCGAAATGAATGTGCTGGGATGTATATAAAAGTTGATGGCCATAGAGGCATTGAAAATTTTAAGTATCATTCAAAATTGAAGAAAGTGAAGATAATGACGGCTACTGTAATTTAAGACCATAATCATTCAACAGGGAGAGAAGAATCAACATGTTATCAAGGTCTGTTGACGATAGTCTTTATTTTAATCATGCTATTAACGAGAGGTAGGATCGATGTTAATTTAGTCTATTTACAACAATAAAAAAAGCTTTCTGAATCATAAACAAATGTGCTGTTAGTAAGCCACATAGTGTTATTATTATTATTTTTTTTATATACCCTGCCAAAGCCTCTGACCTTCATTTTATAAGACATCGACTTTCCTTGAAGCTTCATTATTCTTACAGTTGCGCTTTACATTGTTTTTCCTCATCACCTAATACGCGGAAGGATAAAACTTCAACCTGGAGGAGAAAAATAAGACACTGTAAGAGAAAATACTACAAAGGAAAGCCAGGATGTCCAAGTCTTTAGCCAACACCAACACGGGACCTTTTGTTAAAGTCTCGACAAAAATATATATCCATTTGCCCCCATGCTTTGCTACCAAGCCGATCGAGGGTATTCAGGAACAATTGAATGGATTTCTTATGAGGTATTGTTCGAGTAGCCATATTCAGCGTACGATACTGCAGATCATGAGGATATATGTGTATATAAAAAGCTTCAAGTTTTTTTTAAAAAAAATGTCCGTGATCAATGGCATCATCCTCCACTCTATTAGATATATGCCTCAGGTAGATGGCGTTGTGCTAGCACATTCAGATCTGGAGCTACTACAATCAGCAGGAAAAATTATGTATGATTCACCTTACTGTCACTTCTGGATCTCGGTTAAGCTTTTGGTTTGGAAACCTATCAAAGGGAGTATCCTTCGTACGTCTTTTGTTTAAAAAAAAAAAAAAAAAAAAAAAAAAGAAAAGAAAAGAAAAGACAGGAAGAAAAAGGATAAACAATTGACATTCGCAGATACCTTTTTCTCACTTTTTCTTTTTTTTTCTTTTTTTTTTTTTTCATGTCCCTTTTTCCATCAAGACGGAACAATTAATCTGCAATCACCTGATCATATCGGTCTGGTACTTTATGGCACATTTAATGCCTCGATCCCTTCCGAGTTTATTCCCAAGGATAAATATGAATTTAATCCCAACAGCAGTTACAACCACCATATCAAACAGCAGCCGCAAGGAGAGGATGCAAACCAAGGCGAGGATTCTTTAGCTTCTGCTACTGGACTATTGAACGGAGAATGGGTCTTGAAGAGCACAGGCGAGAGCATTGGACACGATGGTGTTATTGAATTTGAAGTTGCAGAGTAAGTTTCTCATACTTCTTTTTTGTCTAAAAAATTAAGAGTTCAATGCTAATAGCTTCTTTTTTTTTCTTTTGTTGATAAAATTGTCTAGCTTGGTCAGGACGAACGATATGCTGGCAGTAACGGGATCTTTGATGGGTGTACCTGTAACAATGCGTCGTCCATCCATGATGATCAAACCTTCGACTTCTTCTGCTATTTCATTTTCAGGGAAGGCTAAAGGGGCCTTGTCAGATCCTGTACAAAAGAAAAGATCAGCACCGGAGGACGAAGAATCTACAGCCCAAGAGACAGATCTCAAGAGGATAAAGAAGGAAAAGAAGGAGAAGAAGAAGAAGAACAAGGAAGGCGAGAGTGAGGAGAAGGAGAAGAAGGAGAAGAAAGAGAAGAAAGAGAAGAAGGAAAAGAAGGAAAAGAAAGTGAAAAAGGTTGATTCATAGGACATTAGCATTTTTTTTGTTTTATTTTATTATTCATCTTAGAAACACAACTTATCCGCATCTTCCCATTATTATTATCACCACTATTTTTTTTTTCTTCATATAAACATTTCAGCATTGCACTTCCTACTAAGGCAAAGAAAAAAAAAAAAAAAAAAAAAAAGTTACAATTTGGTGCAGAGTTTTATACTATAACCATTGCTTTGCGCACAAGGATAAGGATACGGAACAAAGAGAGAGAGCGATAAATTGATCTAAGCTGGAAGCGAAGCAGCAGCGATTTTTGAGAACAAGCACGTGCTGGTTAATTTTTTCAGCATGCTGGTTCAATTTTTCAGCATGCTGGTTCAATTTTCCAGCATGCTGGTTCGTTTTTCCAGCATGCTGGTTCGATATTTCAGCATACTTGTTAAAATTTATTAAAATTTTTAACTTGCTTAACCAAGTGCTCCTCCATGCACTGCTACCTCAGACATCATTCGCATTTATTTTAGAATCTCGAGCATCAATAAAAGCTTGATTACTCACAGCTACAGAATGGATAATCCTCATTCAAACATTTGTCAGTTTTGTATATGCACATGCCTAAAAAAAGATGTCAGCCATAGTTTGGCATCTGTTTTAGAAATTAAGCGTTGCCATAGAAGTCCTTTATTTTAATAAAAAAGTTAGCTGCTACTGCTACAACTCTGTAATTTTTTCAGGGCAGAGACAAAGCTATGATAAAATATGATGTTACGGAAGTTTTGATTGGTCATTCGGTTTCTGCGTGCAGACAGGATCCATCCGGCTCTGCTGAATAACCTTTCAGAATCATTGGAAGTAGCCTGGACAGAAAGGTATGCTCGTGCAAATGGAGCAATATAATCCATTCCTCTTAATCCCTTGTCCTTTTGCTCCTTCCAGTAAAGCTCAGGAGTAAAAGCAAAACGCGCGATGTCCATCATCGGCGTTCTTGAAATAGACGCATCATAATATACCATATCGACACTAACTATCGAATGGTAATATTCTTGTTCCAAAAGAGGAAGTTGATCCCAACATGCTCCATCTTGGGTGGCGGCAAACTTTTTTGCTGCATCTCTGGTCACCTCTAGAGCTTTCTTCCTGAGAGAGTCACCATTGGTTGTCATTATGTCTTTAATGATACTCAAGGTCACCGGGTTCAGGAATAGCGATATGAGCATAACATCGGGAATGTCATCCACGGCCCACATCGTATTGATAAGCCTGTTAAGGTTTCTCCAGAGCTCCTGTGCCGTCTCGGTGTCGTATGTGCGAGAGTCCGGTAGCAACTCTTTCAACTTCACATACATTTGTGACAGTTTTGGATGGTCGGTACTGCCCACCCATTCAGTGAATTTGACTGCATCTGTCATCATATGAATGATTTCACGGAGAGCTTTGACCTCATCACGATCGAGTAGGTTTGGCTCTAATTCCTTTGCTTTCAACCTTATCTCCCTTTTTTCGGAGGATTCCATGCGATGGTAGGTGCGAGAAATTGCTTGAGAGTAAAGTAGCACTCTATTTGCCATCTTGTACTGGGAGTTCCATCTTGTAATGTTCCTCGACAGCAACTTGGCACCCTTGCCTTCCTGTTCTTCCACTAAGATAGACATCGCCGCGGCATTGCCTCTGAAAAAAACTGGCACTTGTCCAATAATTTCTTAGCGGGCTCGCATAGCTCCAAAGACTATTGATGCAAAGCTGGATCTTATGTGAGGCGCATGCCAACCAGTGCACCCCCTTGTGATCTTCTTGGTAGAGAGCTATCGCTTTTTTTATATTAGCACCTTGGTCTGTTGTTGCGCAAATGAGTCTTTCGCTCATATCCATGCTATCAATAGCCTCAGCTGGTAAATGAATCAAAAGACCACAAAAAAAAAAAAAAAAAAAAAAAAACGTTAAGAACGTTAAGAACGTTGCAATACTTATGAAAATATAAAGATAAGGGGCAGATGTATCAGCATTTCACTTACCAAACTTCCGGTGAGTATTTTGGGATGTTTGCACCCCATAGACTTGTTCCATCCCTATTGCAATAGATACTGGCTCGAAATTTGGCGTGAAAAAATGCATTGTAGTCCCCAAGAACTTCCTGTGATCGACGCTTGTCCAGCAATCTGTCGTGACGGCAGCGTAAAGCTTATAATAGGTAATGTACTCTTTGATTTCGCGTCTCATCTCTCGAACTCGTCGATCCATCCTGTCTTGCATAGCCATTGTGGTAGGGATATTGAAATAAGGATTGGTCATTTCAATGATTGATCTGAAGATCGTCGAATTAACTGCAGTAAAAGCGTATCCTCGAATGCTTCTTGTTCATGAGGGAGCGGCTTCTTGAGGCTCTCATTAACAATCTCATCTCGTGCGATGTCGAATTTTGCCTTTCTTGGTGGAGCCACGTCAACTTCTTCCGGATCAGGTGGCAGCATGATACCTTTAACCCTGCTCTGACAATTGCGAAATTCTTGGAGGGCACTATATAAATCGCCATGGCACTGAGTTAAGTGAACAGATCTTGAATATCCACTCCGTAGTACCACAGATTACTCCATCTTTCAGGACCAGACACTGGAATTCTTCCTTGCTTGATTTGAAAAAATGACCAATCACGCTGTTTTTGCGAAAGGATTTTTGATTTGGAATCAGGGCTAATGCTTTTTGAGAGGGAGGGGCGTCAGAGCATTGTTCTGGCGTAGGAATGGTACCAAAATCCAGTAACTCGTACAAATCATACCATCCGTTTGATGCAAAATGACTATCCCTCAGCTCTCTCCGCCGGTTGGCCAATGCTTCAGCATCAATGGCACGTGTAAAGTCAAAAGAGGGAAGATTAATAGATCTTGAACGCGTAAAGTTAATATTGCGCTGCTGCGTGGAGCTCAATGTAGAAATCGAGGAGACTGAAGATGGGCCTGGTTTTGACTCCCGATATTGGGAGAAGCTGTTGGATGAACGGAGAGATGACAGTGGGGGTTGCTGTGCAGCAAGTAGCGTATGATTATAACGTGATGTAGGCAAAGCTGTTGATGATTGAGAACGTCCAAACGTCCTTGGTCTGGCATGATGAACCGATTGCGCAAATCCACCGGGAGGAGAAGAAGTTTTGATGAACCTCCTCTTTTCGCGACCAATGCTTACCATGGGTCTCATCGTCTGGGATGAAGACGAGATTGGGTTCGCACCAAGATAGGAGTCTAGTACCTCAAGCTCATCACACGGCATATCTTGCGTCTCGAACGATTCGCCATTGTAGGCTGCATCACTAGTTTGGGGAGAATCGATTCTATTTGCTGGAAGACTTTCTGGAGTTGCATTCTTCGTTCGATTTGATTTCGGCGAGGTATAAGGGTCTCTTCCTCGTCCTCGTCCTCGTCCTCGTCACTGGTGTGCTCCTCCTGATACTCATTCCCCTCCTCGTGTCCATCCTCATACTCATCCTCATCTTCATCCTCATCCTCATACCCCTGTTCTCCATTCTCATCCTGGTGAAGAGGATCATGTGTATGATTTGCCATTATTTCTTAAAGATTTTGTGTGAAAGTAAAACGGGTAACAATGGAAAGAAGATAAAGAAGATTAAGAAGATAAAGAAGATAAAGGCAACGTTGTAGCATTCAATTGGTGTTTGGTTTTGTATAGCATGAAAACCTTTCTGTTCCACCAGCTGCAGTTAGCACGCCATTTTTGTTTTTTTGTGAAGAGGCAATGAAGGGTGACTATGGCTGACATCTTTTTTTAGGCATGTGCATATACAAAACTGACAAATGTTTGAATGAGGATTATCCATTCTGTAGCTGTGAGTAATCAAGCTTTTATTGATGCTCGAGATTCTAAAATAAATGCGAATGATGTCTGAGGTAGCAGTGCATGGAGGAGCACTTGGTTAAGCAAGTTAAAAATTTTAATAAATTTTAACAAGTATGCTGAAATATCGAACCAGCATGCTGAAATATCGAACCAGCATGCTGAAATATCGAACCAGCATGCTGAAATATCGAACCAGCATGCTGGAAAATTGAACCAGCATGCTGGAAAAACGAACCAGCATGCTGAAAAAATTAACCAGCACGTGCTTGTTCTCAAAAATCGCTGCTGCTTCGCTTCCAGCTTAGATCACTCAGAGCGAAGAATTTTGGCATACATGTAGTCCTTCTCTTGTGCAACAAGCAACAAATATGGAACAAGCCTGGTTGAGCATAGCATGAACAAAAAAAAAAAAAAAAAAAAAAAAAAAACTCGCGTCAGCTGATGTAATCAAGTAGCACTCAACTCTCCATCAGCATTCAACACTCACATTTGCTTCACAACTCATTGCCGATTCAAAATCAACCAAGAATAGCAGGAATAACACTCGAGTGCAAAACAAGGATACATCTGAAGCGCTACACCGCTTTTTTTATTTTTTTTTTATTTTTTTGATTCATTCTAATATGACTGCAGTACCAACGCTTCCGTTTGTCCTGCTCAAGGCACACAAACCTTACTCTACAAGCGATATTGTAGCCCTCAATGCTGCTGCCGCCACCTCCGCACCATTGACATCAGCAACCATGACGGCTACTGGCAGATCTTCCTCATCACACTCATTGATGGATAGCCGACCAGTACTTCGCTCCGCTTCGACAACTGACGCCAGAGCAAGTCCTGGATTAGGAATTGAAGCTGCGCCCACATCCTCCATATCATCATCCACTGCACCAGCAACAGTTAAGGCTACAGACCCTTCTACTGACTCTAATCCGATATCATCATTATCATCCGTGATTCAGACTCGAGCCATCCACCCGCAAGTGCATTATATTTTCGAGGACGATCCTCTTGAGAGTGATATCCTGGAATCCATCCCAAAATCGCGTTCTATCACCTTGGATCTTGACCCCAAATCGGGTACTATCAGCAATGTGGAATCCTTTATGACCCATTTACAGATCATGGACATAAAACTGGTGCCGCTCCAAACAACTCTGACCAATGCTACGACAACAGTGATGACAACTACTACTAATGCTGCTACATCAGCTTCCTCGGCATCATTGAACTCCTTGGGGGTAATCCCATCAGCGGGAAACACAGATACTGGGAGTGAGGGTAGCCATAATAATATCGCCCATACACAGGTGTTTGCAATGACAGATACTACAAGTAGTATAAATAATACTAACAACGGCTCTCCTTTAGCTGCTGCTGCTGCTGCTGCACTTTACAGGACAGACTCTTATGGAGCTTCTTCTAATCAATCTTCAATGACAATGTCGAGTACAAAGATGGCACGAAAGACGTCTGAAAGAAGTTTGATGGGGCAAGCAGGGATAACATTAGCGCCAGCAGCATCACTGACAGCCACTGCAAGAGGAAATGATATCGAAGATGATCTCAAATCCCACAGAAATGACGATGCAACGCTGCCAACTGCTATTTTAAACGCTTCAATATCAGTATCAGCAGCAGGGGCGTCATCACCATCGTCATCAATACGGGAGCCCATAATCAAGGATTGGACACTTGTTATTGACGTTGTTGAAGTAGATGAGGAAGATCATGAGAGGTAATTATTTTTTTTCTTTTTTTCCTTTTTTTCTTCGTCCTTTTCAGTTGACCTATCTGTACATGGAATCATGTAATAATTTTCTTATGTGTGTGCATGTTTTTTTTTTTTCAGTGATTCTGAGGTGCTGGATCAGTCCATGATCTCAAGCTTAGACACCGACGTGATTCCTGGAAATTATCTCTCTCACTGCGAAGCGCTTCTCAAGTCATTTAGTGCGAGGTAATTTTTTTTTTTTTTGTTTTGTTTAGTGTGAATTTGCAATGAATCGTTATCAAACAGCCCTCTTTATTAACACGTCATTCCGCCCTAGAAATCTCTTGGTGCACAAAATGATCGATTTCAATGATATCAGCCCTCCTCTGAAAGGCAATCCTCATTAGAATATATGGCCACGAACACCAATGGCTCGGGGCCACAATAGCCTTTTTTTCATTTTGTGCTGTTGGTGTAAATCCTTTTTTCCAATAATACAACTTCATGGGAAACGAGTGAACGATAAAATGAAAGAATGAATTAAAAAGTCTTCTTTTTTAGATGCAGGAAACAATATGATATAATAAAAAAAGAACGGCCACTTTTTCACTCCTTTTTAGGGAGAGGCTTCTCTGAACCGTGATTTAGTCTGACGAACCCCCGAGAAAGATAGGTTAGGGAATGAGTTTGATGTGTTTAAGCTCGGGGTCGAGCTCAAGGTTAGAGTTGATTCCGATTTTGTGTACAAGTGCAGCAGCAATGTCACTGCCAAATGAGCCATTGGTATGCAAATAATTGACATCATTGAAAATATGCTAAGTCAAGTCGCTCATGGCCATCCACCAAGGTCTTGTTGAAGGATGATGGAGTCGCAGAGCAGCCAATTGTATATTGGGTGAACCATGAGTACGGGGTACAGTTGGACGTTTAGATACCATTGTTGCTGGTGATAGGGCTGACGAGCCCGATCCTAACAGGGTTGCTTCGTTTACTGAAGACATCTCGTCAAAAAGTTGTAAACTCATCTATTTTTCAAAACTCAAAATCTTAATTTTTTTTCGATCTCGCGTTTTCTGTTGTCAACGATACGCTCCTCCTCAGGCTCACTGTTCTCCACTAAATCAAATACGGTCCTGATATCTTGGGTGGCCTCTATATCAGGCTCTAGAGTAACGGCTTCTGCTTGCTCTTGATTCATTACTCTATCTAGTTCTATGCCCTACTCGCTGTTACCCCTCTATCCGACGTTTGCATATACCGCTCTTGGACCGCTTGTGGTACCTCCTTGGTTATAGCTTTAAAGATATACGCTATCATAACGTATTCGTTATGTGTATTGGTCGCTTTAATGCGAGTAACTTCATCAGGCCCCTTCTGTAGCCCTGCAGGCTGCTTGTTTGGCAAGCACGGGCTTGAATCGGCAGCAATGGAAGGTTGCCCAGCTTTTTGGTTTGAAGAAGCATCTTTGAACCCGTGTTTAGGAAGAGTCATATATTTTTAATCTAAAAACGGTAATTGACGTGACGAACTTGCAAGCCAATTGACTGTCAATAAACTCGAGAGTATTCAAAAAAATATAAGGGATCGCGACCAAATGAAACGGGCATTGAAATAAATATTTCCTCAGAATTCAATTGAAAGCGAGTATATTAAAAAATATTAGTTTACGGCTTTTTGGCGAGGACAGCTTGAAGTTTTAGGAATGCAATGAGAAACAAAATGAACCTCGATTGATATTTCTCAGCGCTTCTCTCATTGCATGTGTCCTTCATCCCCTTTCATTCCTGACATTACAGATCTTTTCCGCATGATCTGATCTTTATTGATCTTTTCAAGCCAATCAACATAATGAGTGGCAATGGTGACCGAAAGCACCACTAAGCCCTACTAATCATCGATCTTCATTTCACTCGTATGGGGAAAGAAAAAAAGAAAGAGAGAGAAATGTACAGCACACGCAACAACATGTATTTTTAGTCTTATCTTTATAAGCAAAAGAAAGTGTATTATGTTCGCAAACTAGAATGCTTTTGTTCCTGGGGTTCGTGCCTAAATCCTCAATAAAAGGCATATTTCACAGAACGCATTGCCATGTGTAGCATAGACTAAGACTAGTAAAAATAACTAACTAAAATTACTAACTAAATTAACACGCTAAAAGTTAGCGGTAGAAATTAGTGGCAATAGTACATGATAGATATGTACCTGGCGCATGCTCTTTACATTAGAAAATGGATAAACATCCCATGGGTGTGCCGTACGGACCCACATCTTATTCCCACTTACGTTTCTACCTGTCTACTTGTCTGTCTAAAACTTTTTAATTTCTGTCCCAAGAAATCCCTTTGAGGCTGTCCGTGAAAATTCACGGCTAAAGACACGCATTTGCTGCTCAAATTCCTTGGAGTGTTTCATATTGTTCATCTCAACGTAGGCTTCGGGCCAACAGTATGACTTATTCTCCTTGAAGAAGCCAGAATAGCCGCCTTGCATCACATACACTTCAGGATAAAAAACTGCGGGGTAATGCATAGCATTCGCCTCACGGTCTTGATTGCGAAGATGACGAGCCCTATTTTTTTTTTTTTAAAAAAAAAAAAAAAAAAAAAAAAAAAAAAAGGTAAATGGCAGTCCTCATTATGGGCTATTAACATGTTCCTACTGCGTAGCTCTTCAATATGCCTGCGATTCATACGTCTCAACAATAGCCTCCTTTATAACTTACATGCGAGGGCCGCGTTCACAAGAAAATTCACAGTGGAAAATCAAAAGCACACGCTTGTCGGTAATGGCTGGCTGGAGTAATAACTCCTCAAGCTTGTCTGTTGTGTTCACATTGACTGCTGACTTGATATGTCCACCCTCAAATTCATATGGAAATCGGCAATCAACAATGTAGAGTAGGTCATATTTGTCCTTGTATTTACCATCCAAAACATCAACGAGCTAAAATAAAAACAGATCAGACGTATAAGCAAAAATAAAAAAAAAATAAAAAAAAATAAAAGACTCAAAATCGAATTTTCAGGGCAAACCAAGGAGTGAATAGAGATAGATAGATTGCAACCAACTCAGCTCAATTGCTATTAATAACATACTGTTTGAGGTGTAATTCGTTTAGTGGTGTCTTCGGGTTTGGATATGAAGTCGGCACAAGGCAGGATTTGGCAATCTTCTCGTGATGGGTCAGGGACATAACCATCTGGCGCAAAAACTAATGATTTTTTGCCGACCCTTGTTAAGGTTGTATTCGACAATCTGGATGATCTACTCGGTTCGAGGGTTCTCATAAACTCGTCTCTATTAGAAATCATTGTTTGGTGACGACGTAGCAAGCCTGGTCGTGTTGCTCTTGCTGAAGTGCAAACTGCAGTTGGTATTAATGCAGCTGTATTTACTACACTTGACGTTGATGACATGAGTGGGTTAGATGTTGCCGGTTCGATTGATCTCGATTTCGAAGAGCTCAGACTAGTAAGTGTATTCTGTTCATGAGTGCCTTCATGGTTCTCAGAATCTGAGAAACTGAAGGGCATGGTATCGGGAATAGGCTGCGAAAGGCTTGTTCGTTCACTGGTGGTGGAAGATCTTCGATCCCGAGTAATGAGACTGTAAGGAGCCATTCTTCTGGTTGAGAGTGGCAGCGGTATGGGATTTATATTTGCTGCACAGCTCTTCTTCGCTGAGATGGCCGAGGAATCCAGGTCCTTGGGATTAGAATTGCTGCCGCTATGATTGCCGGTTATGCCAAGTTTTCCTTTATAGCTCTGTTTATCTGCTGAAATATCCTTTGAAGTACATACAGTAGTGTTGTTGTGTGGCTGGGATAAAGACGATTGTAGTGGTTTTTTTGTAGTAAAGGACGTATTTAAAATCGCTTGCCTCAATGTATTTTGTGGTTGATCCAATCGTTTGCCAGCAATGTGATTGTATTTTGAAGACAATGACAGAGTTCTGTTCGACGATTTATGCACTGAATCCAAGGCTAGGAAAGGCGATGGCCTCAGGGTTAGGGAAGATGGTCTCAAGTACCCTTTGCCTAATGCCCCTGCAAATGTACGGGCACGGCCCAGAGGTGGTGGCATCAACTTTGATTTATCTTGATCATTCGAGCTCTCTGATCCTACAGCCCTTAGTCGAGCAAGAAATGGAGATACAGGAGGAGGGTCTGAATGCGATCGTCCGTCCTTAGCAGTGGATTCTGGACGAAGGCCGAGTGTTGGACGGTTAAGTTGGGGCTGTTGACGAGGCTCAGAAGGTTCTGTGTGTTCTACATTATCGGATGGCGGTGATTTGGCGCGTTGGTGAAGGATACGAGCGCTTTGAGAAAAGTGATTTACCGATTTCACGTTACTAATAGAACGGTCGAGAAAATAAAATTAAACAAAATAAAATGAAATGAAATAAAGGTAGTGTAAGGTGTAAGACGTAAAGTGTGGGATGCAAGATAAACCACACAATCTATTTGTATTATTTGCAATTCAGTACATAGACTGTGCACACACCTCAACTCCAAGAATGTCTTCGCCTTTTTGTTTGGTTTGAATAGAGTATCCTGATGCCTTTTCTTGAAAAGTTCTGATATTTTAATTTGATCTCCACCGTCTCGACGTCTAATGTGACAGCTACATGTTAGGCTTTAATGCTAATTAAAACAAAAGAAAGCATGGATTATGTGCATATTTACTAAACCCTAACCTAGACGCGTCCGAAGTACGCCCTGACCCTTTGAATGCAGTCTCATCGATGCAAGGCGTACTATGGTAGACATCCTTGACTAATTCAACGCGTCGCTCTTTGTTACATGGTCCCAGCTTAGGTTTGTTTGAATCGAGTGTCATCGTACAACGAATAACGTTTACAATTGCAAAAATAAAAAATAAAAAATAAAGCAAAGTGGAAACTAGCAAATAGAGGAGAATTCTTTCTTTTTTTTTTTTTGGCTGCTTGGAAGTGTGGTATTGTTGTTGAGGTTCTTATGTTAAAATTGAGTCAAGAACAAAAGGAAGAAGCAGTGCACAGACTCAGGTACGCCACGATGCGTTTTGTATTTTTCTCTTAATGTTTTTGAAAGCGAATCAAAGTAAGGAAGCGACATACATAAAAAGTACAAGCTTGTGAGCCTTTAGTGAAAGCGATGCATAAGCAAATAGCAATAATAAGCAACAAATTTATGTAATGAATGAAAAAGACCGAGGATAATGGAGGGGAATGATGTGTGCTGGTAAAGAGGGCAGGACAAAAGAAAAAAAAAATAAAATAAAGTAAAATAAAATAAAGGCGCGCTGTCACGTGGAGTAAACACACAGCCACACTGCATTAACGTCTACATGATGATCGTGTGCCATATTTTTCTTATAGGCGAGTCAATGTAACACTGGAATATCCGAGTTCTAGAGCGGAAATGAAAATACCACAATTGCCGCGTGGTATTATAAAAAGGAAGTGATCATCCTCCTTTTTTCCGCCAGTTAGCATGCCAATACGTCAACTATAGGCGTACAGTCTAGTAGGTTTGATGAGACACGCCACCAATCTGGCCACTCCTGGCTGTCGGAATAACAAAGGATCATGCGCCGTCGATTCAATTAGCTCAGACAAACACATGAATCCCCCTTGTCTTCCAACAAACACAATTGTGAAAATTAGTAATGCAGCCATTTGATACATTTAAGCATTAAATAGCATGACATGTCAACAAACCTTTATTTGAATTGATACCAAATCAAGCGCCGCAGTTTAGAGAGAAAAAACAAAACATTTTGGCTCCATTGATCCAACTATTTCTATTTTTCTCTATATGAGCTCCATTGATCCAGCTTTTTTTTTTGTTGATTTTCCCAGCAAGAAAAGGGAAATGAAAGAAATAAAAGGGCGGGAACTTGCCCTGATTTGGTGTGATTCGAAAAGATTTAAATAGTCCTTCTCAAACCATTGTCTCAATTTCTTTTTCTTTCTTTCTTTCTTTTTCTTTATGTTGATTTTCTTTGTCTTCTAACCTCCTCTCTCATTCTCTTATACTCTTACCCTAATCTGCACTTGTGCACTAGACAGAGAGTAACGAACTACTTCACTTTACCCTCTTCCTTCCTTCCTCTCTCTTCCTTCACTCTCTCATTCCCCTGTCAACCTCACTCGTTTAGTGATCCTAAATGTCACTTGTTCCAGGCTCTATTGCCAGGCTATGTAGAAACGAACCATCTGTATGTCAATTGTTTATTGGCGTAACTGCTGTTCTGAATGTACTACCACCTTACCCCACAACTAAACTCGGATTCTTTTTCTTGTTTTTATTTCGGGCATGACTTTCTTTAGACACCATGGATGGACAATGACTTTACGCCATGTTTCCACCAAAGGTAAGCAAAGACACCAAGAAGATCTTTTCATGTCATAATCAATTGGGGGGAAAATGATGCTCATCATGGAGTGTGCATCATTAAAGATGAATGTCGCAGGATCTATTTGTCAATGCTCTAAGAGTCTTTTTGAAAGGGAAAAAAGAAAGGAGGGATTGAGAAGAGCAGGCGCCGTTCTTACTTTCGGCCTCTTCCTATCAGATTGCACTCTTGTGATTGAATGCATCATCGAGGGGAACCTCCGAGTCAACATAGGCATGGGTGACAACACTTTTTCAACTTCAACCCAAAACAAGGTTTTTCCCATCACCTAATGTTTTCTCGGAAATCTATAGAAGATCAGAGTATTTTCTTCTTAATCATACTTTATTTGCTGGCTCAGCTAATCATTTCTGTGAAACATTGTTCCTGTGCTGATTCTCAATAGCGTTCTTGATGCTGGTATCCCCCTGTTGTTCGCCATCAGCTCTTTGGTGATCTTTATTGGCACCGCGATCTACAAGCAAGCGCGCAGGAATCATTCAGGAGATCACTCCGGCTATCTTCCTATCTCGGGTCAGGACGACACAATTGCTGGACCAGAGGCAGATCTGGATGACCAGGAACATTTAAACCAAATCAACCCCCTCAACTCTACAGATTCAAGCGTTCATCTTGGCCAGGTTGCCTCTGGACGTCATATATCTGGACGTGATGCTGTCAAGACATTAGCCTCGGCGGTTTCTCTCGCCGTCTCTGTCGTCTGGTTAATTAGTCGATCAAATGAGGATAAGGAAACTTATCTTTACATCGCACCGCTGATCTCGATGCTAGTTTGGGTATGTATCTACCCTTTTTCGTATAATCATACTTTGTCGGGATTATTTCGATAATATTGGTAACATGGATACCATGGCAAACAGTCTGCTTCGATCAGAGATGACATCGATGGAAAAAAATTTCCAAATTTATATTAAAAAGACAGGATCAGTAGAACCGAATAGATGCATATGACGGCCAATGCTACCATTGTTCCTTCATCTCTCATGGACTATCTAATCCATTGGACGCAGAACTGGTTGCAGAGGCCTAACTGAAAGTAAATGCTATATGCCACAGACTTTTTCTTTAACCAGTCCACCATGACGCCTACTATGTCCACATAGGTATATGTCTTCACTCTCACAGTCATCCACCTACTGCGCCCTCTCAACCCGTTGATTTCCTTGACTCCTCACTTTTCGGCCTTCTTCATCGTCAACCTACCTATTGCATTCTTCAGGTTCCGCACTCAGATTATCCACAAGACATCTCAAATTGAGCTGATCTTGGCCTCGATCTATTTTGCAAATGCTATTGTCCTTGTGGTGCTCGCTCTTACATCCAGCAAGTCTGCTCGTACTTTGGTACCCAAGCCTGGTGAACGTGTTCCCTGTCCTGAGACCTACGCTTCCATCTCTGCTCTTGCCTTCTTCTCTTGGGCCGACCCGCTGATTGCACTTGGATACAAACAGGTGCTCAATAACGAAGATATCTGGGACTTCCGTCTGAGCGACTATTCTTCTGCTGTGATTCATCACTTCCGTCAGTCAATTCTTGCTACTCGTAAAAACCATGCGTTTATTGTGCGTCTGATCATCAACTTTAGGAGGCGCATCTCCGTTCAGGCAGTATGGGCTGTTGCATGGGGAGTCCTGACATTCGTTGGTCCTTTTGCTTTGGAGCGTATCCTCAATTTTGTGGATAATAAGGAAATTTCTACAGAATGGGGATATATTTATGTCTTTGGCATGTTTTTCGGAATGGCTCTTGGAACAGTCGCTCAATCTCAGATGCTTTGGCATGGCCGCCGTATCTCAATGCAGCTTCGTTCGATTATCGTGGGTGAGGTTTATGCAAAAGCTCTACGCCGTAAGGATCGTGCCGGACAGACTCAGAAGGGGGAGAATCATGATTCTGACAATGAAGACGAAGAGAATGAAATGTTTACCCATGGTGCAATCAACAATATGATCTCCAATGTAAGATTCCATTCATCTTTTCTCCAGGCGTAGAAATATTCGGGATCTTGATGAATGCGGCCCTAATATTAATTTTTTTATTGCCAAATGTTTATCTGTATATATAGGACACCTCGGAAATCTCGAATGCTAGTGCTTACCTTCAAGACTTGTATATCCTTCCTCTTCAAATTGCTCTTGCCATCACGTTCTTGTATCGTATCCTTGGTTGGCCTGCATTAACGGGAGTTGTGACCATGGCATGCTTCATTCCTTTCAACTTGTATTTGACTAATAAGGTCGAAACCATTCAGGATGAGCTCATGAAAGCTACTGATAAGCGTGCAGAGCTCATGAACGAGCTTTTGCAAGCCATTCGCATCATCAAGTTCTTCTCATGGGAACGCAACTTTTATGGTAAGGTTGATAAAGCTCGTGAGCTCGAGCTGTACAAACTTCGCCTGCGCTTCACCTGGTGGATTTTCGGCACTGCATTGTGGTTTGGAACACCTGTCGTTGTCACCATTACCACTTTCTTTGTCTATACTAAAATCGCTGGTAATACCTTAACGTCGAGTGTCGCCTTTCCGGCTTTGGCGCTCTTTAACGTGCTCCGCGCGCCCATGGACGCCTTTCCTGAAATGCTGTCTCAGTGTTTGCGTGCCAAGGTCTCCGCTGCCCGTATTGATCGTTTCTTGGATGAAGAAGAAGTATTGGTCTACGCTAACGCCAATGCCAAGCCTCGCAAAAATTTGCCCACAGACCCTATTATCGGATTCAAGAACGCCACTTTCTCGTACGCTAGCAAGGCAGATCAAGACGCTGCTGATGCTGCGCGCGAAGGGGGCCAGAACGTTAGTGGCCATCATTTCGAACTCAAAGACCTGAACCTTGAATTCCCAGTCGGCGAATTATCCGTGATTACTGGACCCACTGGAAGCGGGAAAACATCATTGTTGCTCTCTTTACTTGGAGAGATCAATCCCGTCAAGGGGCAGGCTTTTTTGCCTCGTCGTGATTCTCATGATATCAACCCTGTTACTGGACTGACAAACGGAATTGCCTATGTTGCCCAACAAGCATGGCTCCAGAATAACACTGTGCGCAACAATATCTTGTTTGGAACACCATTCGATCAGCGTCGGTATGATCAGGTCATTGAGATGTGCGCCCTTCAGCGTGACTTTGAGATTCTGGAACATGGTGATCAAACTGAGATTGGTGAGCGTGGCATCACACTGTCAGGTGGCCAAAAGCAGCGCATTGCCCTTGCTCGCGCTATCTACTCGACAGCAGGCCATATTCTGTTAGATGATTGTCTATCTGCTGTCGATGCACACACGGCGAAATGGCTTTTTGCTAAATGCTTGATGGGTCCTTTGATGCAGGGTCGAACACGGATCTTGGTCACCCATGCAGTTTCCTTGACGTTACGTGGTGCTGCTCATGTTGTTGTTCTCAAGAATGGTGTTGTAGTCGCTAATGGTACACCCAATCAGGTACTTGAGGCTGGGGTTCTAGGCGATGAGATATACAATGAGGAACAAATTATTGAGGATCACACTACAGATGACCGAACAGTCGCAGGAATCGAAGAGGTTGAAGATGAAATCGGTTCACATACTCCTGTTGCCTCTTCATCTGCCACATTGACTGCAGCTGGAAAGAAGAGGAGCCCTAACAGTGACGACTCTTCAACAGATTCGACCATCCCTATCAAGGAAAAGAAGAAGCTGATGGAAGACGAAGAAAAAACGGATGGTTCTGTATCCTGGAGCGTCTACAAACTTTATTTTGGTTCGATGGGAGGTGTCCCATACTGGATTTTCCTTTTGGGAGCATTTATTTTTATGCAAATCTTCCAAGTTGCAGCTGACACTTGGCTTCGTTTCTGGGCTGGTGCCTCAGAGCGTCAAGACGATAATGATCCGTACTCGAGTGCATCTTTTGCAATCGCCTCTACTCCTTCGTATGCGACTTCAACATCAAGCATTGCCACCAATGCCTCGAGTCTTTTGATGTCGTTTGCCTGCCAGTACCGCGGAGACCACAACTACTTTGGCAACAACCCCATCCGTATCTGTCGTCAAGAAATCTTTGACAATCGTCAACCTATGAGCCCAATGAGTGCTTTGAGTTATCAGACTTCTGACTCTTCAACTGAATTCTCAACGCTCGCATACAAGCCCTCCAAGGAGCTCGGTGACCTGAACTATTACCTAGGAATTTATGCCTTACTTTCGGCTTTGTATATTGTCACGATCATGTGCCGCCAAGCCGTTCAGTACAAAGGATCATTGGATGCTTCAAGGTCGATTCATCGCCGGCTTCTGTCGCAGATTTTGAACTCACCTGTCCGTTTCTTCGACACGACTCCTTTGGGTCGCATCATGAACCGATTTACCAAGGATATTGAGACCGTGGATCAGGAAGTCGCCCCAATCGCCTCTAACTTGATGTTTGATCTCCTGGGGACACTGACTGTTGTCATTGTCATTACCTATGTGACACCTCAGTTCTTGTTCCCTGCATTCTTGATCTCAATCTTGTTTGTAATCATGGCCACTCTATATCTTCGTTCATCACGCGAATTGAAGCGCATTGAATCCATCACAAAATCTCCTATTTTCTCTCATTTTGGCGAGTCTCTCTCAGGAGTTGCTACGATCCGTGCCTATGGTCAAGAGAAGCGCTTTCAGCATGAGAATCTCGAGCTGCTGGATGACCACAACCGTCCTTTCTTCTATCTCTGGGTCTGTAACCGTTGGCTCTCCATCCGCGTAGACATTCTTAGCGCCCTGGTCTCATTCTTTGCAGGGCTTTTGATCGTCGTCAACCGCGATAACCTCGACCCTGGCGCTGCTGGTCTCTCCCTCACATATTCACTTACCTTCACTGACCATGTTCTCTGGTTAGTTCGTTTGTATTCTAATAATGAAATGAACATGAACTCTGTGGAGCGTGTGCGTGAATACATGGACTTGCCCCAAGAGCCTCCAGCTATCATTGAGGGCTCACGTCCTCCGCCAGGATGGCCTAACAATGGTGAGATCATGGTCGAGAATTTGGTAATGCAATACTCTCCTGATGATCCACCTGTCATTCGCGATGTCTCTTTCCATGTAAACCCGAGAGAAAAGGTCGGCATTGTTGGGCGGACTGGTGCAGGAAAGTCAACATTGGCGGTTGCATTCTTCCGTTTCATGGAGATGACATCAGGCAAGATCACTGTAGATGGTATCGATATCTCTACACTCGGTGTCCACGACCTCAGATCATCCTTGACTATTATTCCTCAGGATCCTGTCTTATTTATTGGAACAATTCGTACAAATCTGGATCCATTTAACGAGCACGACGATGCAGCGCTCTGGGCCACATTGAAGCGTGTACACTTGGTCTCAGAGGATGGTACGGCGCCCAACACCTTTGGTAATTTAGACAGCGAGGTTCATGAGAACGGCAATAACTTTTCACAAGGCCAGCGTCAGTTGATTGGTTTGGCACGTGCATTGCTGAAGCAGAGTAAGATCATCATCTTGGATGAGGCTACGGCCTCTGTGGATCATGAGACGGATGCGCGTATCCAGGCCACCATCCGTGAAGAATTTAAAGGGTCGACTCTTTTAACGATTGCACATCGGTTGAGGACTATCATTGACTTTGACAAGGTCCTAGTTATGGATCATGGTCAAGTTGTACAGTTCGATACACCCTGGAACTTGATTCGTGACGAGGGTATTTTCCGAGGCATGTGTCAGCGCTCAGGCGAATTCGATCTCCTTGTTGAAATGGCAGTGACAGCAGAAAAGAGGGCCAACAACAACAGGTCATAGGGGAAAATAGACACCAGTGTACTTGTCATTAGCATTCATAACATATAATTCTGCATTGTTAAAATATTGATCATTGTTACTTCTTTTTATTTATGTTCGTTTTTTGGTTTTTGATATATAAAAAATAAAAAAGTAAAAAAATAATTGCCTTTCTGTTTTGAACGGGTCAGTTAGAAAAAACGCGGAAGGAATTGGAAGCAATGTCCTCTTTGCAAAACCGGTCTTGGTTCACCTGGACGCCAAAAACGTTTGGAAACCCATGGCAGACCTCGTCGCCATACCCCATTGTCTTGACCAAGTATGTCAAAGCTGCTTGATCCTGTCGATGGTTCTCACGTGAGGACCCTTCAGGCGCGATACACTCCTTTGTCCTAGCACAGTTGACCCATTCCTTCATAATTCCATCTCTGATAGTGGTATTGTGAACATCAAACGCAACGACGGCCCCGTTACAGTTTGTTTCGTTTTCTGCAAAGCTGCGCCATGAATCATGATAATATTGTAGAAGGCCTTGATGGGTCCAGTCACGCATGGTACCCTGCGATTCAGGAGTCCACAGTCCGTACCGTTTTAAAAAGGTCGGCAACCAGCGTAGGAAAGCTACGCTGATTCTATTACCAGAATCGAGCCATAGCACAATCTTGGGTTCATAATTTTGAGGCTGAATAGTAATAGTAGGTGACCCCGGGTAGGTCTTGTCCGATATGTCTGATAGGCCCTGCATCTCTAACTTGGGATTTGGAGTTGAAACTGGTACTGAAGCTGAACCTGGATTTGCTGCTACTGCTATTACTGGTGGTGCTGGCTGATTCTTGGGTGCTGAAGCTGAGGCTGTTGTCAAGATTCTTTGACTGATCTCCTCAATCATACCAACTTTCCATCCGTATTGGCCTCTTGTCTCGGCGTCCAGTTGCCAGAATGAAGGGTAATTATTAAACTCAAAATCAATTACCTCATCTATAAGCCCAGCCTCGATCAATGCCTTGAACCGTCTCTTTTTTCGCTTGGTTGGACCCATTCCCATATTATAGACAACAATACGAGGTCGAATTTCGTACCCAGTACTCTGCTTAATTTCACTACCACCACCATCACCGCTATTGAGCCAATCTTCTTTGTATAGCTCTTTACTGTCAGTATTCTGGTCTATGTCATTTTGTAGGGCAAATTCCAGTTGATCTGCCGTCCTTGATTTGTCATTATCGAGTCCATCCAGATCTACATCCATGCCGAAAGAGCTTTTCTCTTTGTTTTTCTCCTTGCTGATGGTGTTTGAATGATTAATCTTTTGCTTTGAATTTGGATTTGGGCTTTTTTCTTTTGCCTTTTCTTTCGCTTTTCCTTTTGCTTTTATTTTTGGACGGATGTCTTCAAGGTCGAGACTTGACTCCACATAGGAAGCTCCTCTAGTGATACGTTGTTCCTTTAACCTGATGTCTTCCTGAATGGATGTGTTTAATTGAGCGAATGTGGTATTGAGATCATACAAAAACGCTTCGAGTGCACAGGCATGGTTCGCACTCACGGCAGTGACGATTGTGATTGGCACCTGTAAAGGTCGACGAGATTCCAGACTTGCCTCTACAGCATTGAATCGTATTCGTCGAGACTGTGGTCTTTCTGAAGAGCAGTTTTTTTTTTAAAAAAAAAAAAAAAAAAAATGAATGACATGGTACGAGGGCAAGAACAAATATTTTATTCGTTTATCTCTTCTTTTTTTTTTTTTTTAAAAAAAAAAAAAAAAAAAAAAAAAAAAAAAGGAAAAGGAAGAAATATTAATTGAACTAACCTTGTGAATACAAGTAAATTTGGAGGAGACCAAAGAATATGAGGAAAAACCCAAAGATGAGTTGAGATTGATGAAGTTGGAGAAGCCTTGTCAGTTGAATGAACATGGCATAGCTGAGTGGTGAATATCTAGAGAGCAAGAAAGAAAGAGACAAATAGTATATTTATATCGAAAAGGAAATAAAAAGCAGAAACATTGTAGTCGGTATAGTTCTGAATCCTCAGTTCCACGCGAAATTGCTCCGTGCACGACCGTTCTATAAACAAATATACTTTATGAAGTTACACGTAGATTTATGTCATTTATTACTAAAAGAGAGATGTACACTGTATAATATGCGCACCTTGCTCTTACCGCCTCCCCATATTGATTGACAGAACACACTTGTTCATTATAGTTTCCTCCAATTACTTTGCATTTGAGAAAGCTACTTGAAAGCCTAGCAGCCTGAATGGATCTGATGTGTAAATTTATAGTTCTTATCGTTCTCCGTGGTAACAGTGTTTAGGTATGGAATGTATATATGTGGGTGGTCTTTCAAATTGTTTAGATAGCTTTTTATCCTATCAGCGCTGGCCTCGGCCTCAAAGGAAACAAATGAAGATACGGCTTGAAACTCATTCCCTATGATCACATAAAACCTCATTTCAAAAAGAACTGAAAGGATAGAAAGCTTCCGACGGTATACAAAAGGCAAAGACTTCATTCTATAAAAAGCGTAGACGACTTTTTACGCCAGGTATTACCAATATATAACAGAGACATTAATATCTACGAATTGTTGCAGTTGTCTTCACTGTAAAATCACAGTTGCAACTGTTTCCAGCCATGAAAAAAGATATACCCTTGGACAGACTCGCCATTGTAGTTTGACTGATCAAGTGCAAAAAAAGGTATCAGAAGGTCACAAGTTCCCTTGCTGGTGACAGAATATAGAAGTAAAAGAATCGCCCAATGTGGGGGTCGAACCCACAACCTTGAGATTAAGAGTCTCACGCTCTACCGATTGAGCTAACCGGGCATTCGATACTAGAAGCTCTTGTTGAGATGGACGTTCCTAGAACATATATAAATCTATTTCAACATCCCTTATTTACAAGGTCTTATCTTCGTGAACTATCACGAAAATGGAAAACATTGGTCTATAACTGCAAGACATCCGAGTCCAATGGCTGAGTAGTATACTCGTCAGGGCACCCCCTGTCTAGACTAGGGGCCGGGTTCGAGTCCTGGTTAAGGCATATAAAGTGAAGCAAACATGTGCCAGGTCAGGGATTTGTCTGAGTTTTTATACTTTCTCTTCGAGACAGCCTAGTGTTCTCCGCTAAGGCTAAGATCGTGGGTGCACTACCCTAAGTCGCCTGGCTGGCCACACGTCTTAGTTATATATTCCACCCAGCCGAACCAGCGGTACATCTGGCAGCACATCCCCCATCCACCCACTTGACTAGGACAGCGATGATCACAAAGTTTGACGGAGTCCAAAGTAGAAATTTCAGACCAATCCCGCAAGATTTGGGTCCACATGCCAGTGGATTTGATCGAATAGAAAAAAAATTAAAAGTCGTCCTTAGCTAGAGTCGGCACGCCAGCCTCCGCGGCTTTTCACGGGCGCAACAGGCCACATCGGAAGGATGGACTTCGAGTACCGATCACGGTGTACATTGGTAGAGAAAAACATGGATACGAATTGGCTCCACAGCCATACCGTGCGAACTTTGAGAGTTTCACTTGTTTCATAGTTGAGGGCGATATCATTAATTTAGAGCGAGATTATGAAATAAAATTCCTCACCTCTGTGGGTTCTTGTTAACACGAAAAAAAAAAAAACTGCAAGACGTCCGACTATCCTTATTATCAAGTATCTATAATTGCAAGGTGTTTAGGAGGACTACATTTGGAAACTTTGGAGTTGCATATCGATGGTGTATGGGGAAGTACGACCCACCATGGCGATAGGAACGGCGATAGTGAGAGTGAGGAAGAGATAGGGCTATGGACTTACGCCCAAGTCCATTACTCAGAGTTGGAAAGCCGGTTTCAAGACAACAACAAGAATAATTAACATGGCCATAGAAGAATTCAGTCATACAGAAATCTGGAACAAACGGTGTAAAGTTACCGTTGAATGGGAAAAGGCTTGTGGGATCACTGCTATGAGCAAACACGTCGGAGGACGCAACTGTGTTAGGGAGTACAGACGTAGTAGCAATGATTTCCTTGTTCCTTCTCTGAGACAACGGCAGAAACTGAATGTGAGAGAGATCTACAAGATCGCAGATGACCGAGTCCGGGGCAGCTACTTTGGGAAAACTAAACTGGACGTGATGGAGCGGCTAGGTGGAATGAAGTTTTGATGACTATGGATAGCGGATAATTTGCCGCGTTGCGTAGCAGGTCACGTCGAAAAGGTGGATTTTGAGTATTAATCACGGCGGTCAGGGTTTATGAAATCATGGTGGTTACGAAGAGAGCCAGACTTGGAGGCAAATAGATTTGTCCTCGTGAGCCTTAAAAAATAAAAAATAATAATAGTAGTAACTTTGATAAAAAAGTGTCATGATAGAGCCTGGGGGGGGGGGGGGGGGAAGAAAAGACAAGAGTGGGAAGCGCCAAATTACACTGCACAGCCGAGTCGGATAAAGAGCGCGTAGGTAAAGGAAAGGGTAAAAAAGTATGAAAGAGAGAAGCGAGCAATTCTCTGAATTCTCGGCGCAGGGTTGATTTTTTTTTTTTTTTTTTTTTTTTGGGTACAAAACAGTTGATCTTCTGAAGGCTGTCTTTTCCATGCGAACAAGAATTAAAATAAATAAGTGAGTGCCGTCACACTACCGTTGGATATCTCGTGAGCAAACGCGCGCCAAGAGACACAGTATTGAGAGGCACAGGCGTAGCAGAGGTGGGTTCTTTGACTCTCACCAGGGACAGTGGCGAGCAGGTTGATGCAGATCAGCAGATGGCGGCAGGCTACCAACATCAAGTGGAATTGACGGTTATGGAGCGCCTGGGAAATTGTAAATTTTTGATGCTCGATGACTGCAGCTAAAGGAAAACCTTTGCGCACAACAGGCTTAGTAGAGAGTAGACCCCTGCCACAGGCCCACAGGGGGCCAGGGAAGTCTGCCTGGTGCTGGTATACTTCGAGGATAGGATGTTGTATTGTGCCAGTATGACTATGCGACTACAGTCGCAATGTTGGATACCGCTTCATTTGCGACCACGTGGGTTGATATTAAAAAAAAAAAAAAAAAAAAAAAAAAAAAGTGCTGCCATAACTTTCTATCAAAGGTTTGTACAGAAATGACGAATCGCGACATCCCTTCCAACCTACCATCTGCTCCCAAGTGCAAGCGGGATCCCTTGAAGGTATTAGAAAGCCGTTATAGTGGCACCATATAGTTGGGCTTTGCCCATTTTCCAAATATCTCTTGTATTCAAGAAATGTATTTGCATGATAAAGGATAGTATAGTACAGTTTTCCCGGAATACAAAACGCCTTTAATCCTTCCCCTTGACCTAAACTTTTACACCTATAATATTTATTTGAACAACGCCACAAATAAAACAACTGAAAACGCCGGGTGACGACATGTTTAGGTGTGATAACATCAGGAAGGCGAGGCTTCTGTTGCTGTCATATGAAAACCATAGAGAGGCGTTACTTGTGTACATGTACATTTCTGATGGACTTCAAATAGACGACGGCGGTAAGTGTTATTAATTCTACTTCGCCATACACTAACTTAAATATTGACATTATTTACTTTTTAGAAATGCAGCACTGATTTCTAAAGGCGCTAAAGGGAGTGATGGCGAAGCAGGAAAGGAATGAGTGACTGGACAAAGAAGTTGACAGAAGAAGTATGTAAATGACTGGATATAAAATACGATAGGAGTAATGAACAGCTGCACAAAAAAACCACTTTCTCTCGTCCTCTTGCGCTCCAGCAAGCCGCTTTAAAGTAAAATGCGAAAAACATATCTCTTTGCCTCAGCAATTGTGATCACTGTTACTATTGCAACTCCATTTCAATCGCCATTCTCCAATACGGGCAAGGAACTTGTAACAATCCAGGGCAATTTAGATGTTACTGGTAACTTCACTTCTGACAATATTAAATCCTCCGGCTGTATCCATTCCTCTGGCAATATTTATTCTTCTGGCAACATTAATTCCTCTGGCAATATCCACTCCTCTGGCAATATTAGCTCCTTCGGCAATATTAGCTCCTTCGGCAATATCCACTCTTCTGGCAGTATCAGTTCCTCAGAAAACATTGAATCCTATGGCAGTATCATTTCCGCTGATAATATTATCTCTAGCGGCTACATCTCGACTGAAAAATATGTTCATGTTAAAAAAGAATATACTATAGGAGAGAATTGCCCTACGAACGGCCTAATCGGAGTGGATAATACCGGTCAAGTTCTTTCTTGCCAAGCCGGGGCATGACGCAAATCATCAACCGTTCAAACGGGTACGGTCATTCGAGGACATGCTGAGAGAGCATTCCGCTTCCCAGCTGCCTTTGTTTCATGTGAGCCTCATGAGCGTGTGGTTGGTGGAGGAGGCGCATGCCAACAGCCAGATGGGTATATCTGGCTTATAGCTTCAAAACCAGTTGATAATGGTTGGCTTATTCAGTGTGATGGGGGAATGAAGCAACAGTGGGGTACTGCAAGTGTATGGGCCATTTGTTTCCACAGTGCATAAAGGATTCCGACAATAAAATTTTCAGTGCAGTTGGTGCAAAAACACTGATCCATCCTCTGTTATTACAAAGCGATGAAAGCATGAAATTAAGACTATTCTTATGAGTTTCATTCAAGGAATGAGACTTCGGCACATTAGTATAACACAATGTTGAACGAGGCATCAAAAGCAAAAGAGCTTTTAAGAACCAAAGACGCCTATTTAAACTTTGCAGATCATTTACATATCAAAATTGCGGACCAAGCGCATATCTGGAAATTGTAAATGGCTGGTTTATCGTTGCTTTTTGATCCTTTTACGTGTTCTCCCCATCATCCACATAGACCGTTATAGCATATACGATGACCTAGGATACATCTCACACGGTATAGACAACACACACACACACATATATATATATATGTATATAAACGCTTTATTTCGTCTATATTCTATGGCTTTGAAGGGCCATATTATATAAGTTAGTTTAAAAAAGATAAACTGTGGTTTTAGTTGTGGAAGTAATATTTAATACAAAGCAGCACACACACCTTGGCTCAGTTATAAAGTTGACTTTAAAGGTGATCCATATTTCACGACCGTTATGTTCTTTCACATATTGTCCCCTCTGAATATAAGTATATTTATGCAGGTTAACAAAACAGAATATTAACTTTATTTAATCTGCTTCTGGTGTTGACTCTCTATCAGAGTGACTATCTGACCCAGATCCAGATCTAGATCCAAAAATATCGAGCGAATCAATGAGTCGGCGCGTAACTGACTTATTTTTGACTGTTGTCGTTACTCCTGCTGCTTCTGCTTCTGCTCCTGCTTCCGTTGCTGCTCTTGCTTCTGCTCCTGACTTTAAAGATGTAATTGTTTCAGCCGAGACGCCTTCATGATCCACTATGAGAGGCATCTCCAAAGTATTAGGAGGGAGATTCACATCCATAAAGTAAACAGTGAAGCGGACAATATGTGAAATATTCAGCCAATCGAGGCTATGTTCTGAAGGAATCAATTGGAAATTGTCTAGGCGGATATCTAGTTCAAGGGGCTTTTTCCGACCAAAGTCCAGATCAAAATCCTCATTTTCGACCTTTTTGATCGAAGAAACCAGTCTAGAGCCTTTCACAGTGCATGAAGCTCCTGGCTCCTGACTAATTTTTATTTTTATTTTTTTTTGTAAAGAGATTATTAATGTTAGCGGCTGCTTTGAACAACACTAGGAACAAAAAGAATAGCAAGGGTAGAAGGAAGTGAGAAAAAAAAATGCTTAGAAACAACTTACGCATTCTCGACATTAGGATGACCTCGTTTGGTAGTATAGTTGATATCTTCTGTCTGAACAACAGCAATGTCGATTTCCTTGATCATAAAAGACTTGTGACGAGCCTTCATATCGACTGTGGCACGAAGCTTCTCTTGATTCAATGAAATTCGTGAAGGTATTGTCACCTTGCACCGGAACTGTTTTGGTAAATCTGTGGACGCTGTCAACAATGGTGTGCTTGATTGATCTTCAGAAGCACCAACAGTAGTAGGGATGGGTCGACGAAGGATCAAGTCATGCTTTACAATTCGTGTGGATGAAAAGATAGAGTCGCGTTGCAAAGTTGCATGGATCTCATATTTCCAGTCAATGTAGTGAGTATCCAGTTTGTTGATTAGGGTTGGGGGAAGGACATCAGGATGTGGTAGGTCAATACGGAAAGGAAGATATTGTGTGCCTGACTCTGGAACTCTGATTGTGCCATGCCCTTCAGTATCATTGGCTGCAATCAAATCGAATGTGGATCCTACAAGGCGCTCATGGACAATTACAGGCTTGGTATCGATATTTAATGCCACTCCAACTATTACAAGGCGTTAAATTATAAAGATTAAGAATAAATATTGGATCTCTATTTCATATCACCATAAATTTATTCCATGAATAAATAAATAACATACTGTGTCCATGGATGTCCACCTTTGCCACTTTGAACTTCTCAGGGCTATCCAATTGGAGCACGATATCGCCAGTTAACGTTTGCAACTGGCTCTTTGTATCAAGCTCAACAATGAAGGGCTGTTCGGTATTGAGAATGATATCAAAAGTGAAACCCATGTTGAATTATATACGTGCAAAGAATGGATGATAAATGTATGTGGATGGTTAAGGGGGCGTAATGAACTTCAGAAATGTGTGAGGAAATTAAGAATGGGTATAATAGGAATAGAATATGCTGTGAGAAACGATAGGGAAAAGAGAAAGAAATGCTCCTTTTTATACTGTCTTTTAGTAAATCGACCGCGGGCCAAAAGCAGTTCAATTATCCCTTTTTGTATTTTATCTGCACAGTAGTAAGTTTACTTCAAGTGGGCGAAGGCATAAAGTGGCAAAAAAAATTCAAACTAATCGTTCCAATACTGCTCTTCAAATTTTTTTTTTTTTTTTTTTTTTTAATACTTTCGTCTGACAAATACATTGTACTCTCCAACCCAATTTTACATTGCTTTTTTTTTTTTTTTTTTTTTTTTTTTTTCACTCTTTGAGTCTTGAAGGATTGGTGGGCATCCAAGTTGATTGTCCTTGATACTTGAATCACAAATAACTTTACCTCCTTCGGACAAAGAACAGAGATGATCATCATGCACCATGACTTAATTGGCATACGCCTCCTACGCCTCCCATCCCTTTTTTTAAAAAAGGAGCTCAGCCCAACTTGGCAATATTTTTCTAGGTCCTTCTGTTACAGACCAAGCAGGCAGGTAAGATGACGATCGATATAAAAACATGTATTCATTACCAAGAAAGCCTGTCAGGAGGACAAACACAGCTGCCATCTTTAAATTGTTTCCGCAGTATATACAGTACAAGCTTCGCATGTTACAAAAGGAAAAGAAAAAAACTCTATCTGGCTTAGATGATGTGGCAGGGTAAAAAGATATATTTGTACATTTTGCCAGAGGACGTTGAAGCGGCTTTTGGCTTTAGTTTAGTCAGAGCTTCGGGTCAGATGGATAACATTTAATGGGAGTCTCCATCATGGGTTTATGATGCAAAAAAAGAGAGCTCCTGCATGTGTAACTGTTTTCTTTTTCTTTTTTTTTTTTTTTAATGCGGAGTTATCTTGCTTCGCCAACAACTGTACATGTATATATATACAATGTAAGCAAAAACTTTGTTCCCACCTCGGCAAGACTTTAATTGTCCCTCGCGTGAGGTGGATTTATGCTCCCGAGCTTCCCCTTTTTTTTTTTTTTTTTTTTTTTTTGGCAGGAACATTAATAATGCGTGGAAACTTACACGTATCACAAAACTAGAAAAAGATTACAATATCGCGTGGTGCGAAAGGATCGACTAATTGTCTTACAGATTTATAATGTTTTTTTATGTATAAAAAGGAACAATCTGCACTCTTCCTACAAGGTGAGTTTATCAGGAAAAGGTGCTGTGGCTGCTATAAGTCGTTCGCCCTCATAGTTATAATCTGGCGGTAAATCATCTGCAAGGTCTGGGACAATGGGCTCCCGTTCCGGATATACTTCACGATAGAGTTGTTGTCGGGTACTCATGCTCATGCGAGTCGTATTTGAGTCTAGGAGAGTTGAATGGTCATCCTCTGTTCCATAATCTGGAGGCGTCACACCCTCAGGTGCAGGCTGGAATGACCACAATTCCTCTAGTATATTGCCGATCTGGAAGGGTGCCATGACTACTAATGGACGGATCGTAGAATCTGCAAACACAATAGTAAAGCGGATCCCATGACTGATTTTGATCCAATCTAAAGATTCACTTGGCAGTAGCTCGCTTGTTTTAAGCTCCAAATCTAATTCAATCGCAACCTCTCGACCCCATGCGGTCGTGAATTCCTCTTGATCTGGATTTTGAACTGTCACTTGTTTGCTCAGTACTCTAGCAGTATCGGTATCGACCTGAACTTCACTTTCGCTATCGCTGCGGAGTATATCCATTGATGGTGAGGTGGTCTCTATAATCGTTGAATGGCTATTCATTGTATGCAATGGTGAATAAGTTTATTTTTTTTCTGTTGGAGAGAGGAAGCTGGCGGCACATTAGATACTTTAAAAACAAACTTGCCTTTGACGCATGCGTCGCACAGAATCAGTGATCTTCTTTGCATTAAAAGTCACTTTCTCTATTTGAATGATATGCGCAAGGATCTCTTTCACTCCATATGTTTGGTGAAACGGATGCAAGTAGATGCTCAGACGGACTGTTGTTTCCTGGCAGCTAATAAATTTGGGAGCATATATTGAACATTCAAAATTTCCTGGACGCCTGGCGCCATATCGAACATTGGACGTATCCGAAGGTGGGACGTGGACTCGTTTGAGATAAAGAGGCTGCCTTTGAACTTTCCGTCGAGCAAATAGCCCTGTGGGCACTGCAAGGGTCACTAATTCGTATCCCCAGACAACAGCGCCTGATTTGAGTTTGGAACCTGCAGCTGAACTGGCAAGGTCGCCTGGAAGGGTAATTCGAAATGGAAAAGAGTATTCACCTGGCAGATAGGGAGTCGTTGCGCTGATGACGTTGAATTCTGAGCGTGAGATCGTAACAGCTTCACTCTTCATCGTTACCATGGTTGTACTGTAGGTAATGAAAGCTATTATTGTGATCGTTTAAAGTGGGAAAAATCGACGACACCCTGCTAAGTTTTCTCTTTTCTTGTTCCTCTTTCCCCATTATATTACGATCCTACGATTGTTCCATCATTGACCCCTACATATTGTCATTCATTTTATGATACCTGCTCCAACAAAGGCCACTAGTAATTGTTTTAGCTGAATAGCTTTTTGAACGCTTAGGCGGAGAGTTCCAGTGATTTCATGTTGGATAACTGTGCTGGGTGGACCAAGGAACTCGATTACATTGGGCTCCTTAGTATCCAGGACTGCTTCGATAGTGAACGACATTGGTTGGTTGAGAAATCTCCTTGCTAAACTATGATTGAAGTGCGATGAGCTATGCGCAGCAGGAAAAAAAAAAAAAAAAAAAAAAAAAAAAGACGCGTAAGGTGTGTAGCATCAAAAGTTGGTGGCGGTGGCAAACATAAAAATTTGGAATTGAGGCTCCTAATGCATTGGAATGAATAAAATGAGGCGAATGAGACAAAAAGAGAGAGAAACCATGCGTTACCAACAGCTCACTGTTCTCATTGCCCGTTTTTCTTTTCCTTTTTCTTTTTCTTTTCTTTTCTTTTTTTTTTTTTAACGATGATACGAAGATATAAACAACACCCTGTCTGAGTTGAGTCACAAGAGAGATTTTGGTTTTTCTTGCCTTTCTTTCTTCAGTCGTTATTCACGCACCCAGAGGCATGAGCACACACAAAACATACATGGTACCACCAAATAATGCCCTAAAAGAAGATTAAGATGATTGCGCGAAAATATAGTGTAAACAGGTACATACACAAATAGATTGTGAATGGGCATTTTACTGTTCTGGCTATTCCTGACAGTGTTCTTATCAATTGACTGAGAAAAGCAAGGATAAAAAATGTGTTGCATAAGGAGTTTGCTCCGGACCCAAGCCTTAAATGAGTGCAACAAAACTTGATAAACGACAGTACGAAGTTCATGATTGTCCATCAATCCAATTCACTCAATCCTAATCCAATCAAAATGATGCTTCTCAAACAGAAACACAATAAAGCAAAGTTGCTTTATTTCCTCTGCAGCCATGTGCCATGTGGGTAAGACTTCTCCTTTCATTTCAACGGGCGCTTAAAACGAAAGCATTCATTTTCCGGGATTGGAGTGTATTGACATTAAGCTAATGAACGTTGCCATTTTTTTTTTTTTTTTTTTTTTTTTTAAAAATGCTAATTTACACAAAAATTAAGAAAAGGCTTTGACTTCATTGATGACAAAGTTCTAGTCTAAATGAGGGATGGGCGTTTTTTAGAGTATCATTCATTATCTGTTTCATTCATGTAGTTTTTTTTTATCGTTGAATTCAAGCTTTTATTTAAAAAAGGGAATCGTTAAGACAGTTATTCATCATATTTGTTTTATTATATAGCACGCCTTCCATCCCGCCTGTCCACCCCTCTATTTTTACTGTCCAAACTTCTTCTCCTCCTTTGCAAAGGTGGTGAATTGGGATCTGGTCCTCCAGTAGCGCCTCTCATGTTCGCATCGAGTTCCTCAGGGCTCGGCCCAGTACCCTTCATATTCCCGAACCCATCTCCAGGATAATAGTCGTACGGGTATCCTGGCATGTTTGCTAGCCGCAATGATGTACTGGCAACTTCAGGGGGTAGACCACCTTGTGGAACTTTTCCTGTAATCTTGATGTCAGCACAGCTCATATAGTACTCTGGTACCGCTCCCACAGCACCAGTCCAACTCCATGCTGACGTGACGAAGGGCAAAAAAAAAAAAGACATGGAAAAGGAAAGGGGAGGGCAAAGCGAAAATTAATCACAAATAATTGTCTCACATTTATAAACCATATTGTAATCATGCTTTGGTTTGCTTTTTTCGCCTTTTTAATTTACCAAAGATACAGTTATCACAGGAAGGCAAGTTATCTGGTAGCTTGACAGGCCATTCATAAAGCAGGTCGGGACAGGATTTGTGGTACCGTGCAAAGACTCCGAAAGTCTTTCCTTGATCATAACTTAAACTAAACTCACACAATCCTCCTGAGTGGCGTGCCTGATCCGATGTTGGCAACGGAGTTGGTTGTCCAGGCAACCCAAACTCAGAACTAGCAAAACGAACGTTGACAATCTGACCTGCCTCAAACGTTTGAGTGATTTGTTTGTCTGGAGGGTAGTTTCCACAGGGAAATATTTTCCTGCCACCAGCACACCCATCGTACAAAGGTGCATTGGTACAATCATGATCTAGGAACTCTCTAACGGATGGTTTTGTTTTTAAATATGATAGTAACAGTAAAGAGGTTCAGTCAAAATATCACGGACTCATTGATAAAGGATCAGAAAAGTTGAGCAAAAAGAAATTATTTCCTATCATTTCACTTACGCGTTTGGGTTTGCAGGATGTCCTCTTGGTAATGGATATATCATTGTCACATGTGCGTTGACGTGGTGCAAGAAAGTTGCAACCATCAAACTGCTTGCGAGTACAAGGCTCCACCTGTTGCGGAGCATTAGCTTTTTGTGTTGTGGAAGCATATTTTTGTGTGTGTATATGTATATGTATATCAAGTAACAACAAGGGGCTAGTTCGTCAATGATTCTATTAAAGAGAGAAGAAACAAAAAAAAAAAAAAAGAAAATCCATTTTATGATTTTCACTGTCCTTTTATGTCAAGACTTGGGCGAAGCCTTATTCTTTATTTCTTTTCGTCATTTGATCAAGATCGCGCTGCTAATGGACATTGTTCTATTTACTGTGGTCTTTTTTTTTTTTTTTTTTTTTTTGTTTGGACATAGCCAAAGGCTCCGCCCTGCGTAGAGTCCCGCGGAGTGGTCACTCTCTCAAAATAGGGGCCTCTTCATTATCTCAGCCCAGCAGCCCAAATCGTGAAAGGGAAACATGCACTCAGGTGCAGCGCATGAATGAAAAACATGTCGATGAGGACAAAAAAGGACAAAAAAGGACTTGCATGAATAAAGGAAAAACTACCTTTGTATATATACTTATGCGTTGTGTTGTTTATTACGAAGTTCCAAATTCTAGATCGATGATTTCCCAAGTTTTATCTAAATCACATAGTATGTACGTACTCAAAACTCGACTCTTTTTCATAGTTATGCCTCCTTGGCGCCTTCAGCTTCTTCGAATGCAATAAGTGACTTGTTCTCTGCAACCATTTCACCAACGTTGAAGTACACATGAGAGATAACACCGTCAATAGGCGACTTGATGACATGCTGAATTTTCGAGAGATATAAAAAAGATTTGGAAGGTTTGTTAGATATTCAAGCAAAAAGGAAGAAAAGCAAAAAAAACACAAAAGAAAACACTAACAGTAAAAAAATCATTACCTCCATCTTCATAGCTTCCAAAATGACCAAATTCTGACCCTTGATGACCTTATCGCCAGGTTTGCACATGACTTGTGAAATCTTGCAGGGCATGGGTGTGCGTAAACTTCCAGCCTTCTCCTCCTTGCCAACTGTCAAGAATTTGGGCTGAGGAATATCCAATGTGACCTTGCCCTCCTCTGCAAAGACTACGACCTGATCACCTTCCTGAACAATACTGGTCTTGTAACGACGATTCTCAATCTCGGCAAGGATACTACTCTCACCGGCTAACTTGGCCATGACCTTATTAAAGACTGTGGTCTTGTTGGGAGTCTGTACACGAACATTGTAGGTTCCATCTCTGTTGAACTCGACAGCGACTTTTACATCCTGATCCTCGAGTTTGAATGCCAAGTTCTGCTCGCTCAGTTGATTTAAGCGCAATCCAGAGTTGAGAGTAAATGGTGAGGTTGCGTCCTCAGCAGCCAAGGCAGCCTGCTTTGAAGCCTCTAAATCCCTCAGCACCATAGACAACGAGGCCTGAGCGACTGTGGCAGGATCAAGGGGAGGAGCCGGCTTGAACATATCGCTCTCGTATTTCTTGATGAATCCAGTCTCAACATCTCCAGCAATGAATGCAGGATGAGCAGCAAGGGTCTTCAAGAACTCAATGTTGGTGTTCAGTCCTACAACCTCATACTCGCTCAAGGCCTTTCTTAAGATACGAAGGGCAGCAGTTCTGTTTTCACCATGGACAACCAATTTGGCAATCATGGGGTCGTAGTGAACCGAAATCTCATCTCCTTGCACAAAGCCAGTTTCCAGACGCACACTCTCAGAAGCATCAGGAGTCTTGACATGCAACAGAGGACCGACATCGGGCAAGAAGTTGTTGGCAGGGTTCTCAGCATAAATACGAGCTTCGAAAGCCCAGCCGTCCTTCTTGAGGTCTTCCTGAAGCTTGGGCAACCTGTTTCCGGCAGCGATCTCGAGCTGCCACTGAACAAGATCGGTGTTTGTAATCATCTCTGTGATAGGATGCTCAACCTGAAGACGTGTATTCATCTCCATAAAGTAGAATTTTTGATCTGTGTTATCCATGATGAACTCGACTGTCCCTGCACCGACATAGTTGACGGCCTTGGCTGCAGCCACAGCCTTCTCACCCAGCTCACGTCTAAGCTCTTCTGAAAGACCAGGCTAAAAAAAGACAAAGCAAGGAAGGTTTCTCTTTAGGGTGATGTTTCTTCTCCATCGCCAATGATACAATGCATACCCATAACCCATTTAGGGGGAGATAGTTTTTTCCCCTTCCACAATATGGACCTACAGCAGGAGCCTCCTCAAGAATCTTTTGATGTCTTCGCTGAACACTGCAATCGCGCTCAAAGAGGTAGACGGCATTTCCGAGGGTATCTGCAAATACTTGGACTTCAACGTGACGAGGAGTGACCAAGTATTTTTCAATGAGACTAAAAATCAAAAAATGGGACAGTTGACATTGAAGAATTAATACATATAAACAATCAAACTATATGAAAGCAAAAGAAAAGGAAAAAAATAAAGAAAAGAAAAAAAAATGTTGACCTTTCATCAACTTACACCTTATCATCACTAAATGACTTCATGGCCTCACGTCTTGAGCTTTCTAACATGATCTCGAAATCTTCAGGGGTCTCGACGATACGCATACCCTTTCCTCCACCACCCTTGATAGCTTTGATCAAGACAGGGTATCCGATCTTGTCTGCTTCGGCCTTCAGGAAAGCAACATCCTGGTTATCGCCGTGGTATCCAGGGACAACGGGGACCTTGGCAGCTTCCATAATGAATTTGGACTCGCTCTTTGATCCCATGGAGGTCATGGCACTGGCAGGGGGTCCAATGAAGGTGATCTTCTCTTGGGCTAGGCGATCCGCAAATCCAGGGTTCTCGGACAAGAAACCATAGCCAGGATGGATGGCCTACATAGTGTTATGGAATATATGCATACAAAAAAAATAGGGGTTGTGGTTGTGTATGAGATTCATCGGATGTACAAAAATCAAATGAAATGTGGAGGTGGATTGGTTAAGTGTATAAAGTGTCAATAAGCTCTTTTATGATTTGACTTTTATTTTAAGTAGCGTACGAAAAAAAAAAAAAAAAAAAAAAAACCAGTACCTGTGCTCCACTTTTTCTTGCAATCTCAATAATTTTATCAACCTTCAAATAGCTCTCGGCAGAAGGCGCTGGTCCGATATTGTAGGCCTCATCCGCCTAAATAAGCGAGAAGAAAAAAAAAAAGTGAGAAATCGAAGTATTGAGGATTCCATTGTTTATTATTATTAATATTATTTTTTTTCCGAGAAAGAAAAAAAAAAGCAATTGAGAGAAAGATAGGGGGTCGTGAGAATTTTTTACCATTTTAACATGAAGAGCATTCCTGTCAGCATCGCTGAAGACTGCAACTGTCTTGATTCCAAGCTTTTTAGCAGTTTTCATGATTCTGCAAGCGATTTCACCACTAAAGAACAAAAAACAGATCAAACAAGTTAAAAAAGTGAGCATGCGGGTCAGTTCTTGACCTATACGGCTTTCCTTCTAAAGTGTTAAATATATTTGGATCAGATAAACAAAAGACAACCAAACAATGCGTTCAACATACCGGTTGGCAATGAGGATCTTGTCAAATAAAGGCTTGCGCTCTAATGTTCGGAATGAGATGTAAAAAAAAAAAAACCATTAGGCGTGCATTATGCATTGTGGAATTAGAGCTGATGAACAGACATCAGATGTCGAATGTCATTAGGCTGATCGCCATGACAAACGCAAAGATCCCCCCTGGATAGCCTGAGACATTAATGTAAAGGAGAAAGGGAAAGAGTACCAATTTCTGTAGTGTACCAACGGAAAGGAGTCCTTGAAATTGGGTTGACAGATGTTCCCCAGCGCATGCGAAGCGCTGCTCTGTTAGCAGACAGCATGAAGGCAGACATGATGTGTAAGTGGATGGAACTGATTGCCAGAAGAGAAGAGAGAGAGTGGAGAAATAAAATACACAATGGACAGAAAGAGAGAGAGGGGAAGGCAGTGGAGGGTGAGAAAAAAAATGTAAAGTGGGGAAACTTATGGCCAAATGGTGTTTCGTCTCCAAAATTCCCACGCACCCTAAATGTCCGTAGTCCACGTGATACGTGTTTATTATTATATACATGTATATGTATTTACAAGTTAGTAAAAATAGCAAATTTTATTAAGGATACGGAACAAATTATAACAAATGGGAGTGGAGCCTTCTTTTTTTCGTCTATTCTATCTTCTTGGAAACTGGTTTTGAAAAGTAAAAGAGGTTGACAGAACGCAACCACTGTTTAGCAAGGATGAGCCACCAAGCGACATTCATAAGAAACATGGTAGTTGTAGTGATTGTATATTTCTTGCCGATGTGAAAAGGAGCCTGGTACCAGGACATGCCCAACTTTGCGCCAATTGCAACACCCATCCACCAGTTCCCAAAGATTCTGCACCAAAAGTAAGTCACCAACAAAGCTGTGTCAATAAAACGCTTCAATTTTGAATTGTTAAATGTACGACCTCGACTCTGAAGAACCCAACGGAAGTGCAGGATTGGCGTGCTCATGTTCATAAGGGAGAGCATTCCGATGAAGTAGGGTCCTGGATTGTCGATCGTGAGTGCATACAGATAATAGACAGATCCAAGAATGACAGAGATATGATGAAATAGAATCAAATTGCTCCCCACACCGAAACGTATACGTTGATAAAACTCAAATGCTGTATCTTGTGTAAGATAACCAAGTTCCAATCCAACTAAAAAGGGTGTCAATGGGGTCTTGTAAGTCGAGAGGTCGTTCTTGGTCCAGTCTACGGTCAAGAGGAGATAAAGGCCAGTGAAGGTCATGATGGTTGAATGTACAGAGGCAACAATCTTGTTGTACAAATGGTAGTGCTTTTGTGTATCAGCCTTGGGAGGCAGAATGTTCTTGACCCACCGTAGTCTGCCAAGGATAGTGAACAACAGCGGGTAGAGCGTCAGAGCTCCGATAAGTGATGGCGGAACATGTGGTGAAGTGAGAATGTCCATAGTTCCTAATCCAACAAGCGAAACAAACTAAGAGAAGTGTATTGTTATGAGAATAGGGTTGTTTGAGGAAGGGAAAAGAAGGAAGAAAGAAAGAAAGAGATGAAAGGAGAATGAAGGGTGTTAAAAAAAGAAACAAAGTAATGAAAGTGGAATGAGGTGATGCCGACAATGATGTTGATGAGATTTCTTAGGATAGTATCTTTTTGTGGAAAAAGACCAGCAAGTGGAGTCCAAGTAATCTGTTGACAATTAATATTTCAGTATTTTAGCTTACCAATTTGCAAAAATAATTTTTCTTTTGTAGTGGCGGACAAGCCATTTATCCGTTGAACAAGAACTCCGCCGTGTCCACAGCCTGAACCCCTTGGCATTCCACACATGGATATATAAATATATCTTGCACCTGCGGAATGATTTACTATTCTACCCTTTACCAGACAGAAAGGAATCTCAGATCGATGTCGTATCGCAGAAGATACAGTGAGGTCTTAATGAGAATCCATCTGATTGATGAATAAAAACAAGCGCACCACCCCTTGTCTGTCCATTTTTCATGATGGCCAATGCCCCTTATTTGTTCCTTCCTTTGTTTTATTTTCTTTTTCCTCACAGATCAATCTTCTTCCCTTTTACCCCAATATATATTTGGGTTAAAAAAAATGCCTTGCGAGCCGATAAACTTTATTATAACGAAGTTATACACATTCCTCCTACATGTACGCAGTAGGGATTGATTGATTACTTCTCTTCTCTCTCGATTAAACTGCCCTTTGGGTTTAGTTGTTACCGTCTATTGACAACTATACACTTCGCCTCTTGTTGAGAGGTCAAAATTCTTGAACATTGCCCTCGCAAGATCTTTTTCTTTATCGGGTTAATCACGTGAGTACAGACGTATATAAATAAGATTCAGATGCATCCAATGCGTTTCAAGTTTCAAGCTGCGCGGATCAATTCTTTTCTCCTTTGAGAAACTAATTCATCCACTTTGCTGTTGCATTTATACATCTCATTGTTTTATTTTATTTTATCTTATAATGCCTTCCTTCATTTACTGTTCAGAATGGTAAGGTTTTAGATGAAGTAAAATAATTGGTCAATATGAAGAGATCTGGTCATTTTTATTTACTTTTCTATTTTAATTCTTATTGCTCGATTGGTTTAAAAGCAACAACTTGTTGTACCCGAGAGAAGATAGATCAAATCCAGATGTCCGAAGCAGGAGTTTGATGTTCGCTTGCAGGAATTGTGACTACCAGGAGAAGGCTGACAATAATTGTGTTTACAGGAATGAAATTCTTCATGCACCAGCGTAATGTCAATATACACTTAGCAGCTAAAAAAAAAAAAAAAAAAAAAAAAAAAAACTAGCGTGTTGTCAAGGAGGAAAAAAAAAAAAAAAAAAAGGATTCACTCTTTTGTTCTAACATTGAAAATGATGAACTTGGGATTTTCTGATAGTGAACAAACTCTTCTCGTTCAGGATTTGAGCACCGATCCAACATTGGTAACCTTTGTTTTCTTTTTGTTTGACACGTCGTTTTGCATATTGTTCAAGGATAGAGTATTTTAACGCTTTCCTATCCAAACGGGGGGTACATATCCCAGCCACGAACTAGGACGAGATGCGCAAAATGTGGACACGAGGAAGCAGTGTTTTTCCAGGCTCAGGGCGGAGCAGAAATGAAGATGACATTGTTCTACATCTGTTGTAACAAAGCCTGTGGACATCGTTGGTTCTCATAAGCAATTCGAAGAAACTAGAGACAGAACGCAACAACAACAACAAAAAAAGCAAATGGCAGAGGCAGAGATAGAGTCAGAGGTAGAGGCAAACAGTCATTTTTCAATCCAGCTCGATCACCAAACTCTACTGTAACGGATTTTCTTTAGAAATATCAGAGCCTAAACCACCCACAACATTGATCAGCAATAATAAAGGGAAAAAAAAAAAAAAAAAAAATCCGTAAGAATATTGCAAACAGGAAAAAAGTCTAGATTGTGAATATAGAAGGGATGAAGAGACGAATGGACGTAGTGTTCTCTATAGCAGACAAGTAATGTGCTCCTTGAGAATCCTTTCAAAAGCCTTTTTAGTTCTTTTGTTTTCTAATCATTTAATAGAAAGAAAACTAACGATATCAAAAAACATATCTAACATGACACACTTCCAGTCAAAATAATTTACTTCCTTAAAAGATATTTAATCCTCAGGATTCCATTGACTCTGAAGAAGTGTATGATGTTCCTTGACCTTATCTTCTCAGTCAACCTCATTTCGCGGTCCAAATTCAAGAAAAACATGGCTGTCTCAGCCGTCAACACTTTTCATTCTCGTTCACACCCCTCCTTAATGTTGTTGTATACGGCTGAGTCCAGACCTTTAAGCTTGAATTCGGTGTCCCAATATAGTTAATTGCCCTACAAATTATACTTGTTAGTAACATGGCGCTCGTTCCATGAGATCATCAGTATGATATATAAACAAGTGCCAATCTACAAGAAGTTGTTTGTGCTCTTGGAAGCCAGCTTCGTAGTTATATCATTAACAACGCGTGCTGATTGGCACTTGACTTCCAAGAAAAGGCTCCAATATTCACTCCATCTACATCATACTCCTACTTTTCGAATGCCTCGGGGTCGATATGAGGAGCTAGAGTGGTTGCCTTTGAGTCCTTGGATACACTAAAAGGAGCTGTGACCATAGATTATGATAGACAATGAGAAAAGGTCTTTAGCATAAAATGAAACGCAAACTGGAGATAATCGAAGATTGGTGGAACGTAATTAAAGTTTAATACATGCCTTCTTCCAGCATTTGTCGCAGCTATGGCTTTGGACAACATTAGCAGCGGTATTGGCAGCGCAATAGGATATAATGCAAAGTAAGAAGAGGAACCAAACATTAAATAGCAGAGTAGTGGTGGAAGTTGCAGGTAATGCTAATCATGTTTAGTAAAATGCATCTGAAGGAACAGAGTAAATTCTGCTGCAAATCTGAACGTTTTCTGGGGTTAATGGCAATTTGTTTTTGAGGCGCTCTCCTCTTTTACATCCTAGTTCTACTTGAAACTGCCTGCGTAGCAGCAGCAACGAGCTCGTTTTCGCAGATAGTTGACTGCAAATTCAACAAATGCTTATTTTAAATGAAGATGATCTTCTTTTAGTACCTGAAATAGGGTTACTCATAGTACGCAATAATGGCGGCAAATGATAGTATCCTGCCTTGATTACAACCTCCTTCATGATGTCCTTTCGTTCTTGTGAGGAGGTTTTTGACAGCCGTTAGAACACGTTCATTTTTACCGACTCGTTTGATTGCCTCAATCGCTCCAAGACACCATTCTAAAGGCCATAAAGCCGGGCCATATTCAACTCATCAGAGAAGTCGGTCCAAGCCTTTAGCGTAATTTCACAAGTAGGTATTGATTTCAAATACTCGGTTTGCTCTGCGTTCATGATGACTCTAGCACTAAAGATCTAACCGGGTCTTTAGAGCTGTGAAATAGAGTTTTGAGCAAAGTTAGGTTTAGAAGATCGTGTTGTTGTCAAAGGAACAAAGGAGAGGAACATGAACTGCGCCAGCGCAGTAAAATACGAAAAGTATATAGGCCACGAAGAAAAGGGTGCTAATTTTTTTTACAAAAATATTTTCAGTTGAAACCACTAGCTCTTATGGGTGCATTCACGCCTTTTTTTTGAAATTTACCATCTTCAACAGTATTTCACACCTTATGAGGCTTCCAGACGTCCTTCAAAAGAGATGTAGCCGTCAGAATACCGTTGAATTGGAAGCAACATAAATCTTCAGAGTATTCGATGTTTCCCAGAAAACCTAGGCATTAGTTATGATCTACATTATAATATGTTTTTATCCTTGTGAAAGTTTTGGGATCCGTCAGAAACCGTCTTTTCTTTCCGGTTTGTCTGATCACCTCGAACCCTCCAAGATACCATTCCAGAGAGCATAAGGCTAGCTCATATCCAATTCATCAGAAGTTAACCCAAGCTTTGAGCGCAATGTTATGAGTAGGCGCCGGTTTTAAGTACTGAGCTGTGTCTTCGTCCATCATGACTGAAGGAGGTTATGAAGTGAAAAAGTGGATGGTAAGGGAAAGTGAAGAATGAAGAAGAGTTGAAGGATAGGGGTTGATTTGGGTTTCATTTGGCTGTGCTCAACTGATGTTGAGCTAGTTCTATGTATCCGCCACTGATAGGCTGCTCCAGCATGCTGGTCAAGGGATCAGCGCAGTGATTGTGCGTATCTGAAGCTGTACAGTCCATGCACATGTGTTATACGAGACACGCAATTATGATCCATTATTGTTATTATATATATTAAAATATACCATTTTTTGGTGGCCTGGCTGCAAGGCTTGGAGCGAGTCGTTGGATAGGGGAATATGGAGTTTTAACGACTAAGTTTGCAGATAATTTGGGAAATCACAAGGAAAGGTTTAAATGCTGCGGCAGCGCCTATGAATTCGTGTTATATGTTTCATATCAAGTTTCAACAGAATGGCGACCCATCTATATTGATCATAATGCCAGGTCAACTCTTTAAATTTCTCCTTTGACTACTATAACCACAGCCTCAACGACAAAAAAATGTCAGCATACCTCCTCCTCACTAAGTCCAAGCCTTGTTCTGCGCACTCTTCCAGGGCACCGCTACAATGCTTCGCTTTTCTGATCCCCCATCCCGCAAATATTTCTTTAACTCTTTGGACGAATTTATAATACCGGAGATTCGTCAATATATCGGCCGAGCATTGTTTATACCGGATAGTGAGTATGCTAACCATGGGCTTCAGATACAAAGCTTAGTCAGGAACTGATGAGGTCCGGTCTCGACGCGGCCCTACAGGCCAGAGCCCAGAGCCCCCTCTCTAGCCTCCAGGAGTCAAGAAATTCTACCTTGAATATCATGCAGTTATGACACTTCACTGAATCACAAATCTGAAAAATCCTCAAGCCCTCGAAATAAAAGAGGAGGGCGTTTTTCCGGGCCTGGTTTTCTGCCCTGTGAGGAGGGAGATAGCAGCTCGTCGATTCTTAGCAGTTTTGAAGGCATCTGAATCCTTCCCAGGTCAACTCCTATCCCTGAAGCTGCTTACACAAAACCGGAGGATGTGAATAAATATACGATATTATTCAAGATGTCTTGCTGAACGAAAAAGCAGACAAAGGGAAAGAGGAAAGCACTCTTTGCATATTTCTGCAATCTACGCCCTTTTTCTCATTGTGGATGCCATCATTGCCATGTAATACCATGTTGCACAAATTTCAATTTAAAAGAAATGAATGCAAGACAAATAGCCACAGTTTAGTGCCTGAAAGTTAAAATTCTTTAATATGTACAAATACATGCAAGCGAACTATGTAAATAAGATATGTATACAAATATAAGATCTATGAGTCTATAACTGGGGAATGGAGGAATGTGTAGAGGAGGAAGGGTCTCTACTATGGTAGGTCAAGAGGAGACGTAAGGGGATGTCATGTTGGACCAGCAACAGTGCACCAGTTTTTTTTTTTTTTTTTTTTTTTTTTTTTTTTTCCTTATACTTTGTCCAAGCCGAGGTCGATACCCTTGTCACCAGCCCCTCCACCAAAGGCATAAAATCCACTAGTATTTCGCTTCACTTCCTCCCGCTTAGGACCAGGGCCTCTCTCACGACCACCATCACCATCGGCATGAGTATCCTGTTTTTGTCCGCGCTGACGAACATTGACAACTGTCATGTCCAGGGTAGGAAGCTTACCGCCGCTGACGCCTCTGATCTCAACATTAGCACAATGATGATAGAACTAAATGATTATAAAAAATAAAAAGGAAATGTTAATTCTTCTTTTTTCCTTGTATTATTATTATTGTTATATTTTCCTCAAAAAAATTACCTGGTTGATCCGGTAAGCAGTCCATGACATTGCGAATAGACATTTGTTGGAATCTTTGCATGAGGGCGCGTTGTGGGGAATCTGAACTGGCCATCTGTAGTAGATGTCGGGGCAAGTCTCTGTATACTGTCCAATGACTTTCCAGGTTTTTCCACCATCGTACGACAATGAGAACTCACAAGCCCCCCCTCCATGACGTGCAGGCTTCACGTTACTGGGAGGAGGGAATTTGTCATATGGCATTCCAAATGTCCAGAATTCAACGCCAATGGTTTGACCAGCATTGAGTTTCGTCACAGGTCCCTTCTTGTAACCTCCACAGGGAAATTTTTTGCCTTCATAACCGATCCAAGCATGAACAGTGTTGCGGAGATCATCAGTCCAGGGACCAGCCTGACCACGAGGGTATGACATCGCAATATGTGCAGAAGCCGGTGTAAGAACTGAGAGAAGAGTTGAAGTAGCGATGAGGACGCTACTGAAGAGGGAGATGGCCTTCATATTCTCTAGTATGTGAGCCTAAAAAAAAAGGCAGTGATTTCTTTGTGGAGGAGATTTACTAGAGGAGTAATAGGAGAGGGAGAGATGTGAAGATTTGATGAATAACAGCAACAAAAAGAAAGGAAGAAAAAGAGGGACATGTCTGGGTTTTTATATGATTGCATCGAAGAAAGAAAAGCTTCCTAGAACGGACGGAACGTGGTAGAGGACAACGCGTTAGTGTGCTTCATTGTTTAATTTCAAGACAAGACAAGACAATAGACTACTTTTTACCCCTGGTTAGAGAAGTGGTTCTCACCACAATATGAAATAAAACTTTGATTTGGCGACGGAATCATAATTTTTTCCTTTTTGCATGTGGCTGATCTGATTGGGGCAGGTAACGACAACAGGAAAAAGTTCAACAGATTCAGGAACAGCGCACTTTATCATCAAAGAAAAATCATTGGCAAGCGATCAATATCTAGATGCATGATGTATTATATATAATTACAGCTCTACAAATTCAATTTAATGATGGGGGTCCGAGTCATAGAGTCATAATGTAAACATTTCTCCTTTTCTAACCAAACCCTCTCTTTCTTTCTCCTGGTGCACAGACTTATCAGGCGCCAGAGGGTAAAAAAGAAATAATAAATTGGTTCATGATGAATGAAAATATAATAGGAAGAAAGAAATGTTCCTCAGCTCGATTTGATGGTTATCGAGTTCATTTCAAGTAGGCCACAGTAACTATGGTCGTTCAATGTTGAAAATGACAAAAATATTCATTATTTGCTTTGATAGTTTCAATGCTTTTTTTTTTAAAGAAAAAAAAAGCAATTGCTTCTTGTAATATGGTTGGAGTGCGAACAAACAGAAATGGAATATAAGCATGAATCAAAACATTCTTCGCCAATTCCGTGATTTCAAAGGTCGGCATCTTCCTATTATTTGCCTGGAGACGTAAAAGAAGGCTGATTTGCCAAGCCCCCTTCCCCCCAAAAATCATGCCGCATGAATGCAGTGGCTAGCCTAATAGAAAGGCTTGTTTTACACTTTATTGGGGAGATTGCAGGCTGAAAGTCAAGAAGTGCATGACATGTGGATATTCCTCAACACTGGGGGACTGCATGGACAGATCATTCAGTTCGGAAAAATTGATTCGGTGGGACAAAAACTAAATGGACGTCCAGCCGCCCTGCATACATGCATAGCGTGGTAATTGCGTCTTGTACATTTTGCAACTCTTTCCTTTTTTCCCTATGCTTAATCAAACCATACAACTTCCTCAAATCTTCAATGGCAAAACATCAAGGATGATTTTTTTTTTTTTTAAATTGCTAATTAAAATATCTCAAGACCAATTTTCCTTTTTTCCGAACTTGGTCATGCTTACTTATGATCATTGTCTTCAATATATGTCAACAGGGAACCAACTTTGGCTAGATCAGACTAGACTAAGCAAAGTATATCCTTTCTAAAATTTGACTCAATTGTTAATAGAGATGGAAGTAAACTTCTCTTATCTTGGAACAATATATACAGTAGTATGCAAATATTATGTTGTATTTACATTACTGAATATGAATTTTCCCCTTTTTTGATTTCTCCTAAACTGTCGAAATGAGAATGGTTGCTCCTTATTCAAGGGTCCTAAGGTGTAACCCTGCTTTGTGTAGATGTGTGTATGTACAGTATGCTTGCACAGATCCTTTTTCTTTCTTTCTGATGCTTTTACCGCTGCCTGATGATGCGCATGCAGCTCCAAATGTTCCCGTTGAGGAATGTGGCAATACAAACAACCCATGTACATGTACAACATGGGCGACATGTAATTTTAAACAAATTTCGGCAAGGGGAAATGGAATGTGTAACAGATGTAAAGATCGATAGATGCTCCTCTTAAGCTCTTGAGGTAAAGGATCTGTCCACAGTATAGTCAATGACTAGTCATAATTGATCATATACACGTTCTTGCCTTTTAAAAAAACGGCCCTTCTCACATCTGCTTAAAGTTTGGAAACGAGAAGAGAAGGAAAGATTGGTTAGAGGCCTGCTATAATGCCAATTTATTAGTTAGCGCCTTCTCTTCCTAGATTTTTTGACCTGGGGTCTTGAGATGGATCTTTCCCTTCTTAGCTTTCTTTTTTATGTAGACTTGTACCTCGTTTACCATTGCACCTATGGTATCTTCTATTGTTCTACTGTATTCATCATATTCTGGTAATCCAATGGACATAAATACCTGACATGGCCTTCCTCAGTTGCGCGAAGGAAGTTAGAGTTGACGCCATCACGAGATGTCAAAGCATAGTATAGGGCTGAAGAGGAAATAATAAAAATAGTAATGAAATATCCACTTTTTTTTATTAGTGATTATCTTTTTTCCATGGATATGAAACAATTTAACAAAGCTTCTTGATTCAATATAATTTGGTGTAGATCGGCAATAGCGCCGACAATTGTACATGCTGACGGCATAAAGGACACTCAGGCTGATAGTTATTAATCCAAGTAATAAAGGTAAAAAATAAAAGGAAAATTAGATTATTGTTCTCATATCAATCATCGTATAAATTGTGCTAAACGTGATTTTTAAAAAAAGCCTTAGTTTTTTCTTTTTTTTACCTTGTTTTGACACCATTCACGAATACAAGTCCAACAAAACAAATGTCCACAGGGAGTTGCTGTCGTATTTGTCCGAGGGTCGAGACATAGTGTACATTTCCGGACATTGATCTCTGATGTTGTCTGTGTGAAGTCGTCATTTTCTTCTTCCTCTTCTAATTGGTTTTGTGCTTGTACAGTAGCAGCAGTAGAGCCGGTAGCATTTTTTGAAGCAAGAGCTGCAGCTGCAGCTTTTTCTTGAGCTTCTGCAGCAATTCGTCTCCGCCATTGGAAGAACTGAATCACGAGTTGGATCACAATCAAGACTCCCAGGACTTCATAACCGGATCGCTCCTCTCCAGGTGACAACTTTCGATTAAAGATGTATCGGATCCCAGTAATGCGCTTTGAAAAACTGTAGTATGCACCAAAGAAGTAAAACACTGCCAAATGAGCTGAGTATCCATGGGTTTTGAATAAATTTTGTAAAGTTGGGAGCCAATCGTGAAGTACAGTCTTGAGCCGGGTCATCATAGCAGATGGTTCTTTCTTCTTTTCCAACTCTGATGAATCTGGTAAAGTCGCATCTAGGCGATGTCCTACTACGTGTCTTTGGTGATGCTGCTGTTGTTGAGGTCGCGTGCGTCTTCGAAGCTCTTGAGTCCCTTTGGAGTAGATGTATGGAATAAGCACGTGCCAAAAGATAAGAGCCGATCGACGCTGATCGTCAAAAAAAAAAAAAAAAATGCATATTAGAACTATCTTACATAAGAAGGTGCCTACTACAGATCTTTGTCTCTGCACTCTTCATTATCTTTATGAAGCAACATGAGACCTACAGCCAGTGAAGGAAAAGTACCAGTGGAACTGTTGATCTGCATAATATCGCAATATTCCTCGCCCAAAGTCTGTGTTCCAAGAAGCGTCGTTAAAGAGTAATAGCACAGATCTGAGAATACTTCGACTTCGGTTTGGTATTTGTGTTGCGTGCGGTTTCCAAATATCTCTCGAAAAGCATCCTTGACTTGATCCTTTAAGATCTGTTGATAATAGGCATCTTTTTGGTTGGCGCGGACTTTTATTATATGAGGAGAAGGAGGGCATGCTTTTTTTTTAGTGATCTGGATACGCTGACAGGCAATGCAATAAAGAAAAGAGAATAAAAATAAAAATAAAAATAAAAAAGTCGTATTTGTTGATCCTTTTTAGCTTACTGATATCCGGTTGCGATGCACTTGGAAGTGCAAGGTTGAATTTAGGTGCCCGTGATGTGCTAGTATCTCCTTCTGTGGATGTAGGTGCAAGGACAGGTGCAGGTTGGGCAGGTGCAGGTTGGGCAGGTGCTGCTACTTCGAGCTGTGACCTGTCTGCGGAGTTTACGGGGTTTGACCCATTTGTGCTCGACATTATGAAATGCTATCTTACAATTGATCTGTTTAGTGGATGGAGTTAAAGTAGAATGAAAGGATGAGCAAATAAAAGAGGAGACATGTAATAATAATTAATTGTAAAAATGGAGGACAAGCGGACCGGCACACCGGAGGTATAATAACTTTCTGAAGAGAACAGTGAACCGTGAGTTGACGGGGAAGTTAAATGCATTGCGTTTATGGAAACTGAATATATTGCAAAAAAAAGGAATCGTGCAGCAAAAGGAAGGATAAGCCGTTAATAAAGACAGTCATAAAAGAAAATATACCAAAAGCGAGAAGGCCCCAAAGGTTAGTCACTACACTAAAACTCAAATAACCACAGACATTCAAAGCTGGCCTTTCCGATTAGTTTTGATTGCATCTTTCTTCACTTCTACCATTCTTTCTCTACAGTCTCATTGAGAAGACACATCTAGACTCATAAGTGGATTCAACTCTCCAGGACAAGCAAAGTAATTTAGAGACAGGCAGAAAGTGAGAACAGGCAATCAGGAAAAATTTGATCACTCTTTTTCAAAAGCGAACCCCCATTTTTGTATCTCAACATCATGTCCTCTCACCATACCACCAACATCGAGGAAGAGGATAGCTTCGCTCCTATCTATGCTAGCCAGGAGGATTTCAACCCCAACGACACTGTCAGTGCCTTCCTTAACACTGCTTATGATCCCGCTCGCCTGCATCCACTTGCTGGCCTCGGTGGGGGTCTTGACTATCTCAACCTAGATGGCGATGAAGTCCTCCCTACCTCTCAAGGCGGTCTCTTGCCCAGCAGAGGATGGTCTGATGATCTCACTTACGGTACTGGCCTCACTTATATCACTGGTAAGTTCAAAAAATACTTGTTTTTATTCCTTTCTAGCCTACAAAAGCACTCATTTCGGTATTGCCAAGTTCTTAGTTGCATTTCCACTAATATAAACACCATGACCTTTTTTTTCCCTTAAAAAAAGGACTGAGCTTGGGAGGTGCTTTTGGTTTTTATGAGGGTCTCCGGTCATCACCTAGCCCAGCATTCAAGATTCGTCTCAACACCGTTTTGAACTCAATGACCCGTCGTGGCCCCTTTATTGGAAACTCGGCCGGTGTGTTGGCTTTGATGTATAATGGAATCAACGGTGTTATCGGCAAAACCCGTGGTACTCATGATCCCCTCAATTCCATTGCAGCTGGTGCTCTCACTGGCGCTATTTTCAAGTCTACAGGTATAGAATGCATACACGCAGAAGAATTTACACTCTTCCTCTGTCTTCTATCCTCTTCACTCCAGTTTCTTTGATATCTTGATCTCCTTGCCCATTTTAGGAAACTTTTTTTTTTTTTTTTTTTTTTTTTCTTCTAACCTATGTTTCTTTCCTTTTTATACTTTACCTTCTCTATTCTAGCTGGTCTTCGTGCGGCCGGATCAGCTGGAGGTGTTTGTGCTGTGTTGGCTGGTATCTGGGCCTTTGGCAAGGAGGCTGTCCTGTAATTTATGTCAATCCATCTCATTTGTTTGCCGTCATATGCATCTCGATTCTTTTTTTTAAAAAAGACATATTTTGCTTTTTTTTCTCATTGAGTAGCTAGTTTCTTGCTTTCTATCATGATGGTGGGAGGCTTTTTTTTTAAAGATAGAGCTTTGTACAATACACTTCAAAAAAAAAAAAAAAATCCTTGTTTGTTTTTCTCTGTTTTTACTCTTGACAAAATTATTTCAAAATGATGCCAAGAAAAAAAAAAGTTAAGGATTGTGTTTAATTTATGTACGTGGTGGCCGTTTATCTAAAGGGATATACCCTTGGCCGCGTAGCATTCTAAACTGCAGACAACTCTTGTTTCCTCCTAATCCATCTTGTGTCGTGAACGTCCGTACCTCTGCATTTATAAAGTGTATTTGAGAGAGGAAAAAAAAGTAAGTAAGTTTTTTTTTTTTTTTTTTTTTCTTCTTGAATGCTTGGCAAAATCAGCTTTTTTTTTTCCCCCTTACCTTGATATCCTATTCCTTGTTTGCCTGCTCGCAGAACCAGTGAAATGATATCTGGGATGGCTGAATCCATCCCAATCAGCGTAATCTCTTCATGTTCCTTAAGAGACCTGATGATCTACATATATATTTTTACAAGCTTATTTTGTTAGATTTTATTTTTTGCCGATGAAGAAAAAAAAAAAAAAAAGTTTTTTCTCCTTACCCAATCCAAATATGCGTCGGATCCTTGTTCCACCGTTGAGACACCATCACGGATAACATGCCGTACAGGATGAATGACATCTGTCAGGCAGATAAATGGCGTAGCTTCCATTCCTGGGATAATATCTGATAAAGACGATGTAGCTGTTGATGATGCTGCCGTTGCTGTTGCTGCTGATCCAGACCCAGATCCTGATGCAGACGCTCCCGCTGCAGAAGACGGTACTGCAGAGCCTGTTATAGAGTTATTCTGCACTGCTGAATGACGATCTATGGAAGATCCTTTACGAGACATGCCTGCTGATGATTTAGAAGTTTGTCCATGTGCATGTCCTGATTCAGATCGACTAGGTCCACGAGGCTTGTTACTTGCTTTAGAACTAGTTCCTCCGGAAGACTTTGGTCCTGGTCCCGATCCCGATCCCGATACCGGCACCGATCCTTGTCCTGCAGTTGTCTCTGATGCGACTGTAGCAGAAGTTGAAGTTGAGATGGAAGCGGAAACCGCAGCACCAGAGGCAGGGCTAGCATGACTGAGACCACCACCGACTTTCTTACTCGCCACAGCTTTTGATGGTGATGACGAGGGGTTTGTTCCACTATCCGTGGATCTCTGTTGATGATGTTTTTCTGTAGAGTCATGATGATGAGATTGTAAAGATTTGTTACTATCATTCAAAGCACGGCTACTACCATTGGAGTGATTGATAGCTTTGGTGTTGTTGCTGCTGCCATGGTTATTGCTGGAATGGTTCTGATGCTGCTGTTGTTGCTTTCTCGGCTGTTTATTACGCCCTGAGTGGATATGTTGTGATGGATTGTTCGTAGTTCCAGCTTCGGTTGTAGTTGCCGTTACTGCGTTATTGCGAGTAGTATTATCTGATCGAGATCGACTTTGACCTTTATGATGGGTAATGCTACTGCTGCCTCTATTACTGCTACCAACCTTAGATGTCAAGGACGATGATGATGACGAGGATGCTTGCTGTTGCTGTTTCTGAACCGGTCGTAAGGTTACTGGAGAAGTATGACTATTATTATGACTATAACTTTGACTATGACTTTGGTTATGGATACTAGTGCTAGTGGTTGCCTCTCCAGTGGGAGCGGCAGGAACAGACTGTGAAATGAATGATGGAATGAATTCTTTGGCAGTTGCCTTGAGAGTCATTGGTTGGGTCATGCGTAGTAAAGAAAGAAAGAGAAGAAAGCGCAGACGAGACCCCCAAAAAACCTACTTCGTCAACACAGCTATAACTGCTATTTGATTCGTGAAGGAAAGCCTACTATTACAGTTAGTTACATGTACTAAATCTCAAGCCACAGCATAGGGCGCAGTATCACCTGATTCACGTGATATTCCGGAGTTCAATCTTTCGTTCGGTGAACATGGTTTGCGTTGACGCTTTTTGCATCCATACATATTGCCACTTACAGGAGTGACTCTCCAGATTTGCATTCACACGGTCGGAAGATTTAAGGAGTAATTAGGAACGCCATTAATGTACTCTGATGATAAAGTGAAGGGCAGAAGGAATAGGGGTTCAGGGAAGTGAAAAATAAGGACTTACATTAACATGTATTACAGCCATCATAAGCACACCTTACACACGAACTTAGTTTTATTTTTTTGGTATTGCAAAGAAAAGACCAGAGGTTGCATTTCAAGCTTTTTTTTTGCGCTTGGGCCTAATAAAATTTTGGTGGCAAAATTCAGAGTTTGAAATACTCGCGCATCAAACACGTCCTTTTTTGGATGCATCAGAGTATATTTCTATGCAAGAGAATAATTGCTACCATAGATGCAGGAAAAAAAAAAAAAAAAAAGCATATCATATTTATTTATTGATTATTGGCTGAATATTATTGTGTCGAGTGCTCCTCTAATGTCCCTGCAAATATCCTGCGTACGTGTTGGTGGGCCTTTCATTCGCTATAGCCGACATTTAGAAAATCGCCTTCCCGTATCGTAAGATCAAAGGGCTTAATAAGGAGCTTTATTGGTGTACTTTTTAGACCTTTAAGGATCATATGAGCATATATATGTATATATACAATTGGATATATACAAACATTTACATATATATGCATGGTTCATTGTTCTACCTGACTCCGCTGCAAGACATCAAGCGCTTAGCGATGAGTAACGCTATTCAATCACGACTAGTGAGCTTCAAATTAGTATCAATAGCCTCACCAAGACGGGCGTAAAGAGCCATCTTTGTCTTGGAAGGATCCGGGATTTCGATCTTAGAGTACTTGGAGATCATCAGTTCCCCGAAGACTTTTGCTTCCTGTATATTCATGAATCGGCCTGGACAAGAGCGACTATTAATAAAGGAAGCATCAAGTTAGCCATTTCCAATCCATTACATGAAAAATAAAATAAAATAAAAAAGAGCCCTTAAACTTTACCTTCCTATACCAAAGGGTAGGTAGTCCATCCCAACTTTAGTCGCAGCTTTGTTCTTGCCTACGAACCGCCATGGTCTAAACTCTGTCACATCCTCACCGTTTTCAGAACTCTGATGAGCAGGTCTGGTGTTGATAATAACAGTAGAGCCCTTGGAGATCATAATACCGCTTGAAAGAGTAACATCTTCGAGCGCAAGGTGCATTATCCCCAGACGTTCAGTACGGAACCTGAAGACCTCTCGTACAAATGAGTCCATATAGATCATCTTCTTGATTGCAGCTGCAGTCAAGTCTCTGTCATGTGCTGGATCCAAGTCATCGCCAATAGGCTTTCCTTCCCTCGAACGCTCTTGACGTGCCTGTTCTCGTTCCGCCTGAATAGTATCAAGGACCTGCTGTTGTTCTTGAAATAACCTGTCCATGTACTGTGGGAATGCCGCCAGATAGTAGAGCATATTGGTGACGATATCTGTAGCTGTATAGACATACATGCCAGCAATAATAAGTAGATGTGCGCAAAGATCTTCAAGGTCCATGAACCCATACTTGTCAAAGTCATCGACCATGTGCTGAAGTACATCATCAGGCCGCTCCCATTCAACACCAGTCTCGTTCGCCAGAGCTTCGAGTCGACGGCGCTCACGGATCACAGGAGTAGAGGCCTCGACTAGAGTCTGAGCATGGTTTCGAAGCGGATGGAGCAGTTTACAGTTGGACCATCGCACAAAGGCGCGCCATTTGGAGGCTCTGAAATTACCGTTGATGAACGCTGGCCCGAGATCTGCTGAAGCAGATATAAGTGTTTCAATGACTTTACGGTCCTTGGCAATCTCAGGATCAAAGAGAACGTGTGCCACTAAGTTGGGTAATAATAATAATAACAAAATCCAATTACTAATTGATCATTCATGTATGCAAGGAATGAAGAGAGAAAGACCGTCACCGTTCAATGAAACATACTTGTGTTAGCAATTATCTTTTGAAGCGCAAGACGAGGTTTCACAACTAGTTTTGCCTCCTTCTCAGCAGGACAATGGACTATTTCTTGATCAATGTCTATGTTCATCTGTGCTGCGATCTTCGGAGTGTAAGTAGGAATAAAACGATTGACCATCTCACGAATGAGTGTTCGAATGGTTATTTCATTAAAGTTGCTCTTTCGGCCGGAATTAAAGTATGAGCGCATGCGTACGTGCTTTTCACGCACGTCATTCCCAGAGAAGCTCTCATTAGTGAAAACTTCACGGGCTTGAGGGCCAGAGATGACAGTGAGGGCCATGTTGAGGAGATATATGTTAAACACTGGGCCGTATTCTTTTTCACAGCGCTCGAGGAATGCGTCTGGATCCTCATTGTACTCATCATCATGTGAAGAGTCGCCTGGTCTGAGAGAGGCTATAGGGATTCTCTACAAAAAAAAAAAAAAGGGATTGGTATAAAAGCGTAGGAGCGGTGCTCCTGGTATTAGTTCAATGATACTATGAGATGCAACAGCAAGGGCGTCTTGAGTATAGTAGTTTCAGCATAATTGCTCGAGCATAACAGCGTAGTCCTCTCTTTCCACTTCATCTCTTTTATTTCCACCTTGTCTGTACTGAACCCTGGAGCCGAGGCAGCCCTCGTAGCCATGTATGCCGCAGAAGCCAGTCCAAGGCCAAAAGGAATGGCAGCCTGCATAGCGCCAATAGGCATGCCATTTGCGGGACTGGATAAAAGTCCGATCATTTGTTGAAGATTGTTGAAGGTTGTTGAAAATAGATATTTGAATTTGCGATATAAGATATATAGCTGGTTGAGTGTTCCTCTTTCTGTCACAAAAAAAAAAAAAAAAAAAAAAGATAATGAAGCCAGTATTTATAGATCTTACCTGAGTACAACGGAAGCGATGACATCAAGGGCCAGCAATTGAGAGATTACAGGGTGATTGCCTCAGACATTAAAGTGCGGTCAGAGGATATTTGCGCTTGCGCTACAACCTTTCTATAACAGTGGAACAAATGCTGTGTCTGGTTGCAGGCGGTGAGATCCAATTGACTACTTTGCAGTGTGTAAAATATTTTGAACAAACACAAATGGATTGAACAACAAAAAAGACTGAACGAGAACAGTCAGTACATACCCAAATGATTCCACTGAGCTATTTGTTTTATGAATTGGTGGCGAACCCTCTGCATGACCATAATAAATCAGACAATACCAGACTCCGATCAAAGTATCTATGTATGACCTCCCTCTAACTTGTCGAATATATGATAAGTTCGCTGAGACAGAACAACACCTGCTCTTCCGCTATCCTAAGAAGCTGGAATTGCGGTACGGCGCGATGCAGAGATTCGTCGAAGAAAACGGCAGGTCAACCACCCTACTGGAATCGCTATTTTAATGTGCCACGTGCCATAGCTGGCATTGATATCGCTTCAAACCAGGTTATCAATCACCTGGGAGTAGAGGAAAAGAGAAATAAGAGGAAAAGAGGAAAAGAGAAGAGAAGCTGAATTTCCTTCACCCTACCAATCTGCCCTGGTCCCTGACACCGACTTCTCCACATAGCCCCATTATATATTTTGTACTTGCCTTGCCTCTAGTCTTCTTTTTTTTTTTTTTTTTTTTTTTTTTTTTCCGGTTCTGGTTCTTTTTAGATTTATTATAATTTGTAAAAGCAAAAGTGTTCATTTTCTTTTAATAGGTTAGTAGTGAAGGTATTGAATTATTACACACACTGCTGGCGTAATTAGTCATGTCCCCTTGAGGTGTCCCTCCAATATCCCAATGCAAGATAGCGAGTAGGCTAAATGCTTGATTTATTCTAATGTCCTAATACAGTAACCATCATATTTGGAAAAATATTTTGCTCTCTAAACTTCATTGCCCTGTTGCATGCTCAAGATGAACCAGATTGAGATAGGAAACTGGATACACATAGCTATACTCATAATAAACAGCATCCTCAAATCTAGAATCGATATCCCCACTCTTGATTTCATTATGATCATTTAATGGTGATCAGGTCATTTTTCCAAATATGAGACTACCCTCTAGAAAATGCTAGAATATTTTCTTTCGAGTCTGTTTCTTTCTTAAATGCCAGAGTTCCTATGTTTTTTGATTTATTATCGATACTTTAGCCCCTAAACGTCCATCCATACGAATATGAAGCCAATTACCCAATCCAAGGTTAGAAGAGCCATTGCTCTCCTCAAGCAAGGTCTTTCCACTCGACAGGTTGGCGAGAAACTCGGAATTTCCCATACTTCTGTGACAAATATCCGTCGAAGCGCAGCAGAAGATATTGCGAAAAAGTCAGCAGGTCGTCCAAGGAAGATTGGAGACGAAATGGCCCAGCATCTTAAGCTAGGACTTAAGCGTGGTCTTTTCAAATCCTCCATTGATGCTCAAAAGGAAGCGAACAAATTACTCCCAAGCCCCGTATCAAGTTCCACCATCAGAAGATGCCTTAGGAGGACTGGTATGAGGGCAAAGAAGGTTGTCAAGAGACCTTTCCTCAAGAACAACACATAAAGAAGCGTCTTCAATTCGCTCGCATATACCAAGAATGGACTAAAGAGGACTGGAAGGCTGTCGTTTGGTCCGATGAGTCCAAAATGAATCGTATTTGCTCAGATGGGGTGGCCTGGGTATGGGATGACCAGGAAGAGGCCATCAATGAGCGAACTGTTCAAGGAACAGTGAAGTTTGGTGGCGGGGGGGTCATGATATGGGGCTGCATGACATGGAACGGACCCGGTCGAATCTATAGGATTGAAGGAACCATGAACTCAGAAAAGTACATCAACATCCTAAGGAATGATCTCCAGCAGTCCGTTCGGGATTGGGGCATCGCAGAGGACGGGTTTATCTTCCAACATGACAACGATCGAAAGCACACTGCGAAGGTCACTCAGGCATATTTGCGGTCAGTGGGCCTGACAGAAGAGTCAAGAAGGCTTCTAATTTGGCCAGCACAGTCGCCTGACATGAATCCTATCGAACACATGTGGTCTGAGCTGCAGAGGAGACTTGGGATGTACCCGGAATTAGCCAAAAGCTGTGCTGAGCTCTGGAATCGGATCGAGAGGGAATGGTACTCAATCCCACAAGAGTTCTGCCAGAAACTAATCGAGAGTATGCCAAGGAGACTCCGGGAGGTTTACAGGGCCAAAGGAAAGCATACTAGGTACTAGCCACTTAGACTACCAAGCGAACTAGCATTTTCTAGAGGGTAGTCTCATATTTGGAAAAATGACCTGATCACCATTAAATGATCATAATGAAATCAAGAGTGGGGATATCGATTCTAGATTTGAGGATGCTGTTTATTATGAGTATAGCTATGTGTATCCAGTTTCCTATCTCAATCTGGTTCATCTTGAGCATGCAACAGGGCAATGAAGTTTAGAGAGCAAAATATTTTTCCAAATATGATGGTTACTGTATATATCCTTAGCATCTATCCCGTGTTACATATTTCTAACGCTATTAAAGATAAAGGTTACACAAGACAGGGTTTAATCGATGCACACAACATGGGTCAAAATGTTAATTCTTGACAGGCGTTCCGTGAGGACTAGTAAACTAAAAATTAACTTTTAGCTCGACCGCTGGCTGATCTCGTCCTACATCTTTCATTCTTTTTCGACAACAAAGAACAAGCATGAGCCTTGGTGGTCATGGATGGGACAGGAAAGGGGCAGGGGCACTGACGCGGCAAATGGATGAAAGGCTTCATTTGTCATCTTTTATTGATGAACATATATCTTCTAGGGAGGATTTAACGTGGATACATTCTATCTATGTTGCTCGTAAACAGACGTGCAGTTATGCTTTGATAAATACAATAAAAACTTCAGTAAAATACCTATGGACGTAGCGTGCGAATCCACATCTTATTCTCACTTGCTTTCCTACCTGTTTACTTGTCTATTTAATACTTTTCCTCCTGCACACTCGCTCTGGTGAATATTCCATCTGCTATATCCAATGCTCATAATATCACCCTATCTTATCAGAAGATTGAAGTCTCAAGAAGCTTATTTGGTTTTCTTTTAGGTCCTTAAATCATGGACCATCATTTCAAAGAATCATACGAGCATTTATACAACACACATATATAATATATATATATGTGCATGTGTATATATATTTTTATTATATGCAATTAGATATATATAAGTATTTGCGGAGGTTGTATGTTTCGTTGTTGTACAGGGATGGGGACGAGCCCTTTGAGAGGCATCAAATATCTCGCGACAGACTACACTATTCATTCACGACTAGTGAACTTCAGACCAGTATCAATAGGTTCGCCAATATGGGTGCAAAGAGCCATCTTTGTCTTGGAGGGGTCCTGGATTTCAATCTTGGAGTATTTGGAGACCATCAATGCTCCAACAGCCTTCAACTGCTCCACAACAATGAACCGGCCTGGACAAGCGTGCCTGTTAAAATTGGAAGGTCCATTTAATCATTTTTAGACTCTCTCAAGGTAAAATGAGTAAATAAATAAATAATGCAAGAGGAGTTATATATCTTACCTTCCCATGCCAAAGGGTAGATAGTCCATTCCAACTTTAGTCGCAGCTTTGTTCTTGCCTACGAACCGCCATGGTCTAAACTCTGTCACATCCTCACCATTTTCAGAACTCTGATGAGCAGGTCTGGTGTTGATAATAACAGTAGAGCCCTTGGAGATCATAATACCGCTTGAAAGAGTAACATCTTCGAGCGCAAGGTGCATTATCCCCAGACGTTCAGTACGGAACCTGAAGACCTCTCGTACAAATGAGTCCATATAGATCATCTTCTTGATTGCAGCTGCAGTCAAGTCTCTGTCATGTGCTGGATCCAAGTCATCGCCAATAGGCTTTCCTTCCCTCGAACGCTCTTGACGTGCCTGTTCTCGTTCCGCCTGAATAGTATCAAGGACCTGCTGTTGTTCTTGAAATAACCTGTCCATGTACTGTGGGAATGCCGCCAGATAGTAGAGCATATTGGTGGAGGCATCCGTAATCGTATGGACGATTGCGCCAGAAATGATAAGGGCAAAAGCGCAGATGTCTTCGAGATCTACGAGCCCATGCTTGTCAAAGTCATCGAACATATGCTGAAGAACATCATCAGGTTGTTCGAATTCGATCCCAGCCTCATTCGCTAGAGCTTCTAGCCGACGGCGTTCAAGAATCACAGACATAGAGGCTTCGGCTAGGATCTGAGCATGGTTTCGAAGCGGATGAAATAGTTTATAGTTGGCCCGCTGGATAAAGGTACGCCATTTTGAGGCTCGAACACCACCATTGCCAAATGTCTTTCCGAAATCTTTAGAAGCGGAGATAAACGTGTCAATGATCTTACGGCTCTTGGCAATCTCAGGGCCGACAAAGACAAGTGCAGCTGAGTTTGGGAAAAAAATAAGTATAAGCCATGTTGGTCATTGATGCGCCCAATAGATGAAATGGAAGACAGAAAATTGCGGTTGCTCAATAAAGCATACTTGCGTTAGCAATTATCTTCTGAAACACGAGAAGAGGCTTTTCCACTAGCTTGGCTCCTCTCTGAGCAGGGCAGTAGCCTAGTTCTTGATCAATGACTTTTTCCATCTGTGCTACGATCTTTGGGATATAAGTGGGGATAAAGCGAGTGATCATATCACGAATGAGGGCAGGAATGGTCCTGTTGTTATAGTTATTGTTACTCTTCCGACCCGTATCAAAGTATGAGCGCATGCATGTAAGCTCCTCAAGCGCATCATTCGCAGAGAAGCTCTCATTAGTGAAAACTTCACGGGCTTGAGGGCCAGAGATGACAGTGAGGGCCATGTTGAGGAGATATACGTTAAACACTGGGCCATATTCTTTTTCACAGCGCTCGAGGAATGCGTCTGGATCCTCATTGTACTCATCATCATGTGAAGAGTCGCCTGGTCTGAGAGAGGCTATAGGGATTCTCTACAAAAAAAAAAAAGAGATTAATATAGTAGCGTAGGAGCGATATACATATATATAAATATATATGTCTCTGAAGGTATGAGGGCGAAACAAATGAGACCCGAGACCTCTGAGATGTGCCTATTTCTATTCCAACATAATTGTTTCTCCGATTCACCTTATCTGTACTGAACTCTGGGCTCAAGGCGATTTTCGCAGCCATAAATGTTGCAGAGGCAAGTCCAATGCCAAAAGGGATGGCAGCCTTCATAGCCCCGATGACCATACCATTTGTGGAGCTGGATAGAAGTGTAAGCATTTGTAAGGAAATACGTTGTTAGATGTGTGTGGTACAAGGCTTATAATCAGCACCGTGTTCTTATTTCTGTTAAAGGAACCAAGAAAAGAAGAGTACTGAAATTATGAAAGCAGTATTTATAGTTTTAATCCATCTTATTTGGAAATCTGGAAGTGATATCATTTATGGACCTGTTACTGAGAAATCGATAAAGCCTATATACATGGGTGCTTCATAACTTTATCTGGAAAACCCGATTTTATAACGATAGTTATGCTTGATCTATTCATGACCACTACCAAAAAAAAAAAAAAAAAAAAAAAAAAGTGACGCTTACAATAGTCAGAAACCTGGCTATGGGCATTGGAGGCCGATCGACTTCTTTGCAAAAGCTTCGCTACATCGTGGAGCAGCAATGATTGGCTGATTGTGAAACCAAGCCGTAAGTGATGGTTTTCCCATGACATTAATAACAAAAAAAAAAAAAAAAAAAAACTTGAGGCGAACGTCGTTAATCCACCACGGTCGATTTTTTGGCCACTAAATCTTAAAATAAAAAAAGTCACTGTCCTCGTTAATAAATATATATGGCTTGGGAGCCATTTAGTAGCGACTTTTTATAATCTTGTATCATGCATTAACAGCCAATGTGCGTTTGAGGGTCATATGGACGAGCTCGGATCCATTCAGTCATGAGATCGAGATCGGGAGCACTCTGGCCCCAATCGCAAGTTTTACCTCGCTAGGACAGCTGATACGAGGAAAAAAAAAAAAAAAATCTCTAGCATCAACTAAATACAGTAGGATAATAGATTATGGTACTTTGAACTACAGTAATGTCTCTAAGGGCGACGTTTTATCTCCCTTGGAGAAGCTTATCTTACTCAAAAGTATATATGAATCTCTTTAATTTGAACGTGTAATATGCACTAATACGCAAAACTAATGAGTGTTTACTTTTACTTTTACTTTAATATCCTGACGAGAACTTATCACATCGCCATGGATGTTGGCTGCATGGTATCCCTTGATCTTGGTGGAAGAATTGCTAGCTTAGGAAAATATGATCTATCACCGCGTATCACCGTTATTGTGATATTAGTAAGAAAAATTATGCTTAGTCATTTACTTAGTTCTAGAGGTAAAAATCGGAAAAATCGACCCTTTGCTTTCTATTAGCCCTGATCCGCTTGTATCAAAACCCATGCTCCGATGTTCCGATCCATGTATTTTAGAGCAAGCTTTCTGGAAAAATCTTATTTTTGGATTTATTCCCCATTTGGCATACCAACCAACAATATCCTACTGTACTTGGAAAAGGTACTGTAGTTCAAACTTCGAGCTACTGAATCCTATGACCTTAAGCAACAACGCCGAATAACAAAGCGACAAATGCAAATACCTGATTTGTTATGCTACCATAGTCAATTTGATAGGAGCGACATCTCTTAACTTGATATTGGCTACAGATGGAAAGTTGATGACCTGAAATTTAAGTATATAGTCCAGCTGATGCTTATATCATAAAGTTGGAGCGCTGCTGTCGATATCCAATGTTAAATCCAAAAAACACCATATGATTTTTAGTGATTGCTACGCTTCGTAGCTGCCATTAAGGAGAAAGCTTGCTCTAAAATACATGTATTGGAACATCGGAGAATGGGTTTTGATACAAGCGGATCAGGGCTAATAGAAAGCAAAGGGTCGATTTCTCCGATTTTTACCTCTAAAACTAAATGACTAAGCATAATTTTTCTTACCAATATCACAATAACGGTGATACACGGTGATACACGGCGATAGATCATATTTTCCTAAGTTAGCGATTCTTCCACCCATGGCGATATGACAAGTTCCCGTCAGGATATTAAAGTAAAAGTAAAAGTAACATTCACTCGGTTTTGGGTGTAAGTGTATGTTCCTGTCATGCCATTACAATCTTTGCCTTCGTCGCATAATTGGAGCTTCCTAGAAAGGAGCATCTATAAGAGATTCCTGTTGAGCTTCACGGCCACGCTGCTCGCGAGAGCAATTCGCTAAGAAACCTTTTTCATTGCCGATAACAAGGATAACAAGTTCAGATCATGAAAGCGATGGGGGATAGTGAGGACACTTTGGGAATAGATTAAAATCAAAAGAAAAGCAGCCTTGTTTATTTTCAAGGAACTCTCGAGGGCTCCCTAGGAGCTACTGAGGATCCAGACAGTATAGCCCATGGTTCTGAGCTTAAAGTCCGCTTCGCCAATGCGCTGACTAGCATGAAGGTGTGTGTTGAACGTATACATGTGGTATTAGAATAAATTCAAATTAGCAAGGTTCAAATGTATTTTTTTGACTTGGATAAACTCTTTGCTTCTCAAAGGGGCTATACAAAGAAATCAAGAAACATATGTCTAATATAAGACATGTGCTGGTCAGCATTATAATGCAGAAAGATAAGTATCAATGATGTATAAAAGAATTACAACGAAAGAAGAGAAGAAGAGAAGAAGAGAAGAAGAGAAGAAGAGAAAAGTTGAAGTAAATAAAACATCATCCTAAATCAAGTAATTTTCTTTTTCCACTGCTACAGCGATATACATGTGTATTCCCATGAATACAGTGGATGATAAACAGATCCCGATAACTGTAAAGCGACTTGGTCTCGGTACTTTTGGCTACTAGAAAAAAAAAAAAAAAAAAAAAAAGAAAAAAATACAAGGATGCATTTAAGAGGAGAGCTTCTTGAGTCAATCCCTACCGTAGCAGCGAGAGTAATGACAAACTCTTTAAAGTAACTGCGCTTGGATAGCGAATGGTCTTCCAGATTTTGAGACCCCACACGTTCCAGGGAGAATTCCGAGAGGTAAGTTGGATACTCCATTGGAAAAGAAGAATAAGACATTAGGATATAGTAAGCCAATGGATTAAAGCACTCAAGGATTCAGAGAGTGAAAACAAGGATTCACATTAGTGTAGATTGCAGGCGTAAAGGCGTAAAGGCACAAATGCGGCACAAATGCGGCCCACATCCTTTCTACTTTTTTTTTTTTTTTTTTATAGCGCATCCGAAGAACGACCAATTGAGATATTAAAATAAAGATAATAAAGATGGCTACGATTTTTATGCTGTTTATTTGAGATGTTTATTTTCCCCTATCAATAATATAAATATTAAATGAATAGAAACAGAAGTTTGGGAAGGGAAAGAGAAGCCAACAGTGTCAAGACTTTTTTTTTTTTTTTTTTTTTTTTGCCAAGGCTGTTCTTTTTAGTCTGGCTATCATGACGACGATGACTCGGGCTGTACATATTCTGATTTTGATCCGAACCCAGAACTCTCTCCTCCTTGACTGGAAGAAGGAGAAGTAGGAGAAGACACAAACATCTGAGGGACAGAGGCACTATGCTTGAGCATACTCTGTCCTACAGGGACCGTCAACGCTGCCACACGCTCAGCTCCTGATTGTAATATCAAAGAATGCCGGACAGAGGCCGACTTGGTCAAGGCAGCAGGATCGAAAACAGGTCCATTCTTATTGCTGTTACTGATATGAGATGGCAGCGGAAGTGGTTGTGAGCGTAGTACGATGGGTGAATCCGCTCCGCTTTCATTATTAAGCCCTACAGGATCGTGGATAAGTGAGTTGAGCGAGAGTGAAGGTCCTAGCATGACCACAGAATGTCTTGCTGAGGCCGATGATGGTGATGGTGACGGCTGTGGTGGGAGAGATACAGCAATCATGGGAGTCATCGGCATAGTAGAGTTAAAAGGGGAGGAAGATGCTGGAGGTGGAGGAGCAGGTCTGGAACCAAGTTGTTGCATAGACGCGCTTTTGTGTAATGCGCTGTTAGTTGCCTGGTAATGATCATTCTGTCCATAATGATTACCGGCGCTAATGCGATTGCTGTTGCTGCTACCAGCCTGAGATCCATACTCGCGGGACAAGGCACTGTGAGACCGCGATATCCTTGGGTCGTGTCTTCCAGGCCCAGGCCCAGGTCGAAGTCTAGCTCCAGCTGCTGCTCTTGCAGTCTCGTCTGTTCTGATTTCGGGGATAGTTGCTGTGGCTGAGGGCGATCCCGTTCTGGTGTTCATCTCAATGGCCACACCTTCGGAACCGCTGTTGCCACTGGCGTTGTTTCTAAATGGATTCAAAAGCGAATTGTTGCTGACATGGCTCTGGTTGGATTGAGAGTAAGGTGGGAATCGAGGGGAAGGTAAAGGCGAAGGGGTGTTTGAGATCATTCCACTATCGTCCTGGCTCTGAAATATCATGGAGGATCTACCACCAGGACCACCATGGCTGCCATTGGTTGTTGGGCCTAATGCGGGCGATGGTGTATAGTGTGCTCCTGTGAATTTTTGTGGATTTTGATTGATCGCACGGACGGAATCTCTGCTCATGAACGAATCACTTCCTTCTTGATCCATTCCATTTAACCTGATATCATCTCCATGAAGTTCCGTAGCTTTGCCGGCTTTATTATTGATATTGCTATTGTTATTATTCTGCTTTTCATCCGAGCTTGGTTTGGATCCATTTCCTCCTTCTTTACCATTACCACCACTACCGGCTGCCCACTTGAAGGTTTGTTTTGTCCAACCTGTTGTTGTCCTGACAATACAGCCAACCAATGCCACAGCCACCACAGCAGCTACAGCCAACATAATGATCAATACTGGATCCAATCCTTTCTTTTGTGTACCGAATGGATCGTCTCCCAATGTGATGACAGGGGTTGAGCTGTCCAAGGGCGGTAAAGGTTTTCGATTCGAAGTAATGTGTGTACACACATGTCGATTCAGATCACAGCGTCCTGCATAACAAGGGACTGTTTCTGAACAATAATTCAAAAGGCAGCTTGGTTGTTGATTCTGATCCATCACACCATATTCATAATCTCGACAACTAGCAAATTCTCGTTTTGTATCAAAATGACAACCTAATGTGTACATCCTCACGGGTGGTGGTGTTAATGTGATATAATGAGCTCCTCCTTCCTTCCCTTTCCCCTCCGCCTCTCCATCCTCGTTGTCGTCTTCTGCACGAGTATTGGATGATGAGCATTGACAGATTCGATCGACACATGGGATATTGGATGGACAAGGATTATCATCAGAACAGAATAAGAAGTCCTTGACACAGAATTGGTTGTCGTAAATCGATTGTGAAGGGTCACAATTGAGGGTTGAGTTTGGTTTGTCGGATGGTTCGTTGTCGGTATTATCGAGTAATGGAAGCGTAAGTTTGACCATGATTGAGAAAAAGGATTTTAAATGGGGTGGGGGGGGGGCGAAGATGAGAAGGGAAAGAAAGGGAGAGAGAGGAAAGTGGATGGTTTTTATGCAAAGTGAAAAAAAAAAAAAAAAAAAAAAAGTGTGAGTAGAAAAGAAAAGAAAAGAAAAAAGATATTAGGTGGAAAGTGTGTCTATCTGTTGACTGAAGAGAAAAGAAAGAAAGGGGAGGAACATAAATATGGTGTCTGAATGAAAAAAAGAAAAAAAAATCCGGTGCCCTGATGCTCTGACACCTTTTTTTTTTTTTTCTTTTGTGTTACCAGAATTAAGGTAAAAGCTGAGAATAAATAATCGACAAAAAAGGGGAGGAGGAGAAAGGAAGGAAGGAAGGAAGGAGAGAAGGAAGTGAGAGGAAGTGAGAGAGAGGGTCGAGCTGTTAGGGAGAAGGATGATGATGGGGTCGATGATGAGGATGTGGTTGTTCGATTGTTCAGTATCTGGTCAGAGCGTTCAATGTTTATTTCTTTTCAAACATGTTTGAAATGAAAAACACGTTATATAATATATTTTATAATATTGTTATTACTGTATAATTATTATTATTTCTTTTCGATTACTTTGCTTGACCAACAGAAGCGATGAAGAAAATAGAAAATAGAAAGAAAAAGAAAAAAAAAAAAAAAAAAAAGCGATAGAGTGGTTGAAGAATAAAGAAAAGAAGAAGAAAAAAAAAAAAAAAAAAAAAAAAAAAAAAGAAAGAGAAGAAGGCAACAGAGTTGGATGTGGTATATACTTTCTGCAATGAGGATTTGGCGTTAAATATCCCGTTCGAGCGGACTGAGTCTATAATTATCGACAGAAATATGACAGTGTCTATAAAAATATATTCATCTGGTTGATATAATGGAGAGGTGCAGAAAAACGGCGGAAGAAATTGTAATATGAATTTGCATTATTGTTATATATATTAGCAATTTATGGGGTTTGCACTTTCTTTGTTCCCTACCTCTCCTCCTCCTCCTCCTCCTCCTCTTCCCGATCTTGACTGAAGGAGGCGTCGGCTAGAGATGTAAAAAAGTATATGTTATGCAGTTAGGTCTATCTACATCTTGTAAAAAAAAAAAGAAAGAAAGAAAGAAAAGTGTGAGCGATCTTTGTTATAAAGTTCTTTTTTGAAAAGCCCATGCCATATTTCCATTCATCCATTGGGTGACATTCATGGCTCTTACTTCTTTTCTTTACTTTTCTTCCTTCTCTCCCCTTTGCTTTTCTTTCAATCCTTTCCTGTTATTTCCCCTTGCTTACTTGACAATTCGCTTTGACCAATACGGCTCATAACATGATCAAGAACAAAAAAATATATATAAAAAAAATAAATAATAACCTATAGAAAGTAAGTTCCAATCATTCTTTTCTTTTTTCTTCTCCCATCAATCATTTTTCCCCATCCTCATTTCCCATTCCCTCCCCCCCCTTTTTTTTTTCTTCTTTTTGTTTCCAAAATTGACATTCAACAATTCTCTTTGGCAATTCGCAGAATAGGACTTGTAAAAGAAAAAAAATAAAATAAAAAATAATAAAAAATAAAAGGAATAAAAAGGGTATTTTTATGCAGGATGGTTTTTTTTTTCTTACAAAAATAACTCGGCCACATTTCTTTCATTCCCTTTTTTATTTTAAAGTTTGAGAGCAATTAAGCGGATCAAAATCTTTTATATCCCCTGGCATCTCTTTCTCTCTCTCTCTCTCTCTCTCTCTCTTTCTCTTTTCTTACTCTCTTCTCTTCTTCCTCCACATCATGGAAGTAACAGTGTAGAACTGTACATGTAGTCAGCTTTTTTTTTTTTTTTTTTTTTTTTTTTTAAAAAAAACAAAAACAAAAAGTATGGCTCCTTCAATGGATCAAATATACATGTTCTACATTCATATATATTATATAAATAAACATATTGTAAGGCTCAATCAGGAACCAAGAGGAAAAATTCGACTCTGTCACCTTTGCCTGTTCTGTTATCCATTCATTGCCTGCTGCCTGTCAATAGGAAAAAAGGAAAAAGAAAAAAAGGAAAAAAAAAAAAGCCTTCATCGCTCCATTGGATCTTCTTCCTATGCAATACATCATATGCTGTATATATATCATTCTTTTTTTTTTTTTTTTTTTTTTTTTGTTAGAGTCGTAATAAAGTATATAGTTTGTATATATATATTATAATGATTTTTTTTTTTTGTCGACGTTGTTGTTGGCTGCAACTACATTTAACTATGAGTATTTCCAAGATTGATGGAAAGGTATTTACTTCATCCTTTTTTTTTTTTTTTTTTTTTTATGATCCTCCTCTCAGACTTCCAATAAAGGATTTCCCACCCGAGCCTCCAAATGTCTTTGCGGCAGCAGATGCAAGAGTGATCCTAGGAGTACTTTGTGCTCTCTTCAATTTCGTAGGGTCAATGATCGTATGAGGGACTATAGGTGTAGTTGTTGTTGCTGATGACTTTAATTTGGAAGAAAGAGGCAGTGAATTACTTGTTGCTGTTCCTGTCCCTGTACCTGAAGATGTTGGTGGCGTTGACAAAGTTAATCCATTTCCATTCGTAAATGATGTATGATATGCAGAAGGAGAAGGAGGTGGTAATGCGTGATCGGGATTAACAACAGTAGTCGTTGTTGTTGTTGTGTAGTTAGTACCATTGTGATGATTATTTCCATTGGTATAATAGTCATTCGACAATGATGTTGAGCCTGAACTAGTCCTAGAGGATAAAGTCGCAGCAGCTGCTGCTGCTGCTGCCCCTGCAACCCCATTAGTGTAGACATACGATCCACTAGTGATCTTTTGTCCATTAAGCATGGAAGGATCCTGTATTTGAGTCGGACTCCGTGGACCTCCCGCACCATTGGATGACAACAGATGATGTTGAGTCATTATAGTCGGACTCTGTAATGACGATGATCCAGGGTTGTTGCTATTGCTACTATTATGACTACTGTTTCCACCACCGAACAGAGAGCTGAAACCGCTGCCGCCACCATTTTGCTGTTGCTGTTGCTGATGCTGTTGTTGTTGTTGTTGCTTGTGCGCCAATTGTTGATGAATCAGCTCTTGTTGTTGTGTATGTGGTAGAAGTCCTCCATATTGATCCAAATCTGCAGGAGATAGTCCATTGGACATGTTGCCTCCATGACCATTTGTAAAAGAGGCTTGGATAGGACTCTTTAATGTGAAGGGCACTTGCTGCTGTGCCCAATGCATCGGTACAATAGTACTCATGTCAAGATCACGAGCCTGATAAAACAAAACATATCCTGAGCCTAATTGTGAAGAGTCGCCAAAATATTTGTGGATGTCTGATTCATCAATCGTCTATACAATATAAATTATAGATAAAGATAAAGATATAGATATAAGAAATGTTGATATTTTAAGCTTTTTTTTTTTTTTTTTTTTTTTCTTTTTCTCTTAAAAACAACAACAACAACAACAACAACAACAACAACAACAACAACAACAACAACAACAACAACAACAACAACATACAACACACATACTTCAACATTTTCATCATCAAAGAGAAGCCATCGATCCTGATGCTTAACAACAGCGACATAATGACCATGATGAGGTCCACTTCCAACATGGACTACAAATGCATTCAAATCATAGATCCTATCCGGATCCTCCATTTCGTCCACCGTGTTAAATAATCGAAGTTCCATTGGAAAAGAGACTCGGTACGATAGCTTTACATATTTTTGAAGTGCTTCCTGGTATTTGAATCGCTTGAGATGAAGTGATAGGATATTAGGCAACACTTGGATCTTCATCCTATATTATAAATGACAACAAAAGAAAAAGTTTGTAAATCATTCACATTTTTTGAGGAAAGCTTCTTTTCTTCTTCTTCTTCTTCTTCTTCTTCTTCTTGCTCTGCTCCTCGTTCTTTTCTTTGTACCTCTTTTCAGCTTCCTGCAATCCACAGCATTCATCACAATAAAACTTGTCCTTATGGCAGAGCATTTCTGATGCTGAAAACTGTCTCAAGCAACTAGTCACAGAGGAATTCTGTTCAATATCTAATGAAAGATCCATAAAAGACTCTGCTCTGTTTGTGGTCTAAAAGTTTAAAAAAAAAAAAATAAAAAAAAAAGCATAATTAATACATATTTTTTTTTTTTTAAAAAAAAAAAAAAAAAAAAAAAAAAAAAAAAAACAGCACTGTACTACAAGCGTTGTGAGGAGTAGTGAGCCTATTTTGCAATTACCTTCTCACAGGTCAAACACTTGATTTCGTTCGTCAGTTGACCCTCAAACAATTTTTGAACCCACACTTTCTCTTTGGGTCTCGGTATAGTGCTCTCAGATTGAATTGAAGAATGATCACCAATAGACTCTCGTCCATGATGATGAGTCGTGCCAATCGTGCCATTGATGCTATTGCCGCCCGAAGAAGCATTTGTATTGATATCTGCACCATTCACTTTGAGCCTGACTTCATCTCCTCCTGCCAACGTCATTGAGACCTCCTCAGTCGATCCTGATGAGCCCTTGGAAGATAATCCGCTGATTGATCCATTGCCACCACCACTACCATTTTGACCGTGACCATGACTGTGGCCGTAGGATCCATTTGTGATGAATGCTTTAGGCATGTTGTCCTCAAATTCCTTCTGAGACTTTTTGATATCAGCCTCAATATCTTCAGTGATGGCACTCATGATGAACATTAAAAACTCGTGTGCGTCCTGATGCATTGAACTCCTGAATAATTCTAAGAGCAGCATAAGGCAGACAAACAAGCAAATAAAAAAAAAAAGCAAAGTCAGTTTCCCATTTGTACGTATACAGTGCAACTGTTTGTATTCCTTTGTTCTCCTTCTTTCTCCTTCTTTTTGTAGAGGTTTTTTTTTTTTTTTTTTTTTTTTTTCCTTTTTTTTTTCTGCATTGAATCCCGTTACCATTTTCTTTCTTGACCTTGGCTACAAAAGCAGTGGGTGTAAAGTATTGAGTCTTTTTGGAATGATTTTGAATCCGTTGAAACAAATCCTGAAGACACAAGAACATGGATTCTTGTGGTGCTGAATCAGGATCGGGTCCACCTCCATTTGGTAACAAGACTCCAACAATGTTCCGTTGTTGTGGGGTTGCTGTAGAGGCAGAAGAAGAGGAGGTGAATGAAGAGGATGATACTGGCCCTGGAGTACCACTGGCCCCTCCACTTGCACTGGAATCGCGATGGTGGTTATTATTATTACTATTATTACTATTATTGTTGTAGTTGTAATTATTATGATTATTGGTGCTGTTCCTACTGCTGCTGCTGTTTCCTGCGTTAGGGGTCATTGGTACTCCTGATGATGATGAGGACGAGTGCTGTGGAGCAAAGTATGAAGAAGGGGGTCCATTCGCAGTATTAGTGGTGGTACTACTGCTAGCACTATGGATGCTAAATGCTGGGGTTGTAGGACTGAGTGGATAATGTGAGACCATGGCGCCAGCACCTGTCTGATAGTTTAAGACACATTCTCGGAATGGTTTGCAATAATAAAGAGCTTGTAAGACTGAATTGCAGTAGCTGATGAAAGAGATAGAGATTGGAGAGACGTTAAAATAAATAAATAAATAAATAAAAAAATAAAAAAATAAAAAAAAAGGAGGATGTTATATTATATCGCGGACTGGTTTTTTTTTTTTTTTTTTTTTTTTTTTCTTCCCTTGTCAAAGTCAGAGCAATTATCTACTTTTGCTTACCATGTGTTGCCAAACTGTTGTCCCCAAGAGAAGCATCGCATGTATTTGTAT